GGGACGGGCCCCGCGGCTCCTGGGCTGTCAGGCACTGTGCCCCCCTGCCCTTGCACTGCAGAAGCTGGCAGGATACCCTACAGAGTTGGACAAGCTGCAGAATCTCGTGGCCGACTATTGCATGGAGCTGTCAGACATGACAGTCATGTCCAAGGATGCCATGATGATTACGGATGAGGTCAAGGTGAGCTCCCAGGCTGGGGCCCTGCAGAGCTGTCTTGCAAACCTGTCTGGCCCAGGGCCCACCCGGACACCCCTGCCCACACCCTGCCATCACTGGAGGAGTCCAGTGGCTGCCCTGCCAGCCTGCTCTCTCATCCCCCATGAGTCTGGGCAGACGGGGTCCCACCAGACACAGAATCCAGGAAGACCAAGGAGGCAGAGATTTGGCCTGGCCAGGGCAGGTGTCACCCCTTCACCCCATCTATGCTGAGGCCCCTGAAAGGCCAGTGTACCCCTCTTCATGAAGCAGAGCTGCCCTGGGGTGCAGACCTGATCAGGGTGGGGGGGGCAGTGCACAAGCGGGTTCTGGGGGTGGAGATTGGGCAACACAGTCTTGGGGTATAACAGGGCCAAAAGAAGCCATGGGGGCTGGAGCCTGTGGGGGCAGCAGGTGGCCCCCCAGGGAACCTGGAGCCCTGGGAGAAGATGGAGGGGACAAAGGATAAGACTCATGTTTCCAAATGGGTGCACTCTGGCTGCAGAGATTGGAGGACCAGGGTCGAGATGCTAGTCACGTGGGCCAGACTCCACGTGATGAAGATGGACTTGAGGCCTTTAAGAAGCTGCCCTGATGAGGAGTAGGGGGAGTTAGATGTGCAGGCCAAGAGAGAGCGCAGTGTCCGGGACGTGTGAGCAGGCATGGACGGAAGGACAGCAGATTTAGCCGCCAAAGCCAGACGTGCTGGGAGAGAGGCAGTTTGGGGAAAGATGATGAGCTTTTGTTTAGACACATGGAATCCACTTTAGTGAGTTCTAAGGGGAGCTGGCAAGGTCTACAAGATGGCAGAGTAGAAGGATGTGCGCCAAAGGTCCATCTGGTCAAAGCTGTGGTTTTCCCAGTACTCATGTATGAATGTGAGAGCTGGACCATAAAGAAAGCTGAGCGCCGAAGAATTGATGCTTCTGAACTGTGGTGTTGGAGAAGACTCTTGAGAGTCCCCTGGACAGCATGGAGATCAAACCAATCAACCCTAAAGGAAATCAATCCTGAATATTCATTGGAAGGACTGATGCTGAAGCTGAAGCTCTGATACTTTGGCCACCTGATGCAAAGAACCGACTCACTAGAAAAGACCCTGATGCTGGGAAAGACTGAAGGCGGGAGGAGAAGGGGGTGACAGAGGATGAGATGGTTGGATGGCATCACCAACTTGATGGACATGAGTTTGAGCAAGCTCCGGGAGTTGGTGATGGACAGGTGATGGCGTGCTGCAGCCCATGGGGTCGCAGAGAGTCAGACACGACTGAGGACTAAACTGAGCTGAAGGGGAGCTGGCAGAGGCGGCAGAGCGGCCCCAGGCGGAGCAGTGAGTGTAATGCAAGGGAGGGCTCAGAGGCCAAGAGAGGGGACACAGGTGCAGCATCCCAGATCAGGAAGACACTGGCTTAGCGCCCCACATGGCCTTAGTGGGACAGAACCCTGCCCCTTCCCCACATCCCCAGGTGAACATGAGTCAAGGGGAGGCCACCTTCATCGAGGAGCGCCGGGCACGAGAGAACCGGCTGAACCAGCAGAAGAAGCTGATCGACAAGATCCACACCAAGGAGACCAGCGAGAAGTACCGCCGGGTGAGCCAGCCCGTCCGGGCACCGCCCTCTGGGACCCCCAGTGCTCCTCAGCCCCACAGAGGACTCCCCTCACCATGCCTCCTCCTCCCTCTCTCCAGGGCCGGCAGGACTTGGACTTCCCCTCCAACCTGATGGGTCCAGAAACTCTGAAAGGTAAGCGCTCAGCTCCCACAGCCCCAGCCAAGGTCAGGAGAGGTCGGTCACCATGAGGCCGGGTGTCACCTGCAGTGGCCAGGGTGAGGGAGACCGATAAGCCCCAACCCCTCCCTGGTGGGACCTGCACAGGGGCGCACCAATGGCCACAGCACGCACTTCAGGGTGCTGCCACTGGCTCTGGGCTCTCAGCCAGGTGTGGCTAACCCCACCGCCGCACCCCGCCTCTCAGCTGTAAAATGCACTCAGCAATGCCCGCCCGGAACCCAAGCCCCCCTGAGAAGCTCTACTAAGCCCCGCTGTGCCAGCTGCTTCTGGTCCTCCTCTGGATGGAGCCGCTCGAGGGCTGGCCGAGGAGGGAGCCAGTTAAGATAGAGGCGACTCTGAAGGGTACTCAGCTCTTGGGGGCCTCCCCTGAGGATGTGGGAGGGGCATCTGACGGCCCGCACAGAGCTCCCACGCCCTCCCTGCATGCTGGCCGTCCTTCCCCTCCACTACGCCCAGTGAGGAGGAGAGAGGCCTCCAAGGCTGACGTCGAATACCAGACGAACGTGACTGCTCTGGTGGAGAAGGTCAAGACTGCTGTGCAGTGCTCCCACCTCTGGGTACTACTCACGGACTCATAGATGTGGGCAGAGGGGCAGGGAGAGGGGCCCGTCCCCAGCCCAAGGCGCAGCTGAGCCCAGCCAGGCTCTGCAGACACCTTCGCCTGAATGAACACACAAAGCAGCGGCCGCAGATCAGAGTGGAGGGCCTCCCGGGACGTGGACGGCAAACCTGGCTGTGGTCCAGGGTCACACAGAGCCCGCGGGAATTTGAGGATTAAACCTCGAGGGGGTGGCCTCCACCTCCAACTCCTTCCCCTTCCCAAACCAACAGCAGCTGCCTCTCCACCTAACCCCCCCTTTTACTTTAATCCGCTCTGGGATTATTATTAGTAAACCTTGAGCTCCTGTCCATGGTCCTGACATAAGCTTGTCCATCCTTGGACAAGCGACTCAGAGCCACTGGGTCTCTTGGTGGTGATCTCTCCAACTCTTTGTTGGGGTCGTCTGCCCGTTCTGCCTGTCGTGAGGGTAGCATGCAAGAACACACACTGAGGGCCTCGCAGGCCCTCAACACACCACCACAGTTGACATTACTGACCACTGGGAGCCAGAAGAACCACCTGCCCCCTGGCTCACAGTGGCTGCTCACCCCACTGGCCCTGCCAGGACATTGCTGGCCGGTTCCTGGCTCAGAAGAGCACGGAGGAGGACCTGGAGCTGCAGATGGAGGACTGTGAGGAGAAGCGGGCGCAGCTGGAGGCCTTGATGAAGAAGCTGGAGATAGAGGAGGCCATGCTCAAGTTCCGCCAGACGCCCAGCTCCGTCAGGTACCCGGGGGTCCCGCCTCTCTCCATACCGACAGCCTGGTGGCTGGCGCCAGGCTTGGAGTTGAGCAGACCCGCTGCCTCGGGGCCTGGCAAGGGCGCCCCCCATGCCCACATCTTAGCTCTTGAGCCCAAATTAGTGCAGCCCTCGCTCAGGACCCCGCCGCCGTGCCCTCGGTCCACCACCTCCCACCCTCATCCTCAACAGCTTTAAGTCTGTTGAGAAGAAAATGAATGATATGCTGAAGGAGGAGGAAGACCGGCTGCAGCTGGCGCATAGCAACATGACCAAGAGTCAGAAGCTACTGCTGACCATCGAGACTGGCATCGACAACCTCTACATCCGCCTGATGGGCATCCCCCTGCCCACGGGCCAGGTACCAACGGAGCCGGGAGGAGCCCCCAGCACAGGGGGTCCCTGTGAGGGGCCAGGGCGAGAAAACTGGTTCCTCCCCACTACAGAAGGAAGCAGCGCCCTCGACCACCCTGGACATGTACAGCAAGCTGGCGTACTGCGAGAGGAGGCTGCTGTACCTGGCTGACCAAGTGCAGATCCTGGCCGGGACGGAGGAGGTAGCCCTGGGCTGGGGGTGCCTGCACACCCCACCTGCCCCAAGGCTCACCGGCCCGGTGCCCTGCAGGTCAACGCCAAGGTGAGGGATGCGCTGGAGTCCTCCACCCTGAAGGAGAAGCAGAACACCAGGATCAGCTTTGAGGAGACGGAGGAGGACGTCATAGGTACAGGGGCCCAGCAGCTGGAGGGGAGGCGGGAGCAGGTGGCTGGCCTGAGCTGTGCAGAGGCAGGGGCTAGGGGTGGCGCTTGCTGCATCTGACCAGGGTGGCCTGGAGGGACAGTAGGGGCTAAAGCAGTGCGGAGGCTGCATCAGCTGTACCCGCGGGATTTTAATTGATGGAGGTGATGGGAAGGCGCCAGTGCCAGTAGGCAGGCAGCGGGAGGCCTAGGTCAGGGCCCCTATGGGGTCTGTGTGGGAAGGGCAAGGCAGGGCACACAGCCTAAGATCCTCCCAGTCCAATAATTCTGGCGCGTTTGGGGCCTCGGGGCTGTCCCCATCTTGTCTGGCACCTGGCCCTGAGGGATTCAGGCTTGGCGTATAGGGTAGATATTAGCGGTCGACTGTGGGCTCTGGAAGGACTGGGTGGACCCTGGGCTGTCTCTCTCCCCGGGTGTGCGAGACCCCAAACGCCAGACAGAGAGTAAGAAACACAGGTCGTTGGTACAGTGGGCTCTGCCGAGAAAGGATGCCAGAGGACGGCCCAGGATCTGGGGACGCAGGCAGGGCTGTAGGCGCGGCTGCCCTCCCGCTCCTCCCTTGCAGAAACCTTCCAGTTCGCCGACGTGGACCACAGCTATGTGCCCTCGCGGGCCGAGATCAAGAGGCAGGGTCAGCGGCTGATCGAGGAGAAGCTCAAGGTGGCCAAGAAGAAGAAGAAATGACCGGAGGAGGAGGAGGCCGCCCTGCCCCACACCCCGCCCCCACGCTTGCATTGGTTACACAAATAAACATTTTTCCAGGACTCCGGGGGGCCGACGGGACGCGGATGCGGGGCATCGCGTTGGGAAGTCTGCAGGGAAGCGGGAGGTTCGGTGTGGATCTGGGCCCTGGGGTTCAGGAGCGAGGGTGAGTAGTGGGGTCCAGGCGGGGGCGCGGACGGGGATCCGGACTTAGCTGAAATCCGGGGGACAACTCGTAAGGCGGGATTGCAGAGTCCGAGGCCCTTGCCTGCACCGCGCCGCCCTCCCGTAACCCTCGCGATGCCCCGTACCCGCGCTCCCCTCGCCTGCAGCGTCCTGCGCATCCTCACCTCGCGCGCCGCACTTCAATGACCCTCGCGGCGCCCTGTAGCTGCGCACCTCGCGCGCCCCACTCCCTTGATCCTCGCGGCGCCCCGTATCCGCACGCCCCCACGCCCGCAGCGCTCTGCGCACGCGCGCCGCTCTCCCATGACCCTCGTGGTGCCCCGTAGCTGCGCGCCCCGCTGAGCCGACGCCAAGATGGCGGCACTGACGAGCACAGAGCGGCCGCGCCGGGGGCCGTGGGGGCCGGAGCGGTGCCTCCGCAGCTGAGTCCCCAAGCCGCCCTGCAGGCCGGCGTCTGCCCGCCGGAACACGGGACATGGTGCGACTAGCGCCGCGCCGCCGCCGCCGCTGAGCTCGCGGGCCGTACCAGGCTCGGACGTGGGAGCAGGAAGATGTTCTCCGCGCTCAAGAAGCTGGTGGGGTCGGAGCAGGCGCCGGGCCGCGACAGGAACATCCCGGCCGGGCTGCAGTCCATGAACCAGGCGCTGCAGAGGCGCTTCGCCAAGGGGGTGCAGTACAACAGTGAGTGCGGCCCGGCGCAGGGGCGCCTGCGGGGCGTGTGGGGAGGGTGGGGGCCCGGCCGCGCCGCCGAGGACTCGCTAAATCTGGGTAGCGTCCGGCCCTGGAAGCGCTTGGGGACTCGTCGCACCCCGAGGGCCTTGCCGTCTGCGTTTCGGCTAGCTGAGCCCTTGCCTGTGCCTGCTTGGTTGGCGGGGGGGCCCGGGGCGCTCCCTTGGGGTCGGGAGGTGATGCGGACCGGCGAGGAGGGCCCAGAGGACCCCAGGCCCGGGGGCCGGGCGCCTCGGCCCGCGGCTCTCCCGTCTGACCTGTGGGTCATTCCCCAGGAATGCTGGCCCGGGGGTGACAGTTGTGCGTCCTGTGTGCACGGTGCGGTTGGTCCAGGCGGCTCCGGGTGCGTCTACGACACCCTGACTGGCCCAGGTGACCCCGTCTGAGAGGGGTTCTTACTTAACGCGGGCGAGTCTGTGTTCTGTGACTCGGTCTTAAAGAGGTGGCGGGCTCTCCACCCGTGAGCCGTGTGGCCACCCGCAAGAGGACCCAGCGGAGGAGTCCGCTGGCCTGCTAGTTTGACCTACGGGGTTTTTCTCTGTAGACTTGGTATTCAGTTTGAAGAGAGAATGTCAGCTGCGCCGCTCGTTCTTGCTCTCCTTTTTTAAAAAGAAGTATTTGTAAGAGATATATTTAGAAGAGCTCCAGAAGGAACAGACTCTTGTTACTGCAGAGACTTCTCTTCTCCTGTGGGAAGGAGGAGTTATTTACCCGATGCCCTGAAAGCCCAGATGTTTCCAGTCCTCAGCTATAAATTATGTAAAATTGTTTAGCTCCAAGATGCTGACTGCCCTCTTGACCTCTTTAAAGTTTTTCCATCTTGCTGGCTTTTCAGTAGCGTATTTGAAGTTGTTTTTGTTTTAATGTGTTCTCTGCTTCTAAGTCGTTTCCCTCTTAAGTATTTCGGTATATTGCTACAAAATATCAGACATTCCCCCATTTCCGACTTTCAGAAGAGCCTGCCCGCTCTGTGATGACCCCTGTATTTCAGTTAACAATGTGCCATATTAAGAAACTGATTGGAAAAACTTTGAGTTTAAAAGAGGAATCGTTTTGCATGTATTCTACTCAATTTTGTGTGTAATCCTCTCACATTCCCAGAAGAGAATAGTAAATCAAAATACTCATTTTCAGGGACTTCCCTGGTGGTTCAGTGGATTAAGCATCCACCTTCCAATACAGGGGACACGGGTTTGATCCCTGGTCAGGGAACTAAGATCCCACATGCCCAGGAGCAACTAAGCCCACGGGCCACAACCATAGCCAGAGAGAAGCCTGTGCCACAAAAACAGCCTGTGCACCACAGTTAGGACCCGACACAGCCAAAAGTAAATAAATATTTCTTTTAAAAAACTCATTTTCACACGTCTTTATAATTCACATTTGGTGAATTTTAATTTTAATTAAATTAAATTGAATTGAATTTTATTCAGTTCAGTTCAGTTGCTCAGTCATGTCTGACTGTTTGCGACCCCATGGACTGCAGCACACCAGGCCTCCCTGTCCATCACCAACTCCCGGAGTTTACTCAAACTCATGTCCATTGAGTCGGTGATGCCATCCAACCATCTCATCCTCTGTCGTCCCCTTCTCCTCCCGCCCTCAATCTTTCCCAGCATCAGGGTCTTTTCAAATTGAGTCATCTCTTCACATCAGGTGGCCAAAGTATTGGTGCTTCAGCTTCAACATCAGTCCTTCCAATGAACACCCAGGACTGATCTCCTTTAGGATGGACTGGTTGGATCTCCTTGCAGTCCAGGGGACTCTCAAGAGTCTTCTCCAACACCACAGTTCAAAAGCATCAATCCTTCTTCAGCTCTCAGCTTTCTTTATAGTCCAACTCTCACATCCATACATGACTACTGGAAAAACCATAGCCTTGACTAGACGGACCTTTGTTAGCAAAGTAATGTCTGCTTAATTTTATTAGTTATGGTATTATTTGTTAAAACTTAGTCTTACTCCTTTGGAAACTGGCCTGGAAAATATTCACCTTCTGAAAAGTCCTCCCTGGTGGACACGCCCCCTGGTTGGGGTTGGGGGGGTGGGTCAGAAGCAGAACGGGCACTGGAGTCCTTCGAGGGAAGAGACCCCCCTTCAGGTATGGGGGGCATGTGGCAGCAGATTCTGATGTGGAGCAGAGGGAGTGAAGTGCAGCGCGGCTGAGAGAAACTGAGCCCCATGCCTGTGTGACGTTTCAGGCTGATGCTGCCCGTCGTGGGCCAATACGCACTTCTCAGACTTTTTTATTTCCTGTATTAGTCAGTAGAAAAGAACATTTCTAGTATTTATTTTCTAAAACATCCTACTTAAGGAAGCACACCAGCCGTTTGATAACTATGGACTCAGGATTTTATAGGTAAGAGCTCTTACAGAACTTTTTACTCCTGCGGCAGATAAGTCATTTTCATGTAAATTGCTGTGATGCTGAGAAGTGACTCACAGGCACAGAGTCCCAGCATACACATCAGATTTAGAATCAGAACCCAAGTGAGACACGGGCCCACATCCGTGGATCAGAAGCCATCCGCACGTGAAGTGGCAGGATGCTCCCTGAGCTGACTGCTCTATCTGTTCCTGGTGGACCCTGGTGGCCAGCTGTGTTTGGTGGAGTGAGGACACACCACTCTTGTGGATTCTGAGTCCTTGCTCGGGACTGCATTCCTCACCAAGAAAACCTCTAGGTGTTGGGACAGCCAGAGCCCTGGCCAATCAGATTTCAGTGCTAGAACTGAAGAAAACTTTGAGAGGTTGGTCACCAGGTAAGGGAGCTTTTCCTTTCAGAAATGAACAGCTGTGTTTGGCAGACTGTTTGACACGCCCCAGCAGGGCTGATTTGCAGATCCCCGAGCCTTGGCTGCCTGTGACGTCTGCCACGTTTTCCTTTCCAGGTTCTCCTTCCCTGGCCGCCTTCTGCTTAGCAAATATTTGCCAAGCATTCATCAGTGAAAACCCAGACCACAGTCTCTGCGTTACGGGGCTTACACCTTAGGTGGGGGTGGAAGGCAGACAGTGGGCACAAAACATGGTGAGGGGTTAACCACATGACCCGACTGGAGGGTCGAGAAATTGAGCAGGGTGAACCCTGAGATTGGGACTTTTAAGGGGAAGGTTAGAGCCGGCCTCGCGGAGAAGGGCCGAGGGTGTGTCGCGGCAGAGTGAGGTCAGGAGAGATGCGTGGGGCCAAGACGGAGAAGTGAGGGTGACGGGGCCTTAGGCCCTCATGGCCCTCCCGCCGTCCCCCATCCCGGAGATTCTGTGAAGGGAGACCCTGGAGGCTGTGTTGGGAGGCGCTCCCGGAGGGAAGTGGCCAGCTGTCCAGCGACCCCTGCTGGTGGCACCACCAAAGGGCATCGTTGGGTTTCAGTCCTGCCTCCTGCAGAGGGAATGCATCATTCCCATCCAGGATAAACCGGAAGCTTTCTTTTGTATTAAAAAAAAAGGTTCCCTGTTTCGCTGGCAGTGTGTGGCAGTCTGAGGGAATTACTATAGATTCTGGGGCCCTTAGCTGATCCTGTGTCTGTGCTGCTGTTCTTTCCTTAGAATAAAAGGCACAGAATAGAAATGCAGCTGTTCTGTTCAGTAAAACATCCACACACTTCTCAGGTAAGGGCATCTTGTCACTTCTTGCGTGAATCTTAATTAAAGGTTTTTCAGTGAATCACTTAGTTTATTTGAGGGATGTCTAAGTTTCTAAGATTGATTTGACTTTTTAACTTAGAAGTAGAGATCAGTTACTTTTTTTAACCAGATGAAACCAGGTCTTTTTGTTTATTTCTAGCATTATACAGTTTCTTCTGATTAGCTTTTTGAAGAGTAGATTTCAAATTTTAAAAGGATTTCACATGGTGAGAAAATTAAGACTTTTATTTCTCAAAACACAATAGAAAACAAATGTATATGTTAAAGTTGTTCAGTTCAGGTCAGTCGCTCAGTCATGTCCGACTCTTTGCGACCCCATGGACTGCAGCACACCAGGCCTCCCTGTCCATCACCAACTCCCGGAGCTTACTCAGACACATGTCCATTGAGTAGGTGATGCCATCCAACCATCTCACCCTGTCTTCCCCTTCTCCTCCTGCGTTCAATCTTTCCCAGCATCAGGGTCTTTTCCAATGAGTCTGTTCTTTGCATCAGGTGGCCAAAGTATTGGTGCTTCAGCTTCAACATCAGTCCTTCCAATGAACACCTAGGACTGATCTCCTTTAGGATGGACTGGTTGGATCTCCTTGCAGTCCAAGGGACTCTCAAGAGTCTTCTCCAACACCACAGTTCAAAAGCATCAATTCTTCAGCTCTCAGCTTTCGTTATAGTCCAACTCTCACATCCATACGTGACAACCGGAAAAACCATGGCTTTGACTAGCGGACCTTTGTCAGCAAAGTAATGTCTCTGCTTTTTAATATGTTGTCTAGGTTGGTCATAGCTTTTCTTCCAAGCAGCAAGCATCTTTTAATTTCATGGCTACAGTCACCATCTACAGTGATTTTGGAGCCCAAAAAAATGAAGTCTGTCACTGTTTCCACTGTTTCCCCATCTGTTTGCCACAAAGTGATGGGACCAGAAACATATAAAAGGAGGAGACGGTTCTAAGAGTATATCAAGAGTCTAAACAGAAAAGTGTTTGAAAAAGAACCAAAGAGACCCTCCAGAAATGAAAAAGCATGATCACTAAAACAAGAAGCCAGCCGCTAGGTGGCGTGGTGTAATATTTCAACTGAAGATGGCGTTTGCACCTGACCGGGAGATGCAGGCTCAGAAGAGAGCCAGGCTTGCACACATGTGATTGGGGTCTCAGAAGGAGAGAGCAGGATAAGAGGAGGCGGTCACTGGGCAAGTGCAGGCCAGGGTTTCCTGGCGCTCACAGAGCACGCGGAACGCCAAGAAGTCTGAGGCTGGGGCTCTCACACCCCCAGAGCTGGACGCATCGTGGAAACCTCAGGACAGCGAAATTGAAGAGGAGGATCGTAGAAGCAACAGAGCAAACAGAATGCCTTCAGAGGCTGAGAGCCTGACCACACGCTGGCAGTGATGGCACTGAGGGGAAGACCCGGTCGCCCTAGAAATGCACACCCGATCAGCCTTCCAGTCTGCAGGGGCCAGGCTGTGCCAAGGCTCCGACCGAGATGAAACCTGGGCTGTGCGCTCCAGGCAGATGGACAGCAAGCTTGGGGGGTGCAGCAGGCTCGCAGGGCACAGAGGTGGGTGAACAAGCCTTACGGCTAACGGGGAGCACAGCAGAAGCCAGAAGGCTCGCAGTCAGCACATAACCCAGAGCTGGCCAGTGGAGAGTGATGCTTGAGTGGAAAGCGAGGACGTGAGCTTCAGACTTCACTGGGGAAAGGCGTGTCAAAACTGTAAGAAAAGAAGTAAGTTGCAAAGCTTCCAATACCAGGCAGAAAGAGGAATTTACAAACCTTGCCCGTCATGAAAAGGCAGAAAACGGGAGGGAACCTCTGCAGGGGCTGGAAACTCTGAGTAGGCAGGGAAGGTGAACATGCAGACTCAACCAGCGAAAGAAGATTGTGATTTGACTTCCCTGTGGTGTGTGACATGTCAGAGAGGCGTCCCGCTCACGGTGGCACAGGAGGGCCGGAAGCGAGCAGTGGGTGAACACCGCCAGAGGGAGGCTGAGCCGCGGGGCCCTCGGGCTGGGGCTGTGGGCGCTGAGACTCGGCGCGGCGCACGTGACCGGCCCAGCGGGCGGAGGCCCGGTGGGGCGGCGGGCGCCTGACCCCAGCCCTGCGGTCCCGCAGATAGCGGGGTGTGTGTCCCTCAAAACCCATGTCTGTGGCCACAGTGAGTAGAACTGGCTAGGAACAACAAAAAACACAGCTCTGAGGGGAAACTTGGAAAAATCTTTAAGTAACTTACGGGTGGAAGAAGTCTTTGTAGTTCCTGGATAACGGATGTCCCACATACTTGTGGTCATCGACCTGAGAACACAGCTTTAAAAGCCAGGAAAAAGAGCAGCATAAACCTCACGGAAATAAAGGGAAGTAAGTGACAAGAGAAAAACAGAAGCAAGGGATTTTTAAGAAGAATCAACAGAGGCGTCCAACCAAACAAACAGGCTGTATGCACGTGACTGATCCAAGTTGATGAACGCCTGGCAAGATTAATTAAAAAGAAAAAAGCAGTATCATGAAGGGTAAAGAGTACATACCTGCAGCCACGCAGTCCTGGAACATAACACGTTACGGGTGACTTCCTGTCCCTCGGCTGAAAACTTAGAAGACAGCCCCCTAAAGAATGACCGGGTGAGACATACAGCTTCTGTGCCCCCAGGCCCAGACCTGCCAGGCGCTCGGTGCCAGCCAGAGAGACGCTGCCCCAGCCTGGCCTGTGGCCTCCAGAGCACGTCCCTGCAGGCTGCCCAGCGTTCCTCCCCAGAGGTCCAGCCACCCACCCACGTCCATCAGCTCCACCCTGACCCGCTGGCTCTGCCGAGCTCCCCAGCACTCTGGAAGTCTTAGGCCAAGCCCCTGCCTTCTCTGCAGGCGGCAGGAAGCCCACTCCTCTGAGGCACTTTGGGACCTTGCCCTGCAGACAGGTCCCCATCTTGTCCCCAGCCCGCCCTGTCATCCTAGGTGTGTGTGTGAGCACCCCTCTCCTAAATAGCGGCTGGGCAGCAAAGTAGAATCCAGGCTTCCTGCCATCACCCCACGTATGGTCATGAGGAACCCTGCATCCTGCACCCAAGACCCCAGGGCTGCGGGAAAGTAGGTTAAGGGCAGACGGTGGGACACGCGGGGCTATGGAGGTGAGCTCACAGCCCTGCCTGCCCCGGAGGCTGCCGTCCTGAGTGTGGCCTCCCAGGTGTCCGTCAGCTGCCCTGGGGACCTGCGAGAGGGCAGGGCTGCCCGCGCTCCAGCCTGTGCCTGCTGCCTCTTCCCCCAGGGCTCCCTGCTCGCGGGCACAGGCATGCGTGTGCAGGTGGTGTGCGTGCATGCGTGCGGGGGCGGGAGTCTGCCTTTCGCTCTGACTGTTTGCCTGACCTGTGCGCTCTCCCAGTGAAGATCGTGATCCGCGGGGACAGGAACACGGGCAAGACGGCGCTCTGGCACCGGCTGCAGGGCAAGAAGTTCGTGGAGGAGTACATCCCCACGCAGGAGATCCAGGTCACCAGCATCCACTGGAGCTACAAAAGTGAGGGCGCGCGGCCCGCCACGAGGGGGCTCTCCTGGGACCCCCAGCCTGGGTTCGGGTGGGTGTGGCCTGCCAGGAGGAGGGGGACTCTCCTCCTGTGACCCCCCTGCCAGCCTGCGGTCGGGCAGGCTCGGCCTGCGGGGAAGTGGGGGGCTCTCCCGTGACCCCCAGCCTGGGGTCGGGCAGGCTCGGCCTGTGGGGAAGTGGGGGGCTCTCCCGTGACCCCCAGCCTGGGGTCGGGCAGGCTCGGCCTGTAGGGAAGTGGGGGGCTCTCCCGTGACCCCCAGCCTGGGGTCGGGCAGGCTCGGCCTGTGGGGAAGTGGGGGGCTCTCCCGTGACCCCCAGCCTGGGGTCGGGCAGGCTCGGCCTGTAGGGAAGTGGGGAGCTCTCCTGTCACCCCCAGCCTGGGGTCGGGCAGGCTCGGCCTGCGGGGAAGTGGGGGGCTCTCCTGTGACCCCCCTGCCAGCCTGCGGTCGGGCAGGCTCGGCCTGCGGGGAAGTGGGGGGCTCTCCCGTGACCCCCAGCCTGGGGTCGGGCAGGCTCGGCCTGTGGGGAAGTAGGGGGCTCTCCCGTGACCCCCAGCCTGGGGTCGGGCAGGCTCGGCCTGTAGGGAAGTGGGGGGCTCTCCTGTCACCCCCAGCCTGGGGTCGGGCAGGCTCGGCCTGCGGGGAAGTGGGGGGCTCTCCCTTGACCCCCAGCCTGGGGTCGGGCAGGCTCGGCCTGTGGGGAAGTGGGGGGCTCTCCCGTGACCCCCAGCCTGGAGTCAGCCCTGGGACGCCACACACACTGCTTTGGGGTCGCCCTGAAGTCCCTGCTCCTGTACGAGACTTGCCCACTTGGGGATGAGTGCTGGGGCTGGACCCTGGCTGTCGGGGGGCAGACCGTCCGGGCTGGGCCAGTTCCGACCGCAGCTTGCACTAGCCTCAGCGGACAGGTGCCTCGGTCCTCGGAGCCCAGCTCTCAGCGGCCCTTGTGACGCCCCACCCCTGCAGGGTCCCGAGAGGGGTTTGCTGGCAGGATCACCTGGTGGGCAGAGCATGCCTGGCGGCCGCCCAGGCATAACCAGAATAGCAGCCCCCCCGCCTCGTGGGGGGGTCGGTGACCGCTGGGACCCTGCAGGGAGCAGAGGAGCCACTCTGCATGCTCAGGAGTCATGACAGTAAAAGGCCTTTGAGCCATTTTAAACATTCCTTGTCATCGAAAAACCAAATCCTGTGAGCCGACCTCAGGACACCCAGGCCTCAGCGGGCCTGCTGACTCCCTCCTGGTGACCGCCAGGCCACGGTTCAGGGCAGCCACGCGGGTGCAGTGTCGCCCTGCCCCCCGGCTGCACCAGGGCCTCACCCCAAGGGTGCCCCTTCTCGTTTTCGGGTGAAGGCTCTGTCCCTCCTCTGCGTGGTACGCGTGTCTCTCCCCTTTCCCCATGGGATCCTGGGGAGGTGGGTAGCCCCCCGACCGCCTGGGGACGTGCCCCAGACCTCACCCCAGGCTGGCAACCCCTAGACACCGCTGCCGAAGAGCAGCTGTGGAGTTGCTGGGACCAGGCCTTCCCGCAGCAGCTGGGGGTACGGGGCACTGGCTGGGCGTGAGCCTGCCCCAGGGGTGCCTTTAGGACCCGGGGGTCCTGTCACCTGCACACACGTCCAGGTTGCTGCCCGCCTTCCAGGAAAGGCGCGTCCCCGACGCCGCACCTGCCGCTGTGCAGGAGCCCTGGGGGTGGCGCCTGGGGGACCATGAATGTCTGCGCGGCCCTGGAGGCCCGTCTCCGAGCCGCAGGTTGACACTGGGTGCTGATCCTACTGTTTGCCCGTTTCAGCCACTGACGACATCGTGAAAGTTGAAGTCTGGGATGTAGTTGACAAAGGTGAGTCGCGTCCGTCGTGACCCTGCTTTTTCTCTTTCGGGCTCTTCACCCTGCCGCTGAGAACAGCTATGCTCCCTCCCTCTGAGCGGCTCCTGGGCAGGTGTGCTGGCCAAAGGCTGGACTCCGTGCCCGCCATGACGTCGGCTCCTGGGTCTACGGGGAGGGGAGAGCGCCCAGTGCTGTCCAATGGGGCGCTGTGATCTCCGCTGCCCCGCGGGTGTGAGGCCCCTGCTGGGGGCCGGGGGCACAGGAAGGGGCCGCCCCCGCTCACGCCGTCTTGGGCACAGCACTTCCACCCCGCGACTGTGTCTGTCTTTCCTTAAGGAAAATGCAAGAAGCGAGGCGACGGCTTGAAGATGGAGAATGACCCCCAGGAGGTGAGCTGGTCCGTTCCACGTGGCCCAACTTCAGGGGGCAGTCATGAGCAGGCACCTGCGCTTCAGCCCCTCTGCCCACCTGGCCCGGCCTTCCTGGGGACTGCATCTGCTGGCGCTGGAGGGACGCAGCGGGCTCTCCTGGCAGCCTGGGGTTGTGTGGGGCGGCGGACCGACCTGAGCTGCAGCTCAGGCCTGTGACCGCCACCGGACCCCACTTGCGGCTGCAGTGACCTGGGAGGTGTTCAGGTGGAGAGGTCACACTTCACTCCTGGCACCGAGGCCCCAGCCTGTAAAGGCGCAGGCACACCTGCGGGTGTAGCCAGGCCTGCGTGGGCCACGGTGGCTCCATGAGGATCCCCTCGACTGGCAGGCCTCCTGACCTATGACAGTCTCTGCCAGCTTCGAGGGCCTTCTGTTCACGTCCTCCTGGCCACGCACGGCCTCCTGACAGCGGGCCGGAAGGTTCCATGACTGCCGGCCCAGATCCCTGACCTTCATGGGCATGTTGCACTGCCCCCAGCACCACAAGCCTCTCTGGTGTGGATTCTGGAAGGCTCTCTGGGGCTGCGTCCTCAGGTCTGGGATGCAGTTGGGCTCACTAGTCGCCGTGGTGGTGCCTCTGTGAGCCCTGCGCTCAGGACACTGCCAGCAGGCAGTGCGGGACCCTCACCTGCGGGCAGGCTCCGTGTGGCCATGCCAGTTAGCCTCGCGTTGACTTTTTTTTCCCCCAAAAACAAAAAGAGATAATGTTGTTTCAGTTTAAAAGACGTATTCAGCCTCCTCCAGGAAGCGGGTGTACACATGTGGGTCATGGCCCATCTCTGAGGTTCGGTTCCACATCCGCAGGCGGAGTCTGAGATGGCCCTGGACGCCGAGTTCCTGGACGTGTACAAGAACTGCAACGGGGTGGTCATGATGTTTGACATCACCAAGCAGTGGTAAGGACGCTGGCCTGCGAGGGTGCTGTGACTCCCAGGACCGCCCAGCGCTGCTCCAGGGCCGGCCTTGGGCTGGAGCGCCCTGTCCATTCACCCTCGTGGAGCTGTCGACCTGGGCACTCCAGTCTGGAAGTGGGTCGGGTGGGGTGCTCGCGTCTGTGCCGGACAGCAGGCCGGGGCGGGGAAGGCACGCAGCCCTTGCTAAAGACACATCTCAGACGCACAGCGTCAAGTGGTCGTTTGTGTCGGGGTCCCCAGATCCCACGTCCCTGGGCTCGACAGGAGGGCACACCGCTGCGGCTCGTCACAGCCAAGGCTCAGGAGCGAGATGAGCAAAGAGGGGCATGCAGAGGTGTGGGGACACCCTCCGCCAGCCCCGAGGCTCATGTCCACATGGGCTCTCGTGGGTGGGGCCTCATCCCTCGGCTCTGAGTGTGACAGCACCACCCGTGGGGGGAGGCCCAGGGCCAGGTCCTCCTGATGCCCAGGGCCCCGGCTCTGGCAGGGGGCTGGTGGCTGACAGGAGCGTCCTCCCTGCGTGACTCGGGCCGGCCTTACCAGAGGCCTTTCCAGGCCAGCAGTGTCAAGTCTGCTCGCCGTCCTGAGATGCTGCAGGGAGCTGAGGCTCACTGCAGAACTGGGGATGCTTGGAGCAGCCCGGCCTTCCCCGTGGCTGCTGTGCCTCCCATGTCACAGCTGGACAGTCTGCCAGGCTTCACCGGCTCAGCCTGGGGTCCAACACAGCTCCAGCCCTGGCCAGTGCCCTTGGGACCCACCCTCCCACCTGCAGGGACAGAGGGCTCAGTGCCATGGAGGATGGGGCTCCAGTCCACACGTGAGCAGCCCCCAGCGGCGGCAGGGCGCTCAGCAGGAGGAGGCGCCGCCTGGCCCGGAGCTCGAGGCCGGACCCCCTGCAGGAGTAGCAGCTCCGCCTCTGGGCACAGCCAGGCTGGGGGGGTGCCCGCCCTGGGGGCCAGGGGTGCCATCCCCTCCTGGGAGCAGCACAGGTGCTGGCACAGCCCCGCGGGCCCCAGGTGCGCCGTTACCACGGCTGAAGTGCCTGTGGCCTCGACTGGATGAGCTGTGACTGGAGGCCAGGAGGGCCCCGTGGGGAGCCGCAGCGGGCGGGCAGGGTGGATGTCCCTGCACCTCAGGCTGCGGGCAGGGGAGGGGGTGGCAGGGAGGCTGAGGCCACCCTGGAGACCCAGTGCGGGGGGTTTCGCAGACCCAGGACACAGAGCACCCGGGAGCGCAGCTCAGCTCCGCTCCCGTGGCCCTGGGCTGGTGGCAGCAGGCGCTGTCCCCATCACGCAGAGGAGGGCGCTGGGTCGCCCCGGGGTTTCCGGGCGGGCAGCTCAGCGCGCAGTGCACGCACAGCGGCCGGAAACAGGTGGGCTCCAGGTTAGAGCGCCGCCTCTGGGCTAGTCGGGGGGCGGGGGGGGGGCACTGCTTGCACTCCACTCAGGAGATAGGAACGTGGGCCCCAGGCCAGGACCGCCAGGGCCCCCCGCCCCCTGAAGCTGGCCTGGGCGCACAGCACCCGCAGGTGGTGCAGACGGGCCTGGGGACACGCGGTACAGGGCGCCTCCTCGGGCTGGCTTGCAGGGTGCGTGGTGTGCACCCCAAGGAGGGGGTGTCCTCTGAGGCTGCACTCATGCCCTCCTTGGGTGGAGCCTCAGGCAGGTCTCTCCCCACATGTGCCCCCGAGGACCTTCAACTACATTCTGCGGGAGCTGCCCAAGGTGCCGACCCACGTGCCCGTGTGCGTGCTGGGGAACTATCGCGACATGGGCGAGCACCGCGTCATCCTGCCTGATGACGTGCGCGACGTCCTCGACCACCTGGACAGGTGGGCCCACAACTGCCCCCAGACACGCCCGCCCCCTGGGTGCACCTGTGTTCCCCCCCCAGGACACGCCTGTCACCCCTGGATGTGCGTGCAACACCCCCTCCCCTGATGCACCTGTCCCCCTGGACACGCCTGCTGCACCACCCCGCCCGAACCCTGGCCGCCCCTCCAGCTGCTCCTGGAGACAGACTTGGGCGGGGTCGGGACCAAGCAGCCCCAGGCGCAGCAGGAATGTCGGCCCCTGGGGAGCACGGGTGGGATGGGCAGTGAGGTCCTGCGGGGGCAGGCAGCTGCAGCGGCCTGGTCCGGGCGTCCACTGGAGGGCACCCTGCTGAGCAAAGCCATCTGAACCTAATGCCTCCATCTGGGACGGTGGGCCCATCACTTGCTGGTCGACCCAGCGCCCCGGGGCGCTGCCCCCAGGACAGCTTGGCCTGGGTGCATCCTCAGCCCAGAGGGCCTGCCCCAGCTGCCTCAGTCTCTCCTGTCTTTGCTCTTTTGCGAATAGGCCCCCAGGATCCTCTTACTTTCGCTACGCCGAGTCCTCCATGAAGAACAGCTTCGGCCTCAAGTACCTGCACCGGTTCTTCAACATCCCCTTCCTGCAGCTTCAGGTGAGCGCCGCCAGCAGGGGCAGGGCTTGGAGCCACCAGTGGGGGTGCCCGAGGCTGGTTAGGGAGCTGGACCGTTCTGGAACCACAGGCCCAGCTGTGGGGCACCCTGCGTGTCTTCGCGGGTGCTTCTCGGCGCCATGGCCTGCGGCAGCCACCAGCCCTCATGGCCACCCCGCTGTCCCCGCTGTGGACCTGGGCCCTCTGCCGACAGCTGCAGGGGCTAAGAAGCCCCCGCCCTCCCCCACCTGGCTGGCTGCCCTCCCCGGAGGCTCGCTCGCGCTTTTGTTGGGGGATGCGCTTAGGTTTACAGAAAAAGCAGAGGCTTCCTGTGCCCTGGCTCAGCTCGCCCCCGCCCTCCCCCCAGCCCCACACATCGCGGTCACAGCTCTGCAGGCTGCAGTGGGCCCTCTGGTGTCTGGCTCGGGGTCTCACCTTAGACCAGTGGTGGGCTTTCAAGGCGAGGCCCCGGAGGTGACAGATCACATCACCCCACGGTTCGTCCCTGGGATGCAGGCCTCTGGCTCCCGCCGCCGGGCCTCTCACTTCTCCGAAAGGGCGCAGAGCTCACCAGCGAGAGCGGCCATCTTTCCTCTTCTCTTGCCCTCTGAAGAGACGAGGCCCGTGAAGGCCGGGAGCAGGCACTCACCCTTCACCTGCCCTTTCCCTGGGGACCTGGGGGTTGATCTACATCACCCTGAGGGGTGCCTTGAGGTTCCTGTCCGAGCGCAGCATGCACAGTCGCAGGAAAACACCCCCAGCGTGGACCGAAGGGTGGTGGTGGGCGGAGTGGAAGGCGGAAGCCGTCCTGACGCGGAGCATGTGTCTCAGCAAGTGCTGGAGCTTCTCGAACCTCAGGGCACCTGTGTGAACAGGGCACTGTCTCGGGTGCTTCGGGCACGTCGCGACCTCCGCCCCTGGAGCCACACGGAGCCACCGACGCATCTCACCGGTCCCTGGGCACGGCCCTGCGGGCTCCCAGCTCCGCGGTGGCGTTGTCCATTGGGGGCCGCCAGGCCGAGGGGCGATCACCCTGGGACGGCCCTGGCTTAGCCTCCTGCTTCCTGTCTGCAGAGGGAGACGCTGCTGCGGCAGCTGGAGACGAACCAGCTGGACATCGACGCCACGCTGGAGGAGCTGTCCGTGCAGCAGGAGACCGAGGACCAGAACTATGACATGTATGTGTCGGCCGGGCCGCGCTGGCGCTCAGACCCACGGGCAGGCTCTGCAGGAAGGCGGGTGCACACTGGGCCAGGCCGCGCCCCAGCCCAGCTCTGCTCGGTGGGCGACGTGTGCGTGCCTCCCGCCACGCGTGGACGTGTCCGCGTGAGGAGCTGCTGCTCAGAGAAACTGAGTCACCTCAACTCTGAGTTGGTCCAGGCCCTGGGCCTTGGTGCAGTCAGGCCTCAGCCCTTCCTGGGAAGCAGACGAGACAACCACTTTTCCCCAGCCTCCCTGGGATGGGAGGTCGGGCTTGCAGGCTCTGCCGCCCCGCCCACTGAGCACTTCCAGCCGGACCTGTCTCGATGGGTGTGATGGGCACATGGAGTGGCCGTCTGTCTCGGGGGCGAGGGTGCTCAGGCCTGACGACTGTGGACACCAGCTGCCTGGCCCACCACCTCTGTCCAGAGCAGCCCAGCTGCTGGCCACCTGGTTGGAGCCTGGGGTGCCACTGACCGGCCCCGCGTCCACCCCAGGCCCCTGCACGCCCACTGGCCCTGTTTGCCAGCCGGGGCCCCGTCCCCGACTTGATGTCGGCTTCCCAGCTGACACCCGTGGAGATAGCTCCTTGCCCCTGGGAAGGCGCGCGGGGGGCCCCCAAACCTCCTGACTCGTGAATAGCAGAGGCAAGGTGTTGTCCGAGCGCATCTAGCGGGATGGCTGACCTGTGGGGAGCAGGCCTGGCAGGCACTCCTTTGACCCGCGACAGGGCACGTCCTGGGCGCCCAGAGCATGTGGCAGCCCTGTGTGCCTGAGGATCAGGGTTAGCTCCCAGGGTGGGCACGTTTCTCTGGGGAAGGCCTGGCCCCAAATTCCCCCCAACCATGCTTCCTGTGTTCTGCTGGGTGTTCTGGGGGCGGGGCAGCCGCTGTCCGGCCTGCACTCACAGCTGAGGCTCTGGCGGGACCCTCATATCTCCTCGCCACCCCCCCCCCCCCGCCCCGGGGCCTCAGGGAGGGCTTTGGGGCCCCCCTGGAGCCAGATCCAGCTACTGGTTCTGATACAGGGAGGGGGCGGCAGGGGCCGTCGCAGTGGGGGTGTTTCACCCACCCTGTCAGGCTGGCCTTGCTGCGGACGCCCCCCCCCCAGAGGCTGACCAGCTCCTGCCAGGTCTCCTCCAACTGAACTCGGGTATCAGGTTCCATGGGGAGGGGGCAGCTGGAGCCCCCCCCATGGTTCCCGTGCCCCGCCAGCCCCCAGGACGCAGCAGCTCCCACTCCAGCCCCTGCCAAGACCCGGTAGGCTGCCTGCCCCACCGCATCTCCACACACCCGCCTAGAGGCGAGGATGTCGGCTCTGCGCTCCAACCTTCTGTTTGAAAGCCTGTCCCCTGAGAGGAAGGCCCTGCTCAGGCTTCCGTGCCGCCTCATCCTCAGCCAGGGGGAGGTGGTGCCCAGGACCCCAGGGCGGAGATCCTGTCGCCATCAGCATAGCAGCTCCAGGGACTTCACGCGGGGAGGGCAGTTTCCCTGCACAGGGCAGGGGGCACTCACACCTCCCGTTCCCTGCAGCTTCCTGGAGATGATGGAGGCGCGCAGCCGTGGCCACGCGTCCCCACTGACCACCAACGGACAGAGCCCGTCCTCTGGCTCCCAGTCCCCCGTGGTACCTCTGAGCGCAGTGTCCACGGGGAGCTCCAGCCCTAGCACGCCCCAGCCAGCTCCACAGGCGCCCCCAGCGCCCCCTGCCCCAGCTGAGGCCCCACCCCCACCAGCCGCACCTCCCCGACGCGGCATCATCGCTCGGCTGTTCGGGGCTGCGCCGGCAACCGAGGCGGCGCCCCCACCCCCAGGTAGGCCCCACCCCGAGGGGGGACGCCCCATCCCCGGGGAGGCCCAGAGGCAGGCCCAGGCTTCCTGAGGGGCAAGCCCTGTGTGTCTCCCTGGCCCCAGGAGGGACAGAGTCCCTTGTCCTCCTGGACAGGCAGCCCCGCCCCACCATCCCACTCATGGTCCACCCCTGGGGGGAATCAGAGCACGAGCTGGTGCCCGCTGTCCCCAGAGCCAGCCCCAGCCACAGAGGCCCCGGCAAAAGTCCAGAACGTGGAGGACTTCGTTCCTGAAGACAGCCTGGACCGCAGCTTCCTGGAGGACACAGCCCCCGCCAAGGACGAGAAAAGACTGGGAGCCAGGGGCCCCCTGGACAGCGACAGGTGAGGGCAGGGCCCGGAGGCAGCGGGGGCCGTCCTCAGCCTGGCCCTCAGCCCATCGGGCGTGGACTCCAGGGACACACGCCCATCTACACTGGGCGCTGGGATAGAGCAGGGGTGCGCGGAGGAGGAAGGGAGCGCGGCTTCAGGCCACAGCCTGACTTCTCCAGCTTGCAACTCAGCAGGCGTTCCCCCCCCACCCCACCTGACCCTGGGCTGGTGCTGCTTGAGAGCGCGGGCTGGGCCTGGTGGCCGGAGCCCAGGGCCAGAGAGCCGCTGTGCACTTCTCCCTGTGGTGGGGTGGGCGCACGGGAGGCTCGGCACTCTTCCCAGCTCCCCCTGCCCTTCAGACCCGCCCCCCAGCTCTGCCTCGCTCACACACGTGGCGGCACCCCCACAGAACCACCCCCAGGCCGCCCTGGCAGCCGGTGCCCCGTGGCTGCATCCATGCAGCGCAGAGCAGCCCCAAAGGCCCAGGCCTGGAGGCCAGAGTGGGCGCTCTGTGCCCTCCTAGTGACCTCTGACTGCCTGCCTTCCCTGCAGCGATGGGGAGACCCCGGCAGGGAACCCGATGGTGGCAGGTTTCCAGGACGACGTGGACCTTGAAGATAAGCCTCCCAGCAGGCCCCTGCCACCCACGGGCTGTGCCCCCAGCGAGGACATCACTCTGTCCAGCGAGGAGGAGGCAGAGGAGGGGGCAGGGCACCCCAAGGCCGCAGTCCTAGCCCCCCAGAAGTGCCCTGAGCCAGAGACCAGACGGTGTGTGGGGGCGGAAGGGAAGAGCTACGGAGGAGGGAAGGCAGGAAGCCACCTGGGCTCCCTGACGCTCCTCGGGGTCCTCAGGTCCTCCACCAAGGCTGCGGGGCCACCCCGGGACGCGGCTCCCCAGGCGGCAGAGCCCCGCCGGCCGGGCGGCACCAAGGCCCGCCCTGAGGGACCTTCTCGCGGGCTGGAGGAGGGCACGGACCAGGCAGCGTCGTCAGAGAGTGACACAGAGGGGCCCATCGCTGCCCAGATGCTGTCCTTCGTCATGGACGACCCAGATTTTGAGAGCGACTCAGACGCTCAGCGGAGAGCGGTGAGGACCAGCCTGGTGCCCACACCGCCTGCAAGCCCAGGGCAGCTGGGGGGCCCGGTCAAGCCAGCTGGGGCCTGCAGGGCAGCCCCATGGGGTGCCATGTACACCAGGCCCGGCTGACCCTGCCCTGGGGTCAGCTGGGGGGGGTGCTGCCACGTCACAGCTGCCACACACAGGCCGACGTCACTGGGGGGGCCCCTGGCCCGGGGCGGGGGGTCACATGACAGCCGAGGTGGGGGGGCCGGGTTCTGCGGCTGACCTGCCTGCTGCCTTTCCAGGGTGAGTTCCCCGTTCGAGAGGACCTGTCCGACCTGACTGATGAGGAAGCTGGCCCCATGCAGCCCCCCGCACCCCCCAAGCCCCTGGCCCCCTCCTTCAGACTGAAGGATGACTCTGACCTCTTCGGGCTGGGGCTGGAAGAGCCAGGCCACAAGGACAGCAGCGAGGAAGGTAACTGCGCCGGTGCACCCACCCCCTCCTGCCAGGCGCCAGCTGACCTCGCCCTGGCTCTGGAGCAGGGGCGAGGGGGCCACAGGCAGGCCACCACGGGGCCCCAAGCCATCCTCAGCCCTGCCCACTGTTCTCCGACCACTCCCAGGTCCCCAAACACCTCACCTGCGGCCACATAGGAAGCCTCTGCTGTCGTGGGCAGTGGGCGGGAGTGCTTCCAAGCCTTCGGCAGAGAGAGGGCCTGGTCTCTGGGCCTGTGGGGGACCCACGGCCTCCGGCTCGCCAGGTCCCAGCATCATCCTAGCCTCCCCTGCGCAGCTGGAGCCTAGAAGCTCACCTGGGGCCTCCCTGGGCCTTCCTCGTCCCTGGAGTGGAGAGGAAAGGACGTCTGTCTGCAGGAGCAGCCTAGGCCCCACCCAGACCCAGGGCAGAGGTGGAAGGGCTGGGTGCTGGCTCTGGACTGTGCTCACGCTGGGGACCCGGGGACCCTGGCTCAGACAGGACTTGCGCACCCCCGGCTTAAACCAGGCTGCCCTCCCCTGCCAGGCCTGGCAGCCCAGGGCAGGCCTGGCCTCGGGCCCGGGGCGCTAACGCCGCCTCTCCTTTGCAGATAAGGAGGGCAGGCCCCCCGTGAAGGAGAAGAAGAAGAAGAAGAAAAAGGGCAAAGAGGTACCCGTGCCCCGAGGCCCCGGGCGCCCTGGGGCGGCTCCACCCGCCGCGCTGACCACGCTGTGCCCTTGCAGGAGGAAGACAAGGCGGCAAAGAAGAGGAGCAAGCATAAGAAGACCCGGGAGCGGGCGGACAACAAGGGCAGGGACGAGCGCCGGCGGCAGCCCCGGGGCCCGCAGAGAACGGCCCTGGACGAGCTGGAGGCCTTCTTGGGCGGCGGGGCGCCCGGTGGCCCCCTCCGCGGTGGCGGCGACTACGAGGCGCTCTAGGCCCCGCCCCGCCGACCGAGGGCACCCCGTGCGCTGGGGGCTGGGCCTGCCCTGTGGGGAGGGGCGGCGGGCAGCCGGCCCCCTGCGCTTCTCAGGGATGGGACAGGCCAAGGAGGCCCGTGAGGCTGTTTACAGGGGGGGTGCGTCCCCGCCGGCCCCAGCTCGCCCCCAGCCCGCCGCACGCGCTCACCTGGCCTGCTGCATGCGGGCCGTCCCCGCTTCCCACTGCAGCTCGGCCAGCACTGCAGGCCTCTGTCCCCAGACTCCGGGACCCTCGCGCACCGAGGCCAGGCAGTGCTGGCGCCTCTGTGGGGGCGGCTCTTCCCAGGCACGGCGTCCGGCTTTGCACCTGAGCTCGGGCATGCGTGGGCCGAGCAGGAGGCCCTCAACACTCGTGTCCTTCACTGTCCTTCCGCACCACGTGGACCATAAAGCTCTCCTGTTTTACTGCGCGTGTGTGTGTGCTGCTCTTGCCGGGGGGGCACCGCCCAGGTCCGCGTGGGTGGGCAGGAAGGTCCCAAGCTCCCTGCCTACAGGCCTTGGGGCCTTTCCCCCCGCCAGGTGACTGCTCTCGGGGTAGGAAGCCTCGGGCAGGCCCAGCCCCACTCGCGCCGTGCCCTGTCCAGGCGGGCCAGGGCAGCCACCCTGAGGGCAGCCGTGCAGCCCTGCTCCCACCTGGCACTGACCTCAGCCCTGCAGGCTCCCCCAGCCGTGAGCAAGGCCCTGGCGCACCCACCGCCCACGGTTGCCCGAGTACTGTCCCCTCTGACGGAGTACAGACTGCCTTCTGAGGCCAAGGAGGGGCTGGTGGGCAGGCCGCCCTCTCCCCAATTCTGGTGCCTAGAGAGTTCCACACCCAGGACGCAGATGGCCAGCGATGACTGGGGGGCGCTGGGCACCACACCGACCCATAAGGGCGCTCTGTAGCCCAGCTGCTGAGGCTGGCTGTCCTCGTAGTGCCCACTAGCATGAGGGCCAGACTGACCTGCAACTGGCCCCAGGGCCCCTCAGCTCACAGGCCCGGAACGTGGCCGACCCCGCCCCTTGGGAGCCGCAGGCACCAGCGCCCTGCCCATCTGCCAGGCTGGACTGTCCTGGCTCAGCCCCGTGTGAGGGGCTGGAGGGAGGTGTCACCATGCAGTTCAAGGGTGTGCACACCGGATCAATCAGGGCAATGGGGCCTCCACCTGCCGGACACGGGGGGCAGAGGAGCCTGTCCTCCCGGGGAGGCCTTGGCGAGGACAGGCATGCAGCACAGAGGCCAGCAGGGCGTGGGGCTGCCCATCTGCTCCTGCCTGGGCCGGCCACAGGCGTGAATTCCGGGAGCTGTCCGCAGCGCGGCTGGGACTTGCGCCGCCTCCAAGGCCAGCCAGGATGCCAGCTGCCCTCCAGCAGGTGTCTGGAAGGTGGGGGCGGGCAGGATGGGCCAGGTGCTCCCCGGCCCTAGGTCTCGCTGGACCCCAGGCCTGTACCTGAGGGCGCAGAGAACCCCTCACCGCGCGCCCAGCTCGGCCCCAAGCAGGAGCCTGCGCGCCACGCAGGTCCCCGGCCCACCAAGCGGTCCCTTTAAGTGCAGTCCCGCCGGCCGCCATCGGGGGCAGCACCGAGCGGGCCGGCAGCCTCGCGCCGCTGCCTCGAAGCTTCTGCCGGTGCCGGGGCCGCGGCGGCGCGGGGGACGGCGGAGCGCGCTCGGGCCTGCGCAGACCGCCGGGCGCGGTGCAGGAGCACCGCCCAGGTAAGGGGTCCAGGCCGCTGCCCCGCGGATCTTCTGTGAGTGCGGCGCCCTCGAGGACGGGGACGCTGCGCCCTCGGAGGACGGCGGTCCCCACCCCCGGGGGCTCGGGGCTGGGCCGGGCTGCGCGCCGGGGAGGGCCACCTGCCGGGCTCCTTAGGCCTGGGACCCCGTGGAGGGGGGGGGGGGGGCGGACCGTCCCATCCCCAAGGGAAGGGGTGTCGCCCAGTCTGGCTCCTCGGGGCCGCGGCAGCGCCAAGGCCGGGCTGTCACCTCCCTGGGGCGGAGCCTCATACCCTGTCATCCAGCCCCCAGTCCTGGCCTGGCTTCAGGGTGGGAGGGGGTGGAGGGGGATGGGCCTGCAAACCAGGGACAGGTCGGGGGAGCTGAGGCTGAGAGGGGGGCAAGCACTGGGCCTGGGTGGCCCTGACCCGGGGGGCAGCTCTGCTGGCGGGAAAGCCCTGGCACACCAGGGACACAGAGGGTCAGCCAGACCAGAGGTCCTGCCAGGTGAGCGCCCAGCTCCCTGCTTTTCCGAGCTCACCTTGGAGCATGCTCCCCCAGCCTGTGAGGCGGTGGAGGCCCTGTACTAATGTCTGAGCCACCTCCCCTCCATCCCCCGCCTGTGCAGGCTCTGGGCACCCAGAGAAGCCGGTGGCTCAAGTCTGAACGTGGGCCTGGTACAGAGGGGTGGACCCCAGCTCAGCCTGCATGCGGGGGCATGGAACCTCAGGTTTCCATGGAGCTCTCCCGTGATGCTGTGGGGAGGGCCTGCCTGAGAATAGCGGGTGGCAGGGGCTCGATCCACCCGCTGCCCTGCCTCCCCTGCTGGCAGCCTCCCGGCCTGCTGCGCCGTTCAGGGACCCGGGGGCAGCCTTGAGCTCCTCGAGCTCACGCACCCCCACGTGGCCCAGCAGCCAGGGCCTGGTCTCCAGCCGCCGTGCACTCGCCGCAAAGATGGGGGGGTCACTCTCCCGGCCCTGTCATGACAGCCGCAAAGATGGGGGGGGTCACTCTCCCGGCCCTGTCATGACAGCCGCAAAGAGCTTGGTGGGTTTCAACCACCCCAGAAAGGCGGAGAGTCAGAGGCGGCTCCTGCAAAGCAAAGGGAGCTTTGGGGCCCAGGTATGATCTCCGGAAGCACTGCTGTGGCCAGAGCCACACGGAGACAGAGGGCAGGGCAGCAAGCCCGTGAGCCTCCGTGCCACGCCTGGGCCCCTTCAGGGCCCACAGGGACCTCTGCGCTGGGCCTTGACACAGCGCTGGAGGACGGCTGCATGTCTAGCCCTGCCAGTTGGGGGGGGGGGTGCAGGAGGCTGGTTAAGATTGCTTAAGGCTGGGGCCAGGGGCTTCAGACTGCAGCGGGGGTGGGGGGGGGCTTGCTCTGCACTAGGCGTTAGGAGGGGGCTTCATCACCTGCTTTATAGGAGCTGACACCTTAAGGCAGTCTGTGAAGGTCCCCAGTGAGCACACAGTTGTTCCAACTGTGGGCACCAGTAGGGTGGTCCTGGGGTCACTCTCACTCTTCCTACCCCACTACTGGTCTGTCCCCGAAAAGGGAGTCTACCCCAGCCTGCCAGTGGTCACTAGTGAGCAGAGGCGTTCGGGGACTGCTGCGATGACATCCCCTTTCTGGTAACCACCTCCTCCCAGCAGAAAGTGGCCCAGAAAGGATGATCTGGAGGAGGGGGCAGGACCTGAATGGCTGGACAGCTGGGCTTCCCCTGCAGGTGCCTCTGACGCCGGCATGGAACACGTGCCTGTGGCCGCAGGCCTTGGCTGCCTCCCGGGCTGTGCCCCAGGTAAGCCGGGCCAGCTCTGGGTGTTAGCGGGGCCTGGGCTGCTGAGAGGCCGCTGCCCTGACCCGCGTCTCCCCTCAGGGCGAAAGCCCCAAAAGGCCGAGTGAGCTGACGTCTGGAGACTTCTTTTAAGATGACCCGCACCGACCCACCGGACCTGCTCGTGTCGACCGTGTACCAGGACATCAAGGTGGCGGCCCCGGGGCCCGTGTCGAGGCCCCCGCCATGTGAGCGCCCCATGGCCCGGCCTGCGGCGCCCGCGCCTTTCAACAAGCGCCACTGTCGAAGCTTCGATTTCCTGGAGGCGCTGGACGGGGCGACCATGGAGGCCCGCCCGGAGGCGCCGCCCCCGGAGCCCGCCGCGCCGCGCGCCCGATCCCGCGAAGGCGAGACCCGGCGCCGCGCCCGCTCCAAGAGCGCCCCCCGCGCGCCCCCGAGCCTGGCGCCCGCGCCCGCCTCACCACCCGTGCTGCCGCGCCGAGGCCGAGAAGCTCAGCGAGCGGCGCGGGCCGAAGCGTCGCCCCGCCGGGAGCCCGCGTACCCCGCGCTGCGCGCGCTCGCCAACGAGCTGCACCCCATCAAGCTACAGCCGCAGCGGGGCGGCCCCGGCCGCATGGCGCCCCTCTGCGCTGCGGCCAACCGCTGCGCGCCAGTCGAGCCACCCGCGGGGCCCGCCCCCCACGTCCGCTGCCGCCTGGACATCAAGCCCGACGAAGCGGTGCTGCAGCACGCCGCCCGGAGCTCGCGGCCCTGCGGGCCCCCCGAGACCGCGCCCTGGCCCCGCGCCGCCCCGCAGTTCCACGGCCTCACGGTGCCCGGGCCTCGCCACGGGGCCCTCTCGCGCACCCCCACCCCCAGTGAGTCGTACTGCACCGACCCCCGGGCGCTGTACTGCGACGGGCTGCTCCCCGGGCCCCGGGACTACGCCGAGCGCCGGAGTGTGCCCTTCACCACCCCGCCGGGGCCCACCCAGTTCTTCTACACGGAGGAACCCGAGGGCCACCCTGGGGGCTTCATGGCCAGCCCAGGGCCGCCCTTCGACGGCTACTATCCCAGGCCCTTTCTGCCCGAAGAGCCCCCGGGGCCCAGTCCAAGACGGGGGAGCGGCTACTACGCGGGGGAAGTTCGCACCTTCCCGGTCCAGGAACCTCCCTCCCGCTCCTACTACGGGGAAGCCCCCGGCGCCTACGGCCCGCTCTGCGGCCCACGTTATGCCCCCGAGGAGCCTCGAGCCCGCCCCGCCACCCGCGCGTTTTACACTGAGGACTTTGGGCGGTACCGCAATCGAGAAGCCCTGACGCGGACTTATCCACACCCGCGAGGCAGCCCAGCCTGGGGCGACTGGGGGCCGCGGCCTTACCGCACGCTGCAGGTGGCGCCCCCGCCGGACCCCGGCCCGCTGCTTGCCTCCTGGCACGGAGGCACGGGCACCAGTCCACCCCGGCTAGCGACGGACAGCCGCCACTACTCGCGCTCCTGGGACAACATCCTGGCACCAGGGCCGCGCCGCGAAGACCCCTTGGGCCGTGGCCGTAGCTACGAGAACCTCCTGGGCCACGAGGCGCGGGAGCCGCGGGGCACGTCCCCTGAAGGCCGGCGCCCGCCCGTCGTCGTGAACCTGTCCACCTCGCCCCGACGCTACGCGGCGCTGTCCTTGTCCGAGACGTCGCTGTCCGAGAAGGGCCGTGTGGGGGAGGGCCCCGGCCGAAACTGGTACGTCACACCGGAGATCACCATCACCGACAACGACCTGCGCGCCGCCGAGCGCCCGGCCGCCAGGAGCTGGGAAATGCCGGGGAGCCGCCCCCGCCAGTCTCAGTCTGCCGCCCCCGACGGCCCCGCCTCTGGCCGCCAGCGCAGCCTCGAACAGCTGGACGAGCTCATCACTGACCTGGTCATCGACTCGCGGTCCCCAGCCGGCCAGGCGCTCGAGCCCGCGTCCGACGGCCTGGGCCGCCAGCTGCGGCGCCTGCTGGCCTCGCGGCCCTCGGGACCCGGGGGCCCGGCGCCGGCTCCACGCTCGCCACCTGCGTCTGCCGGTAGCGCCGAGGAGCCCGCGGGCCAGGGGCCGGCGACCGACGCCTCCCCTGAGCCCAGCGCCGACGAGGACGACCTGATGACGTGCTCCAACGCGCGCTGCGGGCGCACGGAGACCATGTTCAACGCCTGCCTCTACTTCAAGTCCTGCCACAGCTGCTACACCTACTACTGCTCGCGCTTGTGCCGCCGCGAGGACTGGGACGCGCACAAGGCGCGCTGCGTGTACGGCCGCGTGGGCAGCGTGTGCCGCCACGTGCTGCAGTTCTGCCGCGATAGCGGCCCGGTGCACCGCGCCTTCTCGCGCATCGCGCGAGTCGGCTTCTTGTCCCGCGGCCGCGGGGTGCTCTTCCTGGGCTTCCCGAGCCCCGGCTCCGCAGACAACTTCCTGCGCTTCGGCCTCGAGGGGCTGCTGCTGTCGCCCACCTACCTGTCGCTGCGCGAGCTGGCCACGCACGCGGCCCCACTGGGCAGCTATGCTCGGGAGCTGGCGGCCGCTGGGCGCCTCTACGAACCAGCCGAGTGCTTCCTGCTTAGTGTGTCGGTGGCTGTGGGCCCCGGGGCCACCCCGCCCGGCGCCCCTGCCAGGCCAGCGCCCGCGCCTCGCAGCCCGGGACCCACGGTGCGCAAGTTCGCCAAAGTGGCTCTGGCGGCCGGCAGCCCAGCAAGGCCGCCCCCCGCGCGGGGCCGCGAACCCGACATGGAGACATTGATCCTGACGCCGCCGCCCGGCACCGCGGGCCTAGACCAGGACGGCGAGGCGGGCCGGCGAGCACGCGAGGTGGCCTTCATTCACATTCAGCGAGAGCTGCGGCTGCGCGGCGTCTTCCTGCGCCACGAGTTCCCGCGCGTCTACGAGCAGCTCTGCGAGTTTGTCGAAGCCAACCGGCGCTTCACGCCCACCACCATCTACCCCACGGACCGGCGCACCGGCCGCCCCTTCATGTGCATGATCATGGCTGCGTCCGAGCCGCGCGCGCTCGACTGGGTGGCCAGTGCGAACCTCTTGGATGACATCATGTGAGCCGCGGGGGAGCGCCCGGCCCCGCCCAGTCCACCCAGGGCCCACCCTGAACCCCGTCAGGTCCACCAAGCCCCACCCAGGGCCCACCCTGAACCCCGTCAGGTCCACCAAGCCCTGCCCAGTCCACCCGGGGCCCACCGTGAACCCCATCCGGTCCACCCAAGCCCCGCCCAGTCCACAAGGCCCCGCCCACATCACCGCAAGCTCCGCCCCGTCGCGGTCTCCAGAAGCACCGCCTTTCCGCCCCCTTTCGGCGACAACCTTCCCAGTCCCGCCGGGCTCCCTCTCCCCCAGTTCTCCCTCGGGTCTCCCTAGAGGCAGGTCCTCGGCCGCTTGGTGCTCCCCGCTGGGAGGCGGGGTGGGTCTGAGGACCAGCCCGCCCTGCCTTTGCGCGGAGGGGTCACTACTGCAGACCCGACCGCGCGTATCCGACCCGTCCGCATCTGCAGGGCCTCCCTGGAGCCTTTCCATCCGCGGCTCGCTGTGGTCCAGGAGTTGACCAAAGCCTAGTCCTGTCCCTTTAAACACACACCCCCACCCGCTTCCTGTGGTCTGGGATGCACCCTGCTCAGAGGCTCTTCCTCTCTGGAGGACAGACACGCTGATTGGTCTCGGTGTGTCCGCATCCCGAGCACGTCCTGGCCTGGTGGGCAGGCAGGGCCGGCAGGGACCTGCGTGGGGCCCTCGCCCCTACTTGGTCAGACCTCGGTACACTGACGGTGCTGCCCGCCCTGCCGCAAGGGTTGGGGCAAGCAACAGTGAAGGGGGGCACTCGGGGGGTGGGGGGGCGGAGGGAGTCCTCAACCAAGGCACAAGACACCCAGCCAGAGGGGAGGAGGTCCTGGGCTGAGGAAGCAGAGGGGAGGGGCGCTGGCCAGAGCTCAGACCCGGCAGGGCGTGGGTTGGGCTACCTGCCCTCACCTGGTCGACAGCCCTAGGCGTGCGCCAGAGCGGCCCTAACCTCAGAGGTAGGCGGGAGCAGGTGCAGAAGCTGGGTGAGCGCGACCGGCCCAGGAGGCCCTCCAGCTGGGACCCTATCCGTAGCCCTAGTGAGGACAGAGGAGGAGGTTCGTCCCCAGTCTGGAGCAGGGCGGGGAACACGTGGATGGCAGCAGGGGCGGGAGCGAGCTACTTCCAAAGGGCGGCGGTCCGTCAGGGGTGTGGGGGGCGCAATTGCGTAAACGCCCGCGCTCTAGCTCGCTCTGGCCCCGCCTTGTGGTGCAGGCTGGACGCTTGAGGCTGGCGGCCCGGCTCCGGCCCTCGGGAATGCACGCTCCAGTGTCTGTTATCCCCGCTCTCGTCAGGGGCTGTCCGCTGGCCCTGGCCCGAGAGAGCGAGGCCCGGCGCCCGGAAGGGCCCTCCTGAAGCCCCAGGCCCCCGTCAGGGCCAGGTGGTGGAGGCATCGATTCAATTAAATTGTGGGGCCCCCAACCCCCACCTCCGGTCGCGGCCCTCACCCCCGACCGTGCACCCGCGCCCATCTTCCCTCGTTCCTTCTCCTCCACCTGCCAGCGCGCCTGCCTCGGCTCCGCGCATTCCCGCCGGCCACGCGCCCCGCTTAGCCCCTCCTGCCTTCGCGGCCTCACAAACCGGCCGCCGCGCCCCCTGCCCAGGGGACTCCGCCTTCGGCCCCACGCGCCGTCCAGGAAGGACCCTGGATTGGGGTTACTTCCAGAGGGGGAGCGCTTTCGAACCAAGGAAAATATAACTCGAATGTAGCCACTGCTGCCTCGTTTTTTGTTCAGAGTGGGTGCGACGTTGAAGATTTTCGGAGCCGTGGGGGGCGGACCTTCGGAAACAGGGGTGGGAAACCACTGAACAACGTGGAGTGGGAGGCAGGAGAGAGTCGGACACGGTGGGGACGGGGGGCGAGAGACCGTGGGACTCGGTGGGGACGGGGGTCGGGAGACCGTGGGACTCGGTGGGAACGCGGGGCGGGAGACCGTGGGACTCGGTGGGGACGCGGGGCGGGAGACCGTGGGACTCGGTGGGGGCGGGAGACCGTGGGACTCGGTGGGGACGCGGGGCGGGAGACCGTGGGACTCGGTGGGGGCGGGGGTCGGGAGACCGTGGGACTCGGTGGGGACGCGGGGCGGGAGACCGTGGGACTCGGTGGGGGCGGGGGGCGGGAGACCGTGGGACTCGGTGGGGACGCGGGGCGGGAGACCGTGGGACTCGGTGGGGACGCGGGGCGGGAGACCGTGGGACTCGGTGAGGACGCGGGCGGAAGGCCGCGGGACAGCAGGCGGAGTACCGGGGCGCGAGGCCCTCAGATACGCTGCGGGGACCCGGGGGGAAGCCGAGGGCAGCGCGCGTGATCTGAGGGGGGAGTCAGGGACAGCGCGCGCCCCCTGCGCCTCGTGGGTCACCCAGCACCGCCCCCAAGAGGGGCCCGTCAGCCGCCCCCGAACCCCAGGAAGGGGCTTCTCCGTGGGCTGAAAAGAATCCGCACCCACTCCTGGCTCCTCGTTCCCCTTTAAGGGGAGGCGGCGCGGTCACCGCGCTGCAAGGAGCTGGGCCTCGATTGGCCCATCTGTGCCGCCGGTCGGCCGCACGGTTGGCTGAGGCGCTGGGCCCGGGCAGCATGCCCCCGCAGGATTGGCCAGCGGCCTCCAGGCCCCGCCCCCCCGCGCGGTCCGCGCAGCCCGGGGTCGCGTGGGGCAGGGCCGCGGGCCGCAGGGCGAGCGCGCTCCGGGAAAATGGCGGCGGCGGGCCTCGCCCAGATCCCGGACGTGGACATCGACTCCGACGGCGTCTTCAAGTATGTGCTGATTCGAGTCCACGCGGGACCGCCCTCCGGGACCTCGGCTGGGGAGACCAAAGAGATCGTGCGCGGCTACAAGTGGGCCGAGTACCATGGTGAGGGCGGGGCGGCCGGCTTTGTGGGCGGGGCGGGCCGGGGCCTCGGGCTTTGTGGGCGGGGCCAGCGCGGCTGGGGCGGGGCGGGGCGGGGCTAAACCCTGTGCCGGGTCTCCTCGCCGGCTGGCTTGGGTGGCGGGGAGGTATCTAGACTGTCCTGGAGACAAGGGGTGCCGTGGCCCGACCCTCCCTCCTAGTCCCAGGGCCCCTGCGCAGGCGCACCCCCTCCTCCCTTTTTTCCCGTCCAGAGGGTCTTCTCTCCTGGGGGCGGGGGCTGCTTAGAGCCGGGGGGCCGGAGGTTGGGGGCGGCGGGGGGAGGGCCTCAGACCCCCTCCACCCTGGCTGGTGCTGAGCCCCCCTCCCATTCCAGCTGACATCTACGACAAGGTATCAGGCGAGATGCAGAAAAAGGGCTATGACTGCGAGTGCCTGGGGGGCGGGCGCATCTCCCACCAGAGCCAGGACAGGAAGATCCACGTGTACGGCTACTCCATGGTGAGCCCACACCTGAGGGCCCCAGTCCTGGCTGGGGAACACCCGGCCCTTCTCAGCCACAGAACCCTGCCTCCAGGGCCCGCAGCCTCCCGGTTTCCAGGCGGCATGACACAGGAAACGGGGTGGGTGGGAGCCACTGTTCGCCCCCCATGGGCTGTGTGCTGTTCCTGCCCCGAAGGCCTGGCTGGGCCTCTGTCCTCCTGCACTTCAAGTCCTCCAGCGCTTCGAGGTCGCCAGCACTGCGTTGGAGCTCGAGCACCTGCCTCTCCCTTCACCACTCTACCTGCAGGGTCACGGGGCACCCAGAGCCAGCTCGGCCTCTGGCTGGAGGGCCCTCCCTCCAGGTTGGCTCACCCTGGAGGCCACATTTCCCCCAGGAGAGTGGCTAGGGGGATGACAGCCTCCTCCCCAGCTGGCTCCTGGTGTCCCTGCTGCCTGGGGGCCCCCAGAGCCAGGACTGGGCATGTGAGAGCCACCTTCTTCCTTCAGGGTTACGGTCGTGCCCAACACTCTGTCTCCACGGAGAAGATCAAAGCCAAGTATCCGGACTACGAAGTCACGTGGGCTGATGATGGCTACTGAGGCCCACTCGAGGCCTGGTCCATCCAGCAGCCCACTCAGAACTCTGCCCTGAAGACCCCTCCGGAGGGGCCGGACTGCACCCCCTGGCCCTTTGCCACCCTTGCCAGGCCTCGGTGCCTGGGCTTCCTTCAATTAAAAGCATCGTCAGCTCTGCTGCTCTCTGGGCGCTGTGTGTCTCGGCGTCTGTGTTCTCAGCTCACATCTCTGTGCTCGCAGGTAGCGTGGGTGGGTGGCCGAGAGCTGGAGGCTGCCCCTCACCTGGCTCTACCCCGGAGGCCCAGGGAGTGGCCGTGCACACTCAGCCCTTTGGGGTCTGATAAGGGGGCCCTGGTCGCTGCCCCCGTTTATGGCCTGATTGCTTCTCCATGCACCTGCTGTCCCCACGGTCATCTGGGAAGAGGCCTGACAAGCCCTTACGCAATAAGCTAGGGCCGAGTCCCTTCAGCCTGCGGAGGCGGGGGCCCCTCCCAGTATGGAGTGGGGGGCACCAGCAACCCCTGTTTCGGCCACTGCTAACTGAGGTCACGAGTAGGGTGGTCTGTGGCCCCTCGACTCCAGAATCAGGGCCCCCTGCCTCCGGCTCCTTCAAGTAAATCAGGCGTCACACTTGGAGCCCCTCTCCCGGGATGCTCCTCCTGGTGGTATGGGGAGCAGAGGCCTCCATCACGCTGTGCCCGCCTCCTCTGGGCTCTAGGGCCCTCACAGGAGCCTCTCCAGACAGGCGCCATCGTCACACTTTCAAAGATGAGGAAACTGAGGCTCAGGTTAGGCAAGCTCCCAAGTCCAGACAGTGATAAACTGGGCAGCGCCTGGCTCCAGATCCTCCGCTGGGGTCAGTGCCACAAGGCCCAGAGCCCCGCGGCTCCTCTGGACACCGTACCCGGCTGCGCCCAGGCCACACTACACTGCTCGGACACTCGACGAGAAAACAGTCATCATTTTTAAGCGAGCAAGCAAAGAGGGACCCACAGGCTGAGTTACGGGGAGGGACAACGTCCCTGGTTGCTAGGGTTGCCCCCTCCCCGTGCAGGGAACTCAAACCAGGTGCGGGCTTTGTACCAGCTGGGCTCCTGCCCGGCTGAGTTGAACTCTGCGGGACCAGAGACCCCAGGAGAAGCAGCTGAGGCCTGTGCCACTCGGTCCTGTCTCCAGCGGGGCCTCCACCAGGCAGGGCTGGGCAGCGGTGGGCACCACGGCAGAGGCCTGACCTTCAGCCAAAAGGGGCCAGGCGGGTGGGAGTCCCCCCGGGCCGGGCCCTCTCTTCCTGGATGCATTTACAGCCAGATGTTTGTCCTTGTCAGCACGGGGTGGGGCCAGGTGAGGGGCTGCAGATACAGAAAGGGCTGAACCGGTCCGCGGTCAGAGCAGAGTCAGTCTGCGGGGCCTCAGGCTGATAGCTAGGCAGAGTCCCCACCAGGCTGGCTGGGGTACACAGCGCCCCAGGCCTCCCTGCCTCGGGCCTGACCATGCCTCTGCGCGGCCACCTCCTGCCCGCTGTGGTCATGCTCCTGGGTGAGTCGCCGGCCCGGCTCCTAAAGCAGGAACGTCCGGGGGACTGGCTGCTGGGTCTGCAGGGAAGGAGGGACACGGGCCCGGGATGGCCTGCAGTGGGAACGCCAGGCAAGCCCTAGGGGTCCTGGGGATAGCCCGGCTGGGGTAGGGGCCAGCGTCCAGCCTGCCCTGGCCTAGTCTCCACCCAGGCTCCAAGACGAGAGGTCCCTGAAGGCAGACCCTAGCCGGCACTCTCCACCTGGGTGGAGCCTGAGAGGGCCTGGCCCACCCTGCCGCAGCCCCTCCGGAGTAGTGCTGGACTTCGGTTTTCCTCTCTGGGGAGGGACCCATGTCGGGGATCCTCAGTCCCTCGCACACCCAGGCACTCCATCCTGACAGCCAGCCTCTCCAGGGCCAGACCTGCCCTCCTGGGCCTGACAGGGGCCCCCAGGGGGCAGTTCTCCAGGGGTTTCTGGCCTCCTCCCTGCACGACCTCCTGGCCCGGCCCCCAGATATCCCAGGATGCCCAACTCTGAGGGGTCTCTGGGCTGGGAAACAGCAGACCTCCCCACCCCGGGCCACCTGGCTGTCTCTGCTGGTAACAGGGTCCCCTGGCTGGGCCTGGGTGCCCAACCACTGCAGGCCCCCCCGCGAGGCTGTGTGCAACTTCATGTGTGACTGCAGGGGCTGCCCCGACGAGGCGCAGTGCGGTGAGCCGGGGCCAGGGGGCAGCGGTGGGGCCAGCCCTTGCGGCCGCCCCACCTGACCCCCTGCCCTTGCAGGTTACCACGGGGTCTCGCCCAGCCCGGGCGCCCCCTTCACCTGCGACTTCGAGCAGGACTCCTGTGGCTGGCGGGACATCAGCACCGCGGGCTACCGCTGGCTCCGGGACCGCGCGGGCGCGTCGCCAGAGGGGCCGGGGCCGCGCACAGACCACACTCTGGGCACCGACCTCGGTGAGGCTTGGGCGGGGCTCCACGCGGTCTGCAGCCCTCCGTGCCTTCCGCCCTGTCTCCTGACCTCTTGGCTGCCCAGGCTGGTACGCGGCGGTCGGCACACATCGCGGGAGGGAGACGGCCACCGCGGCCCTGCGCTCCCCGGTCCTGCACGAGGCCGCCCCCACCTGCGAGCTGAGGCTCTGGTACCACGCAGCCTCAGGAGGTGTGCGCCCGTACCCTATAACTCAAGTCAGGTGACCCAAGAGGAGGGGTGCAGAGACGGGAGGGCGCCCCCAGGGTGGGCAGGGGTCCTGGGGCGGGCATAGCCACGGGTCTGGGGGAGGCCTGGGGCCTGAGCTGCCACCGGACCCCTCACTGCAGATGTGGCCGAGCTGCGGCTGGAGCTGACCCACGGTGTGGAGACGCTGACCCTGTGGCGGAGCGCAGGGCCCTGGGGCCCAGACTGGCAGCAGCTGGTGGTGCCCACTGGCCGCATCCGGGGCGCTTTCAGGGTGAGATGGGCGCTCTGGATGGCGGGGACAGCGGGCAGGGCCCAAGCCCTGACTTAGGGACCTCGCTGTCTCCAGGTGACCTTCTCTGCCACGCGAAATGCCACCCACAGGGGCACCGTGGCCTTGGACGACGTGGCCTTCTGGCGCTGCGGGCTGCCCAGTAAGGTCCCCTGGCCGTGGGCCCACTCCTGGAGGTGTGAGGGGGTCAGCAGGAGGCCCTGGTCAGCGGCCCCGCCCGGTGATGTGTTAACCCTGCCCCCAGCCCCCCAGGCACACTGCCCCCTGGGGCACCACCATTGCCGGAACGAGGCCTGCGTGGACCCCCCCCAGCTGTGCGACGGGGAGGACAACTGCGGGGACCGCTCGGATGAGGACGCGGCCCCCTGCCGTGAGTGGGACGGGGGGCTGGCCCTTGACACCATCCCTCGGGGGCTGAGACAGCTGACGTGCGCCAGAGCCAGGGCCGTGAGCACAGGCCTGGGCGGCGGGGGGGGCCAGGCAGGAGGCCCCGCTCGGCAGCCAGAGCCCCCTCGCCCCCCAGGACACTACGTGGCCACGGATTTTGAGATGGGCCTTGGCCTGTGGAACCACTCAGAGGGCTGGACCCGGAACCGCAGTGCCGGTGGCCCTGGGCACCCTGCCTGGCCACGCGGTGACCACACCTGGAACAGCGCGCAGGGTGAGGCCCCGGGGACCCCCGCCCCGCCCCAGGACCCCCATCCTGCCCCAGGGCCCCCGCCCCGCCCCACCAGCTGCCCTGGCCTGTGCCTGCTGTCTCCCCAGGCTCCTTCCTCGCATCGGTGGCCGAGCCCAGCGCCCCAGCGGTCGTCTCCAGCCCCGAGTTCCAGGCCTCGGCCCCCCACAACTGTTCGGTGAGTGGGTGGGAGCCGCAGGGCGCCGTCCTGCCTGCCCAGGCCCTGCGGCGTCTCTGCTGACTGTGCTCGCTCCCCTCCCAGCTCATCTTCTATCACTACCTGCATGGGTCTGAGGCTGGCTGCCTCCAGGTGTTCCTACAGACAGGGAGCCCTGCGGCCCCCCAGCCCCCCATCCTGCTGCGCAGGCGCCAAGGGGAGCTAGGGGCCGCCTGGGTCCGAGACCGAGTTGACATCCAGAGCAAGCACCGCTTTCGGGTGAGGCTGGCGAGGGCAGCATCGTTGGGGGAGGCAGGGAGGTCCGGGGCCCCTCCACCATCTCAGGAGAAGGGCAGGCCAGAGGACGGGAGGGGCTCCCTGCAGAGATGCCCCCTGAAGGGCTGGGTGTCCAGCAAAAGATAAGGACAAGGTGTGGATTCTGGGGAGAGGACTCAGGTCAGACTGGCCTGGGGATCACAGAGGGGTGCTGGGGCGCCCCCGACCCCGTCCGTCCCCAGATCTTCCTGGCTGGGCAGACAGGCCCCGGGGGCGTCGTGGGCCTGGACGACCTCATCCTGTCTGACCACTGCAAGCCAGTCCCAGGTGAGCCTGCTGGGCACCCCACACCCCGCCCCAGGAGAAGCACAGACCCTGCCAGCCAGCCTGACCCCTGCACTGGCCCACAGAGCCGGCCAGCCCCTCTCCTGGGCTCTGGGCCCCCGGCCCCTGGCCCCAGCCGTCCAGCCTGCGGCCTCAGAGCTTCTGCGAGCCCGGACACTTCTTCTGTGGGGAGTTGTGTGTCCCCCCGGAGCAGCTGTGTGACTTCCAGGAGCAGTGCCCGGGGGGCGAGGATGAGCAGGAGTGTGGTGAGCGGGGCTGGGGGGGTGGGGAGGCCTCACCTCCCTTCAACCCTGCCCTCTGGGAGCGGCCAGCAAGGCCCCAGGCCCATCCATGCCCCATGCCCTTGCAGGCACCACGGACTTCGAGTCGCCCTCAGGCGGGGGCTGGGAGGACGCCAGCGTGGGGCGGCTGCAGTGGGCGCGCCTCCCGGCCCCGGACTGGGGCGGGCCCGGCCCGGATGCCCGCGGGGCTGCTGGTGAGGCTCCGCCTGGGGCAGCCTGGGACCTGCCTTCCAGCTGCCCCTTCTCCCTAGGGAGGGCGCTGAGTCAGGGTCCGGGGAGGAACCTGCTCTGAGGCCTGCTGTCCCCAGGACACTTCCTGGCCGTGCAGAAGGCCTGGGGACAGCTGAGCGAGGAGGCCCGGGTGCTCACACCCATCCTGGGCCCCTCGGGCCCCCACTGCGAGCTCCGCCTGGTTTACTATCTTCAGAGTCACCCCCGAGGTACCACCGTCCCCCTCACACCCTCTGCCCCATCCTGGGGTGGGGGGTCAGAGCACCCGGGCGAGGGACGGGGTTGGACGGGCCGCCCACGGTGACCCCTCGCCAGGCTTCCTGGAGCTGGTTGTGGTGGAGGGCAGCCGCCGCGAGCTGGTGTGGCAGGCCCCGGGCAGCACTGCTGGGGGCTGGAAGGTGGACAGGGTCCTTCTTGGGGCTCGCCGCCGGCCGTTCCAGGTGAGGAGAGCGGCCTGGGGCGGAGAGGGGCCCCTGCAGCGCCGGCCCTGGCTGACGGCCTCCTCCCTTGTGCCCTGCGAAGCTGGAGTTGGTCGGGCTGGTGGACGTGGACGGCCCCGGGCAGCAGGGCGCAGGGGTGGACGACGTGGCGCTCACGGGCTGCAGCCCTGCAGCAGCCGCTGAGGAAGACTCAGGTGCTTCCCCCGGGTGCCTGGCCCCCCACCCAGGCCTCCTGCAGGAGCTCCTGGGAGACCCCTCTCCCGGAACCCGTCTCCCCCACCCTCTCAGGACTCAGGAGGGGTGTCGGGGGCACTGACCCACCTCTGCCCGCCCCAGAGGTCTCCTGTAACTTTGAGCGGGGGACCTGTGGCTGGCACAGTGGCCACTTCACAGATGCCCAGTGGCACCGGGTCGGGAGCCATGGCCCGAGGTACGACCACACCACGGGCCAAGGTGAGGCGGGGTGCCCGGGGGCGGCTGCCGGACCCCGGCTCCCGGGGCAGAGGCGCGGGGCCGAGCGCCTGCAGCCTGGGGCCTCCGCAGCCCAGCCCCTCGTGCCCCCGCAGGCCACTTCGTGCTCCTGGATCCCGCGGACCCTCCCGCCCGGGGCCCCGCTGCCCACCTGCTCACCCAGCCCCAGGCGCCCACAGCCCCTCGGGAGTGTCTCTCCTTCTGGTTCCACCTCCACGGTCCCCAGATCGGTGAGGCCCCCAGCGGGGCAGGGCCTCAGGCTCAGGGGCCCCTGGTCCTGCCTCTTGCCCCCTGGGCTGCCTGGGAGGGGTTGAAGGGCAGGGGTCAGGGCCTCGTCCCCTCCCAACCCCCTGCCTCTAGGGACTCTGCGCCTGGCCATGAGGCGAGAAGGGGAGGCAGAAACGCACTTGTGGTTCCGGTCTGGCACCCACGGCAATCGCTGGCACGAGGCCTGGGCCACCCTCCACCACCCGCCGGACGCGGGCAAGTACCAGGTGAGGCCCCGGGTGTGGGCGCGGTGGGCGAGGTGAGGCCCCAGCTGCTGACCCCCGTCTGCCCCGCAGCTGCTGTTTGAGGGCCTCCGGGACGGGTACCGCGGCAGCATGGCGCTGGACGACGTGGCCCTGCGGCCCGGGCCCTGCTGGGCCCCCCGGCGCTGCTCCTTCGAGGACTCTGCCTGTGGCTTCTCCACGGGGGGCCGGGGCCTCTGGACTCGCCAGGCCAACGCCTCGTGGGGCCCCCACACTGACCATACCACGGAGACGGCTCAGGGTGCCTGCTGGGGTGGGGTGGGGAGCAGATGGGTGGGGGCGGGGAGGGCAGGGGCGGCGGCTGGCAGGCTGACCCCGCCGCCCCCCAGGTCACTACATGGTGGTGGACATGAGCCCGCAGGCCTTGCCCCGTGGCCGCGCGGCCTTGCTGACCTCGGAGGAGCACCGCCCCCTGCTGCAGCCCGCCTGCCTGACCTTCTGGTACCACCTGAGCCTCCGCAACCCGGGTGAGGGGCTGCCGGGAGCCAGGGCTGTGGGGTCCCCTCAGGAGGCCCCTTGGGAGCCCCCCCACCGCAGGGCCCAAGCGGGCAGCCCCCACCGCGCTGACGGGGCTGGCTGCTCGGCGGCAGGCACCCTGAAGGTCCATGTGGAGGAGGCCAGCAGGCAGCAGGCACTCAGCGTTAGCTCTCGCGGAGGAGCCGCCTGGCGCCTGGGCAGTGTGGACGTGCAGGCCGGGCGGGCCTGGAGGGTGAGTGGAGTGGGGTGCCCTCCTCACCCCAAGGGCTGTCGAGGGCGCAGCAGGCGCGACCCCCACCCGGTGCCCCCCAGGTGGTGTTCGAGGCGGTGGCCGCCGGCGTGGAGCACTCCTACGTGGCGCTGGACGACCTGCTCCTCCAGGACGGGCCCTGCCCCCTGCCAGGTGGGAGCCCGTGGCCTGGCTCCTGGTGGTCCTGGCTCCGTGCCGCCCCCATGACGCCTGGCCTGAGCTCCACGCCCCGCGGCGGTGGTGCCCAGGGGTGGAAGGCGCGGGGCAGCACCCTCACGACTGGCCCCTTGCAGCTTCCTGTGACTTTGAGGCTGGTCTGTGTGGCTGGAGCCATGTGCCCCGGCCCGGCCTGGGCGGGTACAGCTGGGACTGGGGCAGCGGCGCCTTGCCCTCCCGCTACGCGCAGCCCCCTGTGGACCACACGCTCGGCACAGAGGCAGGTGGGTCCGAGGCGGGAAGGGGCCCCAGAGCCTCGCACGCCACACCCCAGCCCAGCCCAGCCCACCCGGCGCCCGGCAGGGTCGGAGGCCACAGGTCGGGGCGCCGGCTCCATCGGGTCTGCCGGGCGCCCGCCCTCTCGTTCCCAGGCCACTTTGCCCTCTTTGAGACCAGCGTGCTGGGCCCTGGGGGCCAAGCGGCCGGGCTCGTCAGCCAGCCTCTGCCGCCCAGCACGGCCGCCTGCCTGCGCTTCTGGTACCGCATGGACTTCCCCGAGCACTTCCGTGAGCGGCCCGGAGCTCCGGGGCAGGGTGGGGCGGGGGCGCGGGCCGCCCCACTCATCTGACTGTCCTGACACCTACTCCCAGACCAGGGCGAGCTGAGGGTCCTCCTGAGCAGCACGCAGGGGCAGCTGGCCGTGTGGGGCGCGGGCGGGCGCCGACGGCACCAGTGGCTGGAGGGCCAGGTGGACGTGGCCAGCACCGTGGAGTTCCAGGTGGGGCAGGCAGGCCAACCCGGGAGCCCTCGGGCGGCTGCGGCCCCCGCCCCGGCCCACACAGCCTCCTCCCACTCCTGTCAGGTCGTGTTTGAAGCCACACTGGGCGGCCAGCCGGCCGTGGGGCCCATCGCCCTGGATGACGTTGAGTACCGGGCTGGGCAGCGGTGCCGGCTGCCTACACCCAGCCAGGGTAGGCCCTGCCCAGCGGGCGGCTCTACTCCAGGGCGGGGCCTCTGCCAGCCCTGGGGGTGGGGGGTCACACCCTCGCCCTGAGGGACCAGGAGAGCCACAGGCCGGCTGCAGGGCCCCAGCCCGGGGCCCTGTGCCCCCAGGAGCAGGGTGCCCCCTGGCCTCTGCCTAATGAGCTCCCGCCCCCGGTCGGGCAGAGACCGCGGCCGCCCTCCTGCTGGAGCGCTCACTGGTGGCTGTGACTTCACGATAAAGGGGGCGTCCAGCCTGGGGCAGTGACCCCCGGGTTTGCAGCCCCGTGCCTGCCAGGGCCCAGCCTCAGCCCATGACCGGTGACTGCAGAGGGAACCTGGAAACCCCAGGCCGTGGCGACAGCCATGCCGGGCACACTCCTTGACCCCGGGTGGGGCTGAGACAGGACTGGGATCCTGGGTCACGCGCCCTGCGGCCCACAGGGGACGGGGCGGTGGCCGCACTGGTGCCGGCTGTGGTCGGCGGCGTCCTCCTCCTCCTCGTGCTGCTGCTGCTCGGGGTCGCGGGCCGGCGCTGGCTGCAGAAGAAGGGGGGCTGCCCCTCCTGGGGCGAGATGGACGCCATGGCCCCCGGCTTCGACAACATTCTCTTCAGTGCGGTAGGAGCCCCAGCTGGACGTGGTGGGCGGGAGCCGCAGGTCCCTGCATGCTGAGCACTCGGCCTGACAGTGCACAGGGCCCCAGCGGCCACTGAGCTCCTCCCCTTCCCCCCAGGACCGCGTCACCCTGCCAGCATCAGTCACCAACGGCCAGTAGACGACCCAGAGAAGACCCCAGCTCCTCACATGAGCTCACCCGCCACTGGGACCCCGGCCCAGGGACCAACACCTGCCCCCACAATACATTGAGCTCCTGCATCCATCACCCTCACAGGGGCTGTACCCACAGGCCCAAATGTGGCCCTTATCCCAGCAATAAATGCCCCAGGAAGGGCAGTTCCCCAGACCCGATCCAACCTGCCCGAGGACATGCTTGGGGGTCCCTCCCAGGGGCCTCAGTGGCTCAGGAGATGGCCAGCGGTTCGAGGCAGCAAGAGGCAGATGCAGTGGGGCCCCAAGCAGCCACTGCCCCAGCCCAGGCAAGAGGGCCCCTCAGGGCCCCCCCAGGCCCCACCTCACTGGGCGATTCTGTATCTGATAAAAGACGGAAACCCCCACAGGTTCAGGTGACAGACTCACGAGCAAACACTTGTCAGGGTCCAAGGTGGCCTGGAGCTGGACTGGTGGGGGAATGCTCTAATCTGTCCAGAGTCCCAAATAAAGGTCTCCGTGTTCGCCCTCCCAGGGTCAAGGTCCCCGTGCCCGCCCTCCCACAGTCAAAGTCCCCAAGTCCACCCTTCCCCGGTCAAAATTCCTACCCACAAGCCACCCTCACGTAATAAAATGGAGCAGAGCCCTTCTAACCCAGGGACAGTCCCAGGTTCTGACCTTACACACGGGAGATTCAGACACCTCCCACCCAAGTTGGGGGAGGCGCCCAGGCTTGGCCGTCCTGGAGAGCGTGACGGCCACACCTGCACCTCCAGGTGCCCTCTCCAGCCCAGGTGGCGCCACCTTGCCACCTTAGCCCACCAGGACCCACGGGCAAGGGTGTGATTGGGGACTCGGCACCAGGGTCTGATGCCCAGAGGCTGACCGATGCCCCCTAACCGTCCCAGCAGAGGCGACGGGAAACAGCTTGCAGAGGGACCGTCCCAGCCCCTCAGGCTCCCCTGTGGCGCCTCACAAAGACAGCCCTTGGCCGCACTGGGGGCCAGAGGGAGGGGGCGCCGCAGGCACAACAGCAGCGAGTGGGGGCAAGGATCCACCACCAACAGGAAGGGAACAAACTTTATTAGCTTCTCTACGAGACAGGCTGGACACACAGCTCCTCTCCCAGACGGTGACCACCCAACCCCCCTCCAGCTCCTGGGAGCCACGCCCACAGCGGGACGGACCCCGGGGGCGAGGACGGCAGCGTTCCACACCCACTGAGGGCGGGGACAGGGAGGAAAAATCAGAAGCAGACACTTTGCAAGGTTTTGTTAGTTAGTTAGACAGCAGGTACGAGGAGAGGGGCTCCCAGGCGGGACTCCCGCTGTGTTCCGCTCGGCTGCGTGGAGAGAGCCGTGCTGGCGCCAGTGGTCGAGGGGACCAGCCGGACGAGATCAGCCGGAACGCACTGATTTCGAGGCTTTATGTTCATTTCGCCCTTGGCCCCTTCTCGATCGGCTTCCCAATGTCCTTCCCCCGGAGCTTGAGGCCTGAAAGAGCCATGGGCCCCCACTGACCACTGCAGCTCCCACTCTGGACTTCAAGGCACGAGGCAGCTCCTCAGCCTCCGAACCCTCCACCTCACAGAGGGCCGCGCCCCCACTGACCCTGGGGCACTGGCTCCCTTCTCCCTTCCTCTGGAGGGGGCGGGGAGCGCCACCCCGTCCCTGGGCTCTCCTCCACCCCAGGAATAGTTCTCAGGTCTGATTCTAAAGAGCATGTGCCTGCCCCTCCTCGAGAGGAGAGGACGGCCCCTCCCAGGACCAGGCCTCTGCTCCGGGCCACGTTGCTGCCAATGCCAGGTGGGTGGCACGGGGCGAGGTGGAGAGATGTGAGGGGGGGGCGCCCAGACACAACGTGCTCCTGGGAATGTTCTTCAGGCTCTGGAGAATTCTGGGGCCCCAGGGGCCTTCCTGCACCCTCCTCACCAACTGCACCCAGGAGGGGCGGCCACCCTGTGTCTGGTCAAGCAGTGAAGGTCAGCAGTGAAGACACTTACCAATGGCTCTCTCGATCTTGCCCAGAACCTGGTTGTTGGGAATGGCCCGGCCACTCTCGTAGTCCGCAATGACTTGCGGCTTCTCATTGATTTTCTAGAGAGAACGTGTGTTTGCCCGTCAGCTCCAGGCGGTGGTGGGAGACAGACACAGCCAGGGGAGGGCCTCAGGCTCTGCGCGGCGTGTGCGGGCCCAGGGCCGGAGTAGAGGCAGCTCAGCAAGTCACAGCTGAGTCGTATGGCCCCTCAGAGGTCTCAGGGCTCCCAGGGCAAGAGCCAACTGAAGCCCCAAGTCACTGGGCGAGCTGGGCCCGTGCCCCCCGCCTGCCCGACCATGGCCTGGAGCAGTGGCCCGCCGTGCTCACCGTGGCCAGGTCCTTCTGTGTCAGCCCCTTGCTCTGCCGGCCCTGCTGGATCACTTTGCCAACCTCCAGGGTCACCCGGTCGTGATGCAGCTCCTCAGTCTCCCGGTCCAGCTTAGCTGTGTTCTTGGTGATCGAATGCTGCTTGTTCTGGCCGGCGGCCCCTGGGCCGTGCAAGGCAAGAGCAAAGCAGAGGATTTGCAGCAATCCCACAGGTGAGCCGGTCCGGAGTGGAACCAGGCCCCACGGGCGCCTTGAGCCTGGAAGACAGGCTCAGCCAGGCCACCCAAAGTGGGGACACCTGCACAGGCCTAAGCGCATAAGCCCAAGATCTCCTCCCGGCGACAGGAAGTGGGTGGAAGGACCCCTCCTGACTCATGCCAACCACTGCTGCTCTGACGAGACCCTCACACCCCCAGCCCTGCAGCCACGTCGATGCCAGCAGCCACCCTAACGCCCGGGGAACCCGGAAACTCCCTGGTCCTGCAAGTGGACATGTGAGTACCTACATTTCTTAGAAGTCTCCACATCTTCTCCTCGTCTCTGAGCTGCTAAGATGGCCTAGAAAATTAGAAAGTGTTTTTTGGTCAAAATTAGCTTTCCAGTACCTAGCTAACCCCAATCTAGGCTACTGTCAGCCTGTCAGCCAACCGATAATGCCTCGTGCTTTTCGAGCCCTGGCAGTCAGGCTCTGAACTCATGCCCTGAAGCGCCCTGCTACAGGGCGCTTCTAGTACCTGATGTTTTTTCAAGGACCGACAAGCAAATGCTGGGTTTAAGCCAAAGTTTGTCATACAAGCTTTGTATGCCCTCTGTATGTCCAACTGTCTAGGCAACTCTCAATAAACTTTGGCTCAAGAAAAGAGAAAGAGCTCATGACCTTGCTGTTGAAAAAGACAGGCAAGTGAGTCCTTTTAGAAACCCACACTTGAAATAGATTTCTCTACGAGACTCTCCAGCCAGAAGGAACGTCAAGTGAGGACCTGGTTTGGCCTTCCTCAGGCGAACTGGCTCCTAATAAAATACAGCACATCGCACAAAGCCTGGAGCCCTCACCCCAAACCCTGGCAAAAACAGTGACGCCCCTTGATCCACAGTCGTAGAACATAAATGTGACATATTTCTTAAAGTTTCTGACACCTTAGAGACGTGGCTGTGGGGCATTCTAAGTGTGACGTGTTCACAAACGTTTTCTAGACCTGTTCACATGATTCCTAGCTTGTGGCTATTAAGGTTCCTTTGGAAAAAAAAGAGAGAGTGAATTTGGTTTTGACCAACTGAAAAGTCCTGGGCAGGTTGATGAATGCTATTCAGCAGGGCCAAAGCCAGCCGTGGCCCAGGCCTGGCACTGCGTGTCTAAGGCCAGCCCACGGCTGCTGAGAGTAGAAACGATCAGGGCTGGAGACTGACCTGCCCTTCCCCCCTTCCCTTACAGCGACTCACAGGGGAACCCGATGGATTCGCGGAGAACCGTCTGCCCCAAGTGCCCCTCAGGGCATGCCGGCTACTCTGGCAAGATGGGTACAGAAGGGTCACCAGCATGCTGGGTCCTAGGCCACTCAGCCCGGGGCCAGGGACTCCCTTCAGCCGGCAGTGTGCTTCAGTGGGCTCCGCGGGCGGCCTCGGACTGGCCGGGCACCGGGCAGCCGGCGGACGGGGGAAGAACACGCCGGGGCGGGGATGCCCGCCAACCCTGCCCGCGTCCGATCGCTTCCCAGGGCCCGTCACTAACCGTCCTCGCTGACAGCTTCGGCCCGCTCCCCTCCTCCACCCGGGTCCCTCAGTCTCTGTCCCGCGGGCCTGTGTCACTGCCCGAAACCGCCTCGACGCCCTCGGTCCGCCCCCGGGCCCCTCTCCGTGACCACCCGGTGCCCGATCCGGCGCCGGGCCCACTCCCCGCCCCCGGCCGGCCTTGGGTCCCGAGGCCCACGCCGCGCCCGCACCTGCTTGGACTTGGCCTGGGCGGCCGTGGGGCCCTTTTTGCGCAGCACCGTCACCGTGTCCCAGTCGCTCTCAGCCATGGCGGGGCGGGCAGGGAAGGCGGTCCGTCCGGCGGCTCCGCAGCAGCTGCTCGAGACCCGGCGACGCGACGTCCCCTCGTCGCTGGGCCGCTTCCGGCGCCCGCTGCGGGCCCGCCCCTCCTCCCATTGGCCGGCGACTCGAGGGGGCGGGTACTTCCCTCGGCACGGAGCCAATCCGCGCCCGGCTCCTCTAAGCAAGCCCCCGCGGTGCGCGACGTGGGGCGGGAGACGGCGCGGCCCGGGCGCCTGGCCGCTGGGGGGCGCTGCAGGGGCCGGGGGAGCTGGGGGTGGCGCAGGGGGCGCCCGGGAGCTCTGAGGGGCGAAGAGAGGGGCAGGGAGCCCGGGGGAGCTGGGGGGTGGCTGAGGAGGGGACGGGAACCGCTGGGGGTGCTGAGGGGGGCGTGGGGCGGTGAGGCGTTTCAGGGGCCGCGGGCGCGGAGGCGAGAGGAGGCGGGGTGGGGCGAAGGGGACCCCAGCTCGGGGAGGCGGTGCGCGGTGGCCCTCGCAACCGGGTGGGGGGCGCGGCGTGAGGAGGAGTACTGGGCGGAGGAAGGGGAAACGCTGGTGGGGTTCTGTGCGAGAAGCGAGGAGGGGGCGCAGGTGGCGGGAAGGAAGGAGGCGGGAGCCAACACCTGGCTTCTTGCGCCCGGCCGGCGGGGACGCGGCCTGGCCCCTCGCGGGCGAGGTGGGCGCGCGAACGTGATGCAGGGGGGAAAGGTGGCCTCGTCGATTTCTCTGTCGTTGATGTTAGTTTCTGCTTCATGCCTTTTTTGGTCACCTTGCACGCCAACTGAAGTTCTATTTCTCTGGACTTATTACCAAGCGATACAAAGATGGTGGGGGCCAGAGTGGATGCAGGTTAGGTGGGGCGTGAAGCAAATTTATTTTGTGGGAGGACGCCAAGGCAATATGTAAAATTATAAAAACAGAATTACACAATATGTTTCTGTGTAACATGTATGTTTTGGATAATGTATACATAATTTTACAGTATAATATAAAAGTATACATAATGAATGCTAATTTACAATAACTAATACAGTTATTTTATGGCAATCTTGGATCATGAGAAAATAAGTCAAAAATTGATAAGCATCACAAAATTCAGAAAAATAACCTTTGTATGAGTTAATGAATGCATCTTTAATGCTTTTGCTTGCATTTTTGGCTGTATTTTCATTGATTGCCACGTCATGACTTTGCAGAATTGTTTTCTGGAAAGAACAGTTCAGAGGTTTCTTTAACCTGTTGGATCAAAGTTAATGTTGACCTTGGTTTGGGTAGCACTCCTGGCTTTGCATAGACATGCTCTGTTTGTAGCATTCCTGTAGGTTTATGCTCCACAGCAGAGTAATTCTAACACTCGTGTAGACTACACTGTGGCAGACCACAGGCAAATGGAGAACATGGGAGGAACTTCCTTTCATCGGGAAAAGGGGGAGTCGGGGGAGCTGGGGGTCCAGTGGAGGCTCCCCATTGGCTGGACTGCTGAAATCTCTGCCGGGCTGAGCTGTACATGGGGTGGGGGACCGAGGGAAGTTCCCTTCCTCCTGCCTGGCGGGAAGTAGGGGCACCTTCCCAGCAGAAGATGTAGATAGAGGTCTCTTCCTGTTTAGGGTAATTGACACATCTGATAGGCGTGAGCGCTTCCCCCTAGCCTGAATCCATCTTCAGGTGCGGTTTCTGTAATTAGTTCCACATTTCCCCCTTTCATGAAAATCTTTTGTCAAAATATCAGTGATCAAGAGTTGGGATCTCGGGACTTCCCTGGTCATCCAGTGCCTAAGACTCCGAGTCACCAGTACAAAGTGCCCAGGTTGGATGAGGTCTGGTGAGGAAAGTAGATCCCATATGCTGCAACTAAGACCCAGCACAGCCGAAGAAATCAATTTTAAAAAAGATGAGAGGACCTCCCTGGTGGTCCAGTGGCTAAGACTCCGTGCTTCTGATGCAGGGAGCTCAGGGTCAATCCCTGGTCAGGGAACTGGCTCCCACGTGCCACAGCTAAGAATTCTCACACTGCAGCTAACACCTGGTGTAGTCAAGTGAATAAATACTAAAAAACAAAAAGAAGAAGATCTCTGTATAGTGGCGTTTCTCCCTCAGGGCCAAGGACCGCCCCTGGCTGTCACGTCCCTCCCGTGCTGGTGCTGGTTTAGTCGCTCAGTTGTGTCTGACTTTCACGACCCCATGGACTGTAGCCCGCCAGGCTCCTCTGTCCATGGGATTTTCCAAGCAAGAATACTGGAGTGGGTTGCCATTTCCTTCCCCAGGGGAATTTCCCAACCCGGGGATTGAACCCGGCTCTCCTGTATTTCAGGCAGCCTCCTTCATTACAGGCGGGTTCTTTACCAACTGAGTCACCAAGGAAGCCCCACATCACTTCCCATTTTGGAGGGAAAGTAAACAAATGAGATAGACGGCGTTTGAGTGAGGAGAATAGTAGGGAGAACTCTCAGCGTTCTTTTTACAAGTCCATGGTTAGTCAAGGTTATGAGCACTAGGAATTACCTCAAAGTGCTGAGCTAGCATCATCTCATTGAAAGTGAAAGTCACCCAGTTGTGTCCGACTCTTTGTGACCCCGTGGACTGTCCATGGAATTCTCCAGGCCAGAATACTGGAGTGGGTAGCCTTTCCCTTCTCCAGGAGATCTTCCCAACCCAGGAGTCGAACCAGGGTCTCCTGCATTGCAGGTGGATTCTTTACCAACTGAGCTATCAGGGAAGCCACTGTCTTATTAGGAGTGTCATTTTTAATAAAGTTTCAACAAACAATAAATGCAGAACTTAAGTATATTGAGCAGAATTAAAAACCACACAGTAGGGACATCCCTGGTGGTGCAGTAGATAAGAATCTGCCCGCCAGCGCGCGGGACACGGATCCAACCCCTGGGCCGGGAAGAGTCCACGTGCCACAGAGCAGCTCAAGCCCGTGTGCCGGAGTGCTGCCGCCCCAGACGGCCCCGGGCCTGCGCTCGGCGACAGGGCGAGCCGTTGCAGTGGGCGGCCTGGGCACCGCAGTCAGAGCAGCCCCCGCTCACCGCAGCCAGAGAAGCCCCACACACAGTACAAAGACCCAGCGCAACCAACATACAAATAATTTTTAAAAAGTATACAATAAACCCAATTTGCTAGGCAGTTCCAAATCAGGAGCCCAGAACTGCAGGTATCCAGCCAAATGAACGATAAAGACAGCTGGTTATCAGGTGATAGTGCTGCAGCCAATGTGCTTGCTCTTTAGCCTTCTGTCGTTGGGTCTCTACTTCCCCAGAGGCTGTCACTCATTGAAGGAAGAGGAGTTTGCTATTGCAGACACCTGCTTGCTCAGCAAGCAGTGATCACAGGTTCGCTGGCGCTCACTCCCATCCATGGGAGGAAGGGTCTTCCTAAAGAGGCAAAGCCAGAAACTCTTAATGCCTCCTGCGAAATGCTCACTTAAAGCCGTTACAGAGGTTTAATGGGACAGATCCATGTGAGGCTTCTCTTCAGTTATGCAGGGAGAGCAGGCCGGTGAACACAGCAGGGCATACTGTCCTGTCTTCTCCAACCACAAAGACAGGAGGCTGCCCGAGCATAACAGCCATTCCCCAAACGCCCACATGTGAAGGTGCGCGCAGGGGGCATATGTACACAAAGCCCCCACACGAGCGATGGAATCTATGAATTCCTACACTGGCTCAGAGGCACTGACATCACTCAGCCAAGGTCCCAACAGCTTGTGCTGTCCACTTTAGTAATTATGTTACCAGCAGAAGAGAGTGTGTGTGGGAAAGTGAAGGAGTCGCAGTTCAGGGTTAGGGGTGTGACGGCCGCAGGCCGATCCAGAGAAGAGGAGGGGGGCTTGCTCTCCAGGGAAAGGCGGGAGTTGGCAGGGGCTGTGATGACCGAAAAGGTGACTGGGGACTAGGGTTCCGATGGAGGCCTCCCATTGGCTGGGCCCTATTTGTATTGGCTGGGCTGTGGGGTGGTTGAGGGTGCCTACGAAGTTTCCTCCCTCCTGCCTGATGGTAAGTAGAGGCACCTTCCTGTCCGAGAGGTGGGTGGAGGCCTCTTCCTCTCTGGTAAATTGGCGTCCATGACAGGCACGAGGGCTTCTCCCACAGGCCAGTCCCCATTCCAGCTTTGGCTGGCGGCGGCGGTGCTGGTTTAGTCGCTAAGTCATGTCTGACTCTTGTGACCCCGTGGACTGTAGCCTGGCAGGCTTCTCTGTCCATGGGATTCTCCAGGCAAAAATACTGGAGAAGTGAAAGAAAATTACTATAAGTTTGTTAAGGTTCATAAAAGGCATCCTTTGGTCACCTCTGAGTGAGAATAGACGGACAAATGTGGCTGGATTGGTCTATTGAACATGACGACGGAAAAGGTTGATTTGTGACAAAAGCGTTGTCAAATTTGCAGATATTAAGACTCGAAAACAGAAACTGGTATGATGTTATTTATTACTGTGAAAAGTGGACGTGTTGGAAGATGCAGCCCCCTTTTTTGAGAAAAAGCGTCGATGTGAAGAAAGTTCTGAGCCGTCACTTTTCCCCCGCGCACTGGCGGCCGCCTCCTTCAGCTGCAGAAGGTAGGCCTGCCTAGACGGGGCCAGGTGCCCGATGTGAAGAAAGTTCTGAGCCGTCCCTTTTCCCCCGCGCACTGGCGGCCGCCTCCTTCAGCTGCAGAAGGTAGGCCTGCCTAGACGGGGCCAGGTGCCCGATGTGAAGAAAGTTCTGAGCCGTCCCTTTTCCCCCGCGCACTGGCGGCCGCCTCCTTCAGCTGCAGAAGGTAGGCCTGCCTAGACGGGGCCAGGTGCCAGGCCTCCGCAGGTGGTCAGGGGACGGGAGGGGGCCAGCAGAAGAGGGTGCGGCTGCCGGGGACGGGCCTGGGGCCTGTGGAAGCTAGGAGGGCTGGCGGACGGTTGACAGAACCAGGTTCACAGGTCCCAGCTGGGCTGTAGACTGCTGGGTCCTGGACAGCAGGGAGCCCCATGGAGGACGGTGGCTATGGTGGGGCAGAAAATGTCTGCTGCGGAGGGGTCTTGGGAGATCCCCGAGGGCCAGCCCCAGCCTCTCCGACACGGAGCTGCTGGGTCTGAGCGTGAGCAGAGCCATCTTAGGGTTTGCGGGTTCGAAGTGAGGCGGTGGAGCGAGTTCCCCACAGGTAGCAAGCAAGCGCGGGTCCTGGGCGGGAGGTCCCTCCGGCGTCAAGGGGCCAGGGCCACAGTTCCTGATGAGGCCGGCAGAGGGCGCCCGCGGACCGACCGCTGCTCCCCACTGAGCCCGAAGGGGCCGCTGCCCTCCAGGGACCCACATCTGGGGGAGGACAGAAGCACGCCAGGCTAGTCCCACCAGGCGTGGGGGAAGGGCCGACTTAACACAGGGCAACCAGGAGAGAGACCTTCTCTATCTTGAGACCCTATAGGGCCCAGGCTGTGTCCAGCGCCTGGGGAGGAAGGTAGCTTCGTCCCAGCCACCTGTGGGCTGGCACAAAGGCCCTGGGGCCAGATTGGCCTGGTGATCCGAGGCCAGGGATGGTTAGGGCAGCCCCGGCGCCTGTGATTTTGAATGTGAGGTTGTCTCCCAGGTCTGCGGTTCTGCTTATGGAGTGGGGTCCATTTTGTAAGATTGGCTGAAGGGCAGTGGGTGTTGAGTGGGGAGTCTGGGCAGAGCTTGTCTCTAAGTGGGGGAATTTGGGGTGATCTTTGCCTTCTTGGTAATTTTATGTGTTTTCCAGAACTTCCAAAATGACCTTCTGTTGTTTAAAACCAAATGTTTTTGAATAGGTGGTACCATAAAGTGGTTTAAAAACGGTGGGTGTTCAGAGAAATTGGCCCCTCCATGCCTCCCAGCATGTCAATTACTTCCTCCTGCATCCTTCCCAAGTCTGCGGAGAACACAAAATACACACGGACATGGAGCCCCTTCTCTCCCACCTCAGCTTACGGAGGACGCTGCACACACTGTCACCTCCGTGCTCTGCACCTCGTCTGCGCCGGGCGTGGGTGGCCCTGCTCCCAGACTGCCTGCTGTGAAGTCAGCTGCTGCACCTCACCCCCCCCTTCTTTCTCCTATTCTGGAGGAGGGACAGCGTGGGCAGTGTGCTTCCAGACCAGGGGGCGGGGGAGCCCCTTGTGGCTGGCGCTGGGGCAGGGGAATTCTGGGCAGGACTGGAGGCTGGCCTTTCTGGAACCCCCTCCATCAGGTGACGACTACACAGTGAGAGTGAAACCAGCTCCTTTTGGAAGCTGCAGCTCGGGGGGTGGGGGGGGCCTTCAGGGCCAAGCTCTCAGGACAGGCAGTGGGTTGTGTCAGGAGGCTGGCTCTACCAGCTCCGGCCTCTGCTCCGGGGACAGCTTCAGGCACGGGGGGCAGCCCACATCCAGGTTCCCAAGTGGGGGCCCATGTTGACCCTCCTGCCTCAGGGCTGAGTGCTGTTCTCCCAGAGGCCTGGGCGTAAAGGACGGGAGGTGAGATGTCCAAGGGCACCGGCCGTGCCAGTGGGGAGTGGAGGTGCCCCGGGCATTAGGAAGTGTCCTGGGGCGCTGATGGGGGCCTGGGAGAGGAAAGCCCAGGCGGCCGAGCAGGCGCCAGGGGCCGAGGAGGGGGCCTCGGGCAGAGTGGGAGGCGGCGGTAGCACCGGCCTGGGGTCTGCAGGCCCAGTGAACAGTGGGTGGGGCCTGTCCTGCCTGCTCGGGAGAGCTGAGAAGAGCCAGGAGCCACGGCAGCATCGACCCGGGTCTGTAGCTGGGCCCATGCCTCTCTGGGGGGCACCGAGGTGCCGGACAGAGGCCCCAGGCCCCAGCCCTCAGGGAGCAGGCAGATGACGCAGGTCCCAGCAGGGTCTGCTGGGGCTGTCCCGGCCACCTCCCGGATGGCTGCCTCAGAGGCTGAGTTTTACTTTCTTTTTGGCAGGAAGGAACCTGTGTGGGAATCCCCTGCATCGCCCAACGACCAGAGTGAGTCATCCCTTCCCAGCCTGCCAGGACGGAGGTGCCACCTTCTGAGCTGGTGGCGGTGTGGGCTGGCTGCCTCTCCGTCAGCAGCCCCTCCCGGTCAAGGCTCCGTCTCCCAGGTCTCTCCAGGGCCTGATGCCAGAACCACGCGCACGCACACACACACACACTGTCAGTGTATATCGATCAGTGTATGCACAGAGACCCTCTGAACTGGCAGTTTGAAAGATATGAAAGCATTCTCATGCTGGAAGCCTCTCCAGGACCTTCAAGATTAGCTCAGGCGTGTCAGTGCCAAGGGCTGCAGGCAGCCGCCTTCTGGGGAAGCGGGACTTCCGTCCAGGAAGCCTCCTTGGGAGGCAGGGTGGGCTGATGGGGCCCTGAGCTCAGCGCCTCTGTGCTGTCGCAATGCTGGAAGGGCAAGTGAGGTCTGAGCCTCCCTGGGGACGCACTGCAGAGGCAGGTGAACGACTTCCAGACTTTACCCTGAAGAAAAAGGGGTGCTGCTGTGGGGAACCCCCTCCCTTCTTTGCTGCCCATGGGTTCCCATGACAGCCTCGGCCCCCCAGACCCTAGGAGAAGAGACCTCCTTACCCTGAGAGCACCATGAATTATGAACCTTGAGAGAAAGGCTCATGGAACCCATAGGAGGGGACAGGGTAGGGGGGGGCAGGGATGCTCGTGGCAAATGTTAGTTATTCAGTCCCGTCCCACTGTCCGCAACCCCATGGACTGTAGCCTGCCAGGATCCTCTGTCCATGGGATTCTCCAGGCAAGAAAACTGGTGTGGGTTGCTATGTCCTCTTCCAGGGGACCTTCTTGACCTGGAGATTGAACCCAGGTCTCCCCCATTGCAGGCAGCTTCTTTACTGCCTGAGCCGCCAGGGGAGTGGCAAACTCAGCCTCGAGGTTCACAGAACTCGTGCTGGACGCAGGGCGGCCTCGCTGCTGGACGCAGGGTGGCCTCGCTGCTGCACGCAGGGCTGTGCTGTTTGGGACTGGGGAACTCCAACTCCAAGTCATGATTTGTGCAGCATGATGGGAGTACTTCTGGATGCCGTGTGGATCATTAACATGACGTGGCTTCACAGCCTGCCTGGTTTCATTCACTCCGTCCTTGGGCACTTTGCTTGGCTTCCGATGCTCCCCCTGGAGCGGGGGTGCCCAGTGTGCTGCGTGACCTGCCAAAGGAATCGTGCCTGTCCCTTCCTGAAAGATGGGGAGAGCTGTCCCCTTTCCCCCATGCTGGTGTCGGAGGAGACTGTCCTCAGGTCTTTAGAAAGCTGTGTCCCACAGGAGAGAATCCGAATTGTCCCCGCCCTCCTTCAGCAGATACGAAACACTGTCCTGGGGTCGCACACTCAGAGGCAGTGCCCTGCCCCTCCCGACGGGGACTTTTGTTCTGGTCAAGACTGTGGCCTCCTTTCTAAATGTTTCCACTTGTGTGTCTGTAGGCCAAAGGTATGTATATTTGGTTTTGTTTGGTGGTAAAATTCACATAATGTGAAATTCGCCATTTAAACCACTTTGAAGCTTACGTTTCAGTAAGGTCTGGCAACGGTCGCCGCTGCTAGAGGACACTTCACTACTCGGAAAGGAGGCCTCCCTTTAGGTCTTCCTACCCTGTAGACACGAAGGAGGAGGAGGGCACGGCAACCCGCTCCAGTATTCTTGCCTGGAGAATCCCACGGACAGAGGAGCCTTGGGGCTTCACTCCACGGGGTCGCAGAGTCCGACACGGCTGAGCGACTAAGCACAAGCACCCTTTAGACCGGCGGGGTCCGTTTGTACTTTTTCTCATGAATGTAACCTACTCTCGGGCCCAGCTCTGCGCCGGCCCTGGGCCTGGGGTTGACCCTCCGTGAGTGAACAGCTATCACCAGCATAAGGAGTCGTGGAGCCCTGCCCGGAGAGAGCCCGCGGGAGACCAGTACCCAAGGCGCGGCAGCCCCGCCCAATCGGCGCCCGCTGCGGCTCCCTGCGCGCTTCTGGTAGGCTCCAGTGTCAGTCCGTCAGGAGGCGGGAGGGGCGGGGACAGGGCCGACCAATCGGGCCCCGCTGTGGCTCTCTGCAGGCCCTTGGTAGGCTTTTGTCTCAGTCCGTCAGGTGGGCGGGTCCTAATTAGGGGGCGGGGAGAAATCTAGCCAGTCGGTGCTCCCTATGGCTTCCTGGGCGCCTCTGGTAAGTCCTCACAGCAGTCCGTCAGGCGGGTTCGGGGGCGGGTCGGCGGCAGCCGCAGCGGCTGGCTGGCTGGCAGGCAGTTCCGGGCGCGAGGCGACCGTTGGTGAGTCCTGACGTCGGGGTCGGGGTCGCGGTGGGGTCGGGGGTCGAGGTCTAGGGGCGGGGACGCGGGGTGGCGGGGCGCGCGGACCCGGGAGGCCCGGCGGGAGGCGCGGACGCCGCGGCGCGCGCGCCCAAGGGGATTTCTCGGGGCCGGAAACTGAAAGTCGGAGCGGGCCCCACGCAGGAAGGTTCGCGAACAGCGGGGCGTCCGCGGGGGCGGGCTCGGGACCGGCGGGGTCGCCGCGCCTCGAGCCACCCGCGAGCTTCGGCCGCGGCCCCCACCCTTTCCTGCCCCGCTTGGGGTGCGGACGGGCTCCCCGACCTCGGGGGCCGCCGCGGGCCCCTCCGCCTGCCCCGGCCCCGCTGCGCTTTGCCCTTGCCCGACGGTGACCCCGGGCCCTGGGGCGGGTACGGGGGTCCAGAGCGGAGGCAGCTGCCGGGGCGCGCGGAGTCCGGGGACCCAGCTCTGCCGTGTGTGCGGTGCCACAGGTTCAGTGGACGCCGAGCGGGCTCCCAGTGGACCCGGCGGTGGGAACAGAGAGAGCCGGGGACAGCTGCGCCCGTGACGGCCGCCGCTCGGCCGATCCAGAGACTGGCAGGGCAGGGGATGTGTCGGGCCTCGCGCCTGGCCCTGCGAGACTCAGGGGCTACATGTCCCTGGCGGTGGGGCCGGCAACAGCTTTTAGCAGCTCAGTCACTGACTTTAGGTGGAGGTCCCAGCCGGCCCCAAAGTGTGGCTTGAGTTGTTTCTGTATGTTTTAACAGCTTTATTGCGGTGTAGTTTGCATACCATAAAACTCCCTTATTGCTTGAATTTCAAACAAACTCCTAAGAAGTGCTTTTGTAAAGCCTTTTCTGAGGGGCAGTAGCCTCCTCACACATTTGGGCATCTGACTGATTCTAGCCCCCCAGCCTGGCCCAGCTCCCACCTCAGCCTGCCCACCTGCGCACTGAAGCCGAGCCCCCCCGGTGCTGCAGCCCCCAAAGGCCGGCGCTGTGAGTGGAGCCTCTGTGCTGTCTGGTCCCGTTGTGGGGGACAGCTGCGTGGGCACCTCCTGAGACACCCAGGCTGCTCCATGGGCCCTTCGGGTGTCCCAGGCTGCCTTGTGCTCTGTGGCCCTGGCCTGTCGACTGCAGCGGCGGCGGCCCGCTCGCTGTGCCCAGCATGGTGCGTGGTGCATGGTGGGATAAGGTGAAAGTCATGTGTGTGCATCACTGACACGGGCACTCTGAACTGAAGGAATGGGTTGTCTCAACAGTGCTTGTGACCTGGGGCTAGAGCGGAGAATGTATAGCCATCACTCGGTGCTGGGGACAGTCTTTTCTTGGGGGAAGAATAGACCTTTTGACTTGAGTCAGGTGTGGGCCCCTCTCAGCAGTGGGAAATGCCAGCCTACCTGCCAGCACAGTCAGCGCACCAGTGTGGACTGGGCACAGCCTGGCAGGTGGGTTTCCATGGCAGGATGGCACACACGTGGGCAAGGGGTGGCAGGTCGAGAAGAAAACGCAGAAAAAAATGACCAGCAGGCTCCACGGATCATGCCTGGAGTGCGGGGCACACATTCCTTCTATCCTCGAGTCCAGTCTTGGGCTCGATGCCCTGTCCTCGAGGGGTGCTAGGACTGCTCCTTCCAGGAGACGGGTGAGGACCACTCCGTAAAGGTCTCCGTATGTCCAGGGGGAGGAGGGTGTGTCACTGTTCCATGGAGGGGTTGTGTCTCGGGGGAGGGACGGAGGCAGGCTCCCAGCAGCAGGGCGGAGACGGCAGGCCCGCAGGTGGTAGAGAGGTGTTCGGGGCAGGTGTTCTTGTGGACTGGCTGTGGTTTAGAGACGTGACTACACAGCAGCGGTGGGGGTAGGAGGTGAGTAGCAGGGGTGATGCTGTGCAGGTTCCAGGATTGGGGTGCCCTGCTGTGGAGTGGGGTAGGGCATGGCTGGGCTAGTCAAGGGGGCAGCACAGAGGAAGGGCCAGACCCAGGTGTGGGAGTCGGTTGCCAGCGGGAGCCTGGGGAGCAGGGACGGCACTCATAACCGCCCGCACATGCCCGGGTCCCCCCTCCCTACCGCCAGGCCTGTGATGCCCCTGTGCCCAGGAGGGCAGGGGAGGGCTCTCTGGGAATCCGAGAGCCTGCTTGGGCAGCCTGGGGGATCTGAGGGAGGAGCTGGGTCCCCGTCATGTGTTTAAGGGGCTGGGGAGGCCCTGCGGTAAGTCATGTCATGGTGGACGGTGGCCTGGCCCAGCAGTTGCAGTGTGGTTAGGTTCTGGATGCTGGTTTTTTGGGGTAGAGGTTGTTGGGTCTTCATCTCTGCAGGTGGGCTTTCTCCAGGTGCGGCCAGCAGGGGCGCTCTAGCCATGGCTCCAGCTAGTGGGGTCTCGTTGCGGTGGCTCCTCCACTGGACTCAGAGGCTCAGTAGTTGAGGCTCGCGGGCTCAGCTGCACCCGTCGTTGGCAGCTGGGTCCTTAACCACCAGACACCAGGGAAGTCCCGCTTCTGGATATGGGTAGCAGGCAGAATCAGTGGGTTTCCTGACCCACTGGAGGTGGGACTGAGGCCTCAAAGGGGCACATTTGCTCCATCGTCATTACCGTCTCCCTGTCAATGGCCCAGTTTTTTGGTTTTTTTTTTTATTAGTTGGAGGCTAATTACTTTACAATATTGTAGTGGTTTTTGCCATACATTGACATGAATCAGCCATGGATTTACATGTGTTCCCCATCCCGATCCCCACTCCTGCCTCCCTCCCCATCCCATCCCTCTGGGTCTTCCCAGTGCACCAGCCCCGAGCCCTTGTCTCATGCATCCAACCTGGGCTGGTGATCTGTTTCACCCTTGATAGTATACTTGTTTCAGTGCTGTTCTCTCGGAACACCCCACCCTCGAATGGCCCAGGTTTTAATAAGAGTCTGGGTGCGTTGGCGGCACGAGTGGCTGCGAACGGGCGGGTGTGGCGTTTACCCCTGTGCTCTGGTGTCACAAGTTGCTGGGTGCTGAGTTGGTGCCCGATCACTTGGCATCATGTTGAGCTTGAAAGAAGGTGACGTCGTGTAAACGGGACTGCTCACCTCGGGCTGTGGTCCTGGGGGCCGCACTGCACACCGTGTGCAGATGTCAGTCCCTGACTCTGGCCTCGGGAGGTTTGTTGTGCAGGCGGCTTAGACCCGGGGGATGGGGGCCCAAGCATTGCAAGCAGCAGGGGTGGCTGTCAGTGGGAGCATGGATTTGGGGGAGTTCAGTCCCTGCATTGGGGCATCCCAGAGGGAGGTTCTTAAGCTGAGCCCATGTGTCTGCTGGCGACAGGTGGCCCCCCAGCAGCCGCCTGTTCGACCCTTGATGTGATGTTGGTTTGGACAGCAGCTCGCCCTTGCGAGATGACTCACTGACTCCCACGCACCGGGTGAGGATGGTGGGGCCCAGCTGCCCAGCAGCCTCGGGCTCCATTGGGGTCTGGGTGATTTCCCACAGGGACGGCCCTTTCCACAGGTCCTCCTGCTGTGCACGCAGGTGGGATCTGGGCTTGCGAAGGGGGTCTGCAGTGGAGGAAATGGCAAAAGGCAGGTGCCAGGTGCCCCCACCCTCCTGGGGGCTGCAGCCCACCTGGGGGCTTCTTTTGTGTTAAAACCCATTTCTGAGGTTGCCCTGCCGTTGTCAACGTTATGAAGCGGGTTGTTCTGGGTAAATGTGCATGAGTGTACCATGATTAGGGATTTCACCATCTTTTTTGGATTCTCTGGGAATACAGACTCCATTTCTTTATTTTAAAAATGAGATACTTGTACAGCAAAGTGTACAAGCTCTGAGTGTACGGCCAGACACACCTGTGTCCACGCACACAGCCGCTGCTGCCCTTCTGGAAGTCCTCCCCTCCCGTAGCGCTGGCCCTCCTACATGGAAAACTGTTCCGCTACTCACAAGGTTTCTTTTTTTTTTCCACAAGGTTTCTGACTCCAAATGTGTGATTTTTCCACACCAAGCAATTCTCCATTTCTTTCTCTCTTTTTTAATTAATTAGTTTCCTTTTGGCTGTGCTGGGTCTTTGTTTCTGTGGGGGCTCTCCTCTCGTGCCGGAGGGCGGGGGCTGCTCTCCCGGGCGCCCGGGCGCGCAGGCTCAGTAGCTGTGGCTAAGGCTCTGCTGCCCCACGGCATGGTGGGATCTTCCCGGACCAGGGATTGAATCCGTGTCTGCTGCATTGACAGGCAGCTTCTTCACCACTGAGCCACCAGGGAAGCCCCCCGTTTCTCCATGGCCGCCTGGAGTCCGCACAGGCCCCTCCCGTTCAGGGCTCGGCCCCACACGGCTGCCCCCACCCCACCTCCGATGGCAGTGGGCAGCGAGGCCTCCCGTGCGTCAGACACGCTGACTATAAATCGAGGTTTTTCATGACCCCTCCTTGGGGTCAGTGATTTGCTAGCAGAGCTCTGAGAACTCAGAATCTCAAGTGTCAGCCCGCTGGGAGAGACGCCCAGGCCAGGTACGGAGGTGGGGAGGGCGGCCATAGCCCCTCCGTGCGCGTCCCCGTGTCCAGCTAGAAGCTGTCCAAACCCCCTGGTTTAGTTTTCTAGAGGGCTCCACTGTGAAGGCACGCTTGATTAAACCGTCAGTAGGTCATCTCTAGTCTCCCTCTCCCCCGTCCGGGAGAACCCGGCCCAGCAAGCCCTGGGGGTCTGCGTGCTGCCAGCAGGGAGGAGCCCCAGCTCCTGCTGCCTCAGAATCGCCCAGGGCAGCCGCCTCCCAGCTCCTTCATCTTCTCTTAGCTTTGCCTGTCCTCCAACTCCCTGTAACTGGAGTTATTCTGTAAGTAATAGTCTAGTAGAAATGCCGTTTAACAGAATATCACTTTGTTGTGTAAAGTTAATGCGTTCCTGTCTGGAGCGTATTTTGGGCTGTGGGTTAAGTGCGAGACCAGGGCCGGGCACACGGGCGCATTCCTCCTTGTTTTTTACCACCTTGCTCGAGAGAAGTCGGGATTCAGAGAATAAACTGGAAGCTTGGAAGGCCCAGAAGGGGTTTGGTTCCAGGTTGGAGGCTCCTGACACTTGACCCCTGACATGTGTCACCCTAAGTAGAAAAGCCACCGGCCGCCCGCCTGCGAGCGCGGGTGGGTGCGGTGCAGGCCAGAGGGGCCTGAGATGTCTGGGCGGGCAGCTCTGCGAGCGGGTGGTTCGGGTAGAGCCTGGGCACGAGCTTAGAGCCTCTGTGGTGTTCCTCGTTACGATTCTTTTTTTTTTTTTAGTTCTACCAATTTATGGCTACCAACCCATCTCCCTGCACCCTCACACCCGCATGCTCGCTCATGTAACCCATGCACTGAAGCCTGCCGGGCTCCTCTGTCCATGGACTTTTCCAGGCAAGAATAGTGGAATGCCATTTCCTTCTTCTCGCCGTTATGATTAAGGGTCACAGTGCATTTATAGATGTGACTGGAATGAAATATTTAAGGCTGTAAGCCCTGAGGCCTCCCAGGGCGCCCTCGCTCTGGGCCGGGGAGCTGTGACTGCTGAGGGGGAGGTGAGGCCTGCAATGTGTTGGGGCCTTTTTCTTTATTGCTCAGAAAAGAGACTGTTTTGTGGTTCTTTAGCGTTCAACAGGAGTAAAGCCCATGGGTTAGTGAAATGGGCTCAATCTGCCGCAGGAGGTGTGGTCAGCCAGCCGCGTTTGGGTGGGAAGCCTCCACAGGCAGACCGGGCGAGTCAGTAAGAGCCTTCCGGTGTTTCCCGAGCATCATAATGATCACCGCCTCGAGGCGATGGCCAGGCCCGAGGATTGAGGGCTGTGGTCTCCCTTGGATGCAGGCTGGGCTGGCTGGCCTGGGAGAGGCGCCACCCCGTGGGGGGGTGCCCGCTGCCTCAGCCTTGGCCCCCGCGTGTTCGAGACCGGTGTCCTGCCTCAGACTTCACCCCCACAGCCCAGTGGCCTCGGCCCCTGGTGACCACACATGTCCCCGGACCCACCCTGACACGCTGTGCTCTCCCTTAGGGCTTGGTGGGGTGTGGTGCTCATGGCTGCAGCCAGCGTGACCCCTCCCAGCTCCCTGGACCTGCTGCAGCCCGGCTTCTCCAAGACCCTCCTGGGGACCAAGCTCGAGGACAAGTACCTGTGCTCAGCCTGCAGGAACGTGCTGCGCAGGCCCTTCCAGGCGCAGTGCGGCCACCGCTACTGCTCCTTCTGTCTGAGCACCATCCTGAGGTGGGGCCCGCAGAGGGGGCGGGGTGGGTGTCCCCCGGGTCGGTCTTCCCGCTCCACCGCGTCTCTACTGGGAGCCACGCAGTCTGCCGGAGCCGCAGGCTCGCAGCCCTTTGCAGCGGGCGCCCACGTCCCTGAGGGGTTGGGGGCGAGGGCAGTGGCCGGTCCTCAGGAGGACAGTGTCCCCGGTCCCCGCGTCCGTGTGTGGGCTCTGCGGGCGCACACAGCCCTGTGCCTGCTGGCCACCCCGCTTGGTGGCCGTGGGGTGGGTCTGGCGGCCGGCAGGCTCACGGGCCACTCCCCCCGCCCCTGCCCCCCCCAGCTCCGGGCCCCAGAGCTGCGCTGCCTGCGTGCAGGAGGGCATTTACGAGGAGGGCGTCTCGATCCTGGAGAGCAGCTCGGTGAGTGAGCCATCGGCGCTCTGCTGGCCACGTCAGGAGGGGCAGCCTGGCCCTGGGCCTGGGGCAGCTGGCGGGGGGCTCACCCAAGGGCCGCTCTCTCCCCAGGCGTTCCCGGACAATGCCGCCCGCAGGGAGGTGGAGAGCCTGCCGGCAGTCTGTCCCAGCGAGGGCTGCTCCTGGAAGGGCACCCTAAAGGAGTACGAGGTAGGGGCTGCCTGGCGCCGACTCTGCCTCCCCCAGGGCGGTGTCAGCCTCCACGGAGGAGAGGCGGCTGCCGCTGGGGTGGCCAGACGTGTGGCCGTGGGTGGGGCGCTCGCCGACTGCGGCCGTTTCCTGGGGTGGCCGGGTGGCAGGGAGCTTGCTCTCTGCGGGTGTTTCCTGGGGTGGCCAGGGAGCAGCGGTGTGCGTGGGGCCCGGCCTGGCCCGAGCGCCACACGGGCGAGGAGTCCGCCTTCTCGCTGCTCGGTTTGTGTTGTCTCCTCGCTGAGCGAGTTCTCGCTGGAGGACGCAGGAGTGGCCTGCTTGTCAGTCCTGGGGTCACAGGAAGGCGTCTTGACGAGGTGCCAGCGACAAGGGCAGTGGCTGGGTGTATCTCTTGTGGGCCCCTCTGGTAGGTTGGGGCACCTGTGTGCCAGCCTCCCTCTGGCACCCGGGCCTGCCGCCCTGCCATCTCCTTGGGAGAACCGGGCCTGCCGCCCTGCCGTCTCCTCGGGAGAACCCCAGGGCTCGCATGCCACTGAAGGCTCTCCTATGCGGGTCACCTGCACGAGCTGTGCCCTCAGCACTTCCCGGTGGCCGGGTGCTGCCCGCGGAAGACGGGGTGCCCACGCTGTGGTGGGTCATAACCCAGTCTAGGCCTAGTCTTGAGAACAGGGGCGCCTGCCCCAGGCTGCAGGGGGAGGGGCCTTGGGCCGTCACGCCGAGGCCGCTCTCAGCCGAGGGCAGGGAGTGTGACAGGGCAAGGTGGCCGGGCCCAGCCCGAGGCGACGGGGCTCGTGTGTGTGTGTGTGTGTGTGTGTGTGTGTGTGTGTGTGTGTGTGTGTGTGTGTGTGTGTGTGTGTGTGTGTGTGTGTGTGTGTGTGTGTGTGTGTGTCCCAGGGGAGGCCTCGGGGCGACGGGGCTCGTGTGTGTGTGTGTGTGTGTGTGTGTGTGTGTGTGTGTGTGTGTGTGTGTGTGTGTGTGTCCCAGGGGAGGCCTCGGGGCCGTACAGCCCCCCAGCGAGGCTGCAGGGCCCCTGTTCTCTGCACGGGGCTGCCCGGACCACAGAGCAGCCTCCCAGCGGTGGGGTGTGCAGGCTGTCCTGAGTTTCCACCTGAGGGCGGGGCCCGTCGGCCCTGGAGTGGGGATCCCGGGTCCCCAGGGCTCCTCTCTTCCTGCTCCTGGCCCTGGACACTGCCCAGCGGTGTTCCCTGTTGCCCGACTTGATGTTGGCTTCAGACTCTCGGGGTCTGCATTTTGCCAGAACAGCTTGTCTGCATCTGTGGAGGAGCCTGTGGTCAGGTGGACAGGAGGTGTGCTCTGCTCTGATGAGGCACCAGGCCTCCCTGTGCCCCTCCCGGGAGCGGGCCTCCAGTCCCTGGGCCACCGGGGGGCAGAGGCACAGACGGGGAGCCCGTCTGTAGGCGGGCCTGCCCTGTTGCTGCCTGGGGCTGTCCAGACAGGAGGCCTTGGGGCAGGGTCTCCCTGAGGGACGCCGTGACGCTTTTTGAGGGGACCAGAGGTCCGTGGGGACAGGTGGAGTAACCCCAGCTCCCGAACCCTCGGGGCTAGCTCCTGCCTCCGGCTGGCAGTGCTGGTGGCAGCTTTGAGGGCTTCTGGCCGAGAGCCTGGGACCACAGCCAGCCGTGGGCCCGCTGGCCCTGCAGGCATGCGGGCTGGAAAGTCCCTGGCTAGGCCTAGGAGCTCAGGAAAGTCCCTGAGGGGGTGGTCATGTGGGAGGCGGGCCTGCCTGGCCTCCGAGTGCAGCCTTTGGTGCAGGCATAACCTGTCACTGGCTTGAGAGGCCACTGCAGACAAGGCCGCCTCGGTGTGCGGGCAGCCCCCTTGCTGCGTGGGGGCCCTGCCCTCAGCCCTGCGCCAAGACATCTGCCCTCTGGCTTGCTCAGAACTGGGGCCATGCTGGGAAATGCTGGGGCTGCAGCTGAGCTCCTGAGAGTGTGGAAAGATGGGGAAAATCCTGTGTAGCCTTTGAATAAGCTTTTCCCTTGCAGTGATGTCTAGCGTTTTCTAACGTTATCTCCCAGTGAGATAACGTTCCAGTTCAGTCAGAAGATGGTGGAGCGCCTGCCAAATGCAGGTGGGGGCAGCTGGGGGCTGCTGTCTAGAAGTGGGACTTGAAACAGCAGGGATAAAGGGCCTCGGGCTTCAGAGGAGGGTCCGGGTGGACCTGGGTGGGGACCAGGCTATGGGGCCGTCGCAGCTGAAAGGGGCGCAGAGCGAGCGTGCTGGCCCCTGCCGGGGCGTCCAGAGTTGAAACGCCTGAACATTTGGTTTGAACTCTGGCTGACGGCGTGTTTGTTGATTTCTCCATGCCATCCGAGAGGAGTGGAGCTGATGGAGCCGGCCCGGCCTGGGCCCTGAGCGTGCCCCTGCTCCGGGCCCAGGGGCGGCTGCTGTGGAGTGGGGCCGGGCTCAGCCAGGACAGGCCTTCTTCTCTGGGTGTGGCCGGGCTGCCCCGTGCCCAGCCTGCAGCGTTTGCAGTGATCAGATCCAGGTGCCTCTGGCGCTGCTGTTCGTGCCTCCGGAGCCGTGGGTGCGTCTGAGGCTCCTGCCTGCTTGTGGTTTGCCCTGTGCTCAGTGTGGTCAGACCAGAACCCTCTGGGGAGCTGGGGTGCCCTGGGGCTCAGGGACGTGCCCCCGGGCGTGCCTGCAGGGCGGCAGCCCCGGGGCAGGGGTCCCTCTGGTCTGCTCGCTGCACCCGGCATCATCCTGCCCACCACCGCACAGCCCGTCGGTGTCCCGGGGCCTGGCCTCCGCAGCAGCGTCCCTGACGCCCCCCTGGCCTGGGGCTGCCTGGGGGCTGCATCCCATCTGATGTGCACCCCTGGGGCGGCATGGAGCTGGGGTCCTGGGGCACCCCGGCTGCCTGGAGGGGCCCCCCGTGCTGAGTCTCTGGGATGCTCCTGGGGTTCTGCTTTCCCCGCCGCCAAGCCTGCTGCGTGAGGTGGAGGCCGTGTGTGCACACCGCCATGGACGGTGGGCCACGTGGAGACGGCCTGAGGGAGGCTCCTCCTCCTTCAGGGTCACTGTGGCTGACCGCTGGGGCACCCGGCCTTGCAGCCCAGAGCGGCCCGCGCCTGGCAGGCGCCCGGCCTGCGTCTCCACGGAGTGATCGTGTTGACATGATGTGGATTGGACTGCAGTTTTTATAAAACAATCACACACAAAGCATCATGTCCCGTTTTCTGCTTCCTGCCTCCTCCTGCGCCCCTTCTGGCCAGGTTTCCTGATGGCTCTCCCGGTCTCTGCCTGTGCCCTGGGCCCGCCGCCCCGCCCACCTCCCGGCCCGTGCTTTCTCACTTCTCCAGCCGCCTCCGCCTCCCCATGGGTGACCCCATGGCCACCCCAGTGCCTGGCAGGCCCGGCTCTCACGGCCGCGGCACAGCCACCCCACGGCGTCACCTCTCCTGGGGCAGCCTGGGCCTGGCTGATCGATCGGAGCCCCAGGCTGGGACCCCGCGTCCCCGGCCGCCTCACCCGTGGCCTCAGCTTCAGGAGGGCGAGGGGAGGGGCCCTGACTGTCCTCTGGGCTGCGGTGGCTCTCCTCTGCCTTTCATCCTCGTAAGAGCCTGTCCCTCTGCCTCCGCGCCCCCCTCACTGTCCCCTCTGTGTCCGGAAGGTGGGGCTCCGCCAGCTGGACCTGGGTCGTGACCTCTGCCCTTGAGCAGGGGTGCCGGAGTGAGTACGGGGGTCCCATGGCCTGGACAGAACTGCAGCTGCGGCCAGAATCCTGCCAGCGGCCTGCCGACACCGCTCCCTTTATTGCCAGAGCTGCCACGAAGGACACTGCCCGTTCATGCTGACTGAGTGCCCGGCGTGTAAAGGCCTCGTGCGCCTCGGCGAGAAGGAGCAGCACCTGGAGCATGAGTGCCCGGAGCGGAGCCTCAGCTGCCGGCACTGCCGGGCGCCCTGCTGCCCAGCCGACATGAAGGTGAGTGCGGGGGCGGCACGCGGAGCCGTCTCCCTCCCTCTGCCTCCTTGCGGCTGGACGGGCCCGGCCCCGAGCCTGTGGATGCCCTCCGTATGCGCCCGGACGGGGCTCTGATGGCCAGACGGGGCCAGCCCCGAGCCTTGGATGCCCTGCACGCCCGGCTGGGGCTCTGACTGCCGCCGCGCCCCTTGCAGGCGCACCACCAGATCTGCCCCAAGTTCCCCCTGACGTGCGACGGCTGCGGCAAGAAGAAGATCGCCCGGGAGAAGGTGGGTGCTCTGGGGGGTGGGCTCCGTGTCCCCCCTCCCACAGCATTGCCCGGCGGCTGCGCCCTCGGCCCACGGGAGCGGGGACCTGGCACTCGGGCGCTCCGCGCTGTGTTGGGGCTCCCTGTGCCCTGGGGTCTTGGCCGCTGTGGGCGGGGTGGGGGGAGGCAGCTCTCGTCTGCTGCCGCAGCGCATGCTCTCACAGACTCCTTTCACGTCCCTGCTGGCTGTGCGGGGAGCTGACCTGTGTGGCCAGCTCTTTCTCCAGCCCTCTGTGCTCTTGGGGGAGGACGCGAGCCCTGTGGCCTGTCCTCGGGGAAGCAGCTGTGGTGCGTCTGACAGAGTCCATCTGTCTCCTTCTACTTGGAGCACCTGCGGTCGCTCTGTAGAGCTTGTTCGCAGGTGTGCTGGGCCATCACGGGGCTCCAGGCCGAGGACTGGGAGGCGAGTGTGTTCTGGGTGCTTGGGGGCTTGAGGCCCTCCCAGGCTGGGAGGGGGCCCCATCCCGCTGCGCCCTACCGGCCTCGGCGCCTCAGGCCTGGCCACACGGGGTGAGGACTGCATCCCAGCTGGTTTCAGGTGGTGACGCTCACGTTGTGAGCGTGACCAAGAACTTTTCTGCCTTGAGTGTCACCAGCATCCCCCCATTTTTTTTAATATTGGGGTGTAGTTTGATCCCTGGAGGAGGCCATGGCATCCCACTCCAGTATTCTCGCGTGGAGAATCTCATGGACAGAGGAGCCTGGCGCGCTGCAGTCTCTGGGGTCGCACAGGGTCAGATAGGACTGAGCCATTCCCGCTAACTCACCACCAGCCTTAGAGCCCCGGGGCTGTAGACCGACTGGCGGGGAGGCGGCAGGGCTGCTTTCTAGGACTCGGAGGCCTGCACGGGGAACAGAGGCTCCGCGGGTGATCTGGGATGTCCCTCAGCCTGTGCTGGCTTCAAGCACACACGTGGCTGAGTTTGCACATGTGCGTGTGAGCATGAGCATGTGGGTGCCCTGCAGCTTTGGGAGCACCTTGCTGGGCTTTGTCTGGCCTGAGTGTGCAGAGGCCGGTGGGGTGGGTCCAGGAACCCTTGCTCGGACTCTGACCTGGTCGGGGCTGCAGGGGTGAGCGGCCGGAGCAGAGGTGGAGCGGTGTTGATCCCAGGCCCGTCAGTTTCAGGACCACGTCCGGACGTGTGGCAGATGTCGAGTCCCGTGCCGATTCCACGCCGTCGGCTGCCCTGAGATGGTGAGTCCCTGTCTGCAGCTGGCCCAGCTTCTGGTTCTCAAGCAGAGGCCCTTCTGGACACATCCCCCCTCTTGCCCCAGCTTGGCCCGCGAGTGTCCCGGCTCTGCCCACGTCCCCCGTGGCCCCAGTGCCCAGCCTTAGCCACCCGTGGAAAGGACGCCCAGCGTGTTGCGCGCCCCTCCTCCCCCCTCCCCGGGGTCTGGCCACACCCCTGCCCGTTCGCTCACCTCGCTTCACCTGGCTGTGACGGCCACAAGCCCCGTGGTCATCGTGGACCTGCCTGCTGTCTCATGTCCCAGCCAGTCTCTGGACGAGCTTCTGTTCTGCCCAGACAGCCCCCAGCCCTCCCCCCCTCACTTCTGTGGTCTGCATGGCCCTGCTGTGTGATCCTGCTCCAGCCACTGGCCCAGCTGTCCTCCAGCACGCCAGCTGTCTCTGGACTTTGAACCCACCTCTCTGCAGCCGTGGCTGCCCGCTTCTCTGCTGCCCCCTCGGGTCTGGGCAGCCCCCTGTGTGCGTCGCCCTGGCCCTCCTCTCTCACCTGTCCCGTGTCCCCGAGGGCTGGGCGTGTGTAAGCCTGCCCGTAGAGACGGGCACCCCAGCCCTCTGCTCTCGGTGGGGGCGGCCTGCTGGCGGTGTTGTTACCTGCTGCCTTGACGTCGCCAGATCTCAGCACCCGCTGTTTTTCTGCGGGTGAATGACAGTGGGGCCCCTTCCATCCCCTTGGTCTGTGTGTGCCTGCCTGCTTCTGGACCCGGCGCTGCTGGTTATTTCGTGGGCCCAGGGGCTGTTAGCGCCCACAGAGGGGCCCAGGGCGAGAGTGGCTTCTTCCCGGGCCACGGAGGGCCGCGTCCTGTTGACCTCGTGGCTCCAGCAGCAGCGCCTCCGTGTCAGGCATTCGAGGTTCCCGCACGCTAGGCCTCATGTGGAGCTTCACCCCTTTATTTGTGCTTTAGACTTTCTTAGTCCTTCTGACCCTCCACACTCGCTGTGGAGCTTTGGAAGGGACGTGGCTGCAAAGTCAAGTCTGTGCGGGGGGACTGCCTGAAGGTGACCTTCAACCCCGTCCCGAGCCACATGGCAGTGTCTGTAATGGTTCCTCCGGCAGCTTAAACACGAGTGAGGCGTGGAAGGAGGTCCGTGTCTCGAGGACAGGCAGCTCAGGGTTGAGCCTCGGGCGCCCCACCTGCCGAGGTCCGGGCCCGGCGCCTGGCGGGGCTGAGTGCTGTGTCCTCGGCAGGTGGAGAGTGAGAAGCAGCAGGAGCACGAGGCACAGCGGCTCCGGGAGCACCTGGCCCTGCTGCTGGGTGTCCTACTGGAGGCCGGGCGGCCCCTGGGGGACAGCCGCCCACTCCTCGGCCAGGGCGAGGGCACCTGGGAGGCCAGCACACCCTCCAGGGTGGCGGAGCTGCTACAGAGGTGCGAGGCCCTGGAGCGGAAGACGGCCACCTTTGAGAACATCGTCTGTGTGCTGAACCGGGAGGTGGAGCGGGTGGCCGTGACGGCCGAGGCCTGCGGCCGGCAGCACCGGCTGGACCAAGACAGGATCGAGGCCCTGAGCAACAAGGTCCGTGCTGGGGGCGGGGTGCGTGCCCCCAGCTCCCGGGCTGCCTCAGACGGGCCGGGGGCCACGGCGTGTCCGAGCCAGAGCTGGGTGGCGCCTGTGCCTGTCCGGCAGGCTCCCTGCGCTGCCTGTGCCTGAGCAGAGCTCCCCAGAGTCCCTTCTCCAATGGGGCAGAGGTGGCCGCGGGGATGTGCTTGCTGTGTGTGTGGACTCTCACGTTTCCTCCCGGGGTGGGGGTCTCGGGGGCACGGAGCCGACCTGCGACAGCTGAGCTGCTGGGCGAGGGGCCATCCTCCTGAGGAGGGGAGACAGGCTGGAGGCCCTGACAAGCTCGTTCGTGCCGGGCGGAGGCTGGTCTGCGGGCCGGCAGGGGCCCGCCCTCACGGCCCGCACCCCCAGGTGCAGCAGCTGGAGCGGACCATCGGCCTGAAGGACCTGGCCGCGGCCGGCCTGGAGCAGAAGGTCCTGGAGATGGAGGCGTCCACCTTCGATGGCGTGTTCGTCTGGAAGATCTCGGACTTCTCCAGGAAGCGGCAGGAAGCCGTGGCCGGCCGCACGCCCGCCATCTTCTCCCCAGGTGCTCTCCTGGGCCTTCCCACCCACACCCCTGGGTCGGGGTCGGCTCCAGGCCTGCCCCTGGCTCCGCACCAGCCTGCCTTATGTGGCCGCCCCCACTGCGTCCAGTCACCCCTCCGCTCCTCGTGGGACGGGAGGCTCGTCCGGACCGGAGGTGGCTGACCTTGGCCCTCGGCCCAGAGCCTGGCGAGCTGTGCGTCGACCTGGCCCGAGCCTCCCGTGGCAGCGAGGCCAACGTGGGCTCCCGTTCAGGCCCCATTTCTGAGCACTCTGTGTCTGTCTGCGCCGGCAGCTGGCCCCTCCTCGAGCCCGGGCTGAGCGGCAGGTGCTGTGGGGAGGCTGCGTGGCTGGCCCGGGCTCACCCCCCTGCCCCCCGCCCCGCAGCCTTCTACACCAGCAGGTACGGCTACAAGATGTGCCTGCGCGCCTACCTCAACGGGGACGGCACCGGGCGCGGCACGCACCTGTCCCTCTTCTTCGTGCTGATGCGGGGCCCGCATGACGCCCTCCTGCGCTGGCCCTTCAACCAGAAGGTGCACGGGGCTCCCGGGCGGCGGGTGGCGTCCGTGGCTGCTCGGCACCACAGCGCGTGGAGGGCTGCCTCAGAGAGCTTGTGTGCCAGGGCGGCAGGCAGCCGGGCTGAAGCGGGGACCCGGGTCTAGGTCAGCACGGAAGTGAGGGGACGCGGCCCTGTGGCCCTCGTGGAGGGCGTGGTGTCCCCGAGCGCGGGGCGGGGTCCTGCTTCTCCCTGGAGAGCGCTGCTCCTGGGCCGGGGCACCTGGGAGCTCCTGAGAAAACGCCCGCGAGGTGTGTCTCCTCAGAGGAGCCCCACGGCCCGCGGGCCAGCCTCGGGTCTCTGTCAGCAGACAGGGCAGGGCAGAGATGGACAAGCCCGTCCGGCAGCGGGGTGTGACGCCCCCTCGCCCCGGGTGCTCTCCTCCCAGGTGACCTTGATGCTGCTGGACCAGAACCACCGCGAGCACGTGATCGACGCCTTCAGGCCCGACGTGACCTCCTCGTCCTTCCAGAGGCCGGTCAGCGACATGAACATCGCCAGCGGCTGCCCGCTCTTCTGCCCCGTCTCCAAGATGGAGGCCAAGAACTCCTACGTGCGTGACGACGCCATCTTCATCAAAGCCATCGTGGACCTGACGGGGCTCTAGCCGCCTCTCACACAGCGGGGCCCCGCGCTGGGTGGGCTCTGCTGAGCTGTCCTCAGGGGCCCGTCCTGAGCGGGGCTGGGCTGAGGGGCTGTGTGTCCCTGCTGGGTGCGCCCTGCAGGCCTGGAGCCCTCAGTCTGCAGCAGGTCGGCCGTGGCGAGGAGCCCAGGAGAGGAGGGCCTGGCTGCCACTCAGAGGAGAGCCCTGCTGGGCCAGCCTGACCAGGCTGCACGCGGTGGGTGCCCCGTGTCCCCCGCCCTGCGGGGTATGGGGCTGTCCCCCAGCCCTGCTGAGACACGTTGACCTCCCCGTCGGCGCGGGGAGGCGTGCTCAGACCCTTGGCGCTCTGCCAAGTGCTGCCCTGGCTCCGGCCCTGGGGGCAGCAAACCTGGCCGTCTCCCAAGTGTCTTGAGGCTCCCGGACACCAGGGACCTCGGGGAGGTCTCCGCTGTGTGGAGACTGCTTGCTGGGCGGCTTCTGTCCTTCAGGTCTCGCCAGGGGCTGCCATGGAGAGCGGGGCTCCCAGGCCTGCAGAATGCTGGTGGCTTTGTCTTCGGTGGGGGGGTGGTGCCTGACGTCATGTCACCGCAGGAGCAGCCGTGCCTGCCCTGGGGTCCCCTCGACAGCGGCCTGAGCATGGGGTGCCCCTGGTGGACCCTGGCGGGGCCTCAGCCCTGGGGGCCCCCGGCCGGGCGCAGGTCCTGGCCGCTGGCTGTCCACACTTGGGACTGGGAGACTGGGGGCCAGGTCCTCAGAGACCTCGTGACACTGGACACCCTCGGCGTCGTCACCGTCACTTCTCTGGTTTGAGAAGTTAAACAGCAGAGAAGCGCGCAGAGTGATGAGCTGTGAGCCCAGACTTAACACGTGTACACGTTTTGAATTATGTATTTTAATTAAAAAGAGACGTTGCAGAAAAGTGGAGTCCTGCTTCCTTCCCTCGCGGTGCCTCGGCTGGCCAGGGCGCTGCCCTTGCCGATGCGGGTCGTCTGCTGTGTGCGTGTCACATCTGTCTCCGTTTGGTCTCCCACACGTGAGACGCGTGCACCAGCTCCCCCGCGGCGCCTCGTCCTCTGCCCCAGGGTGGAGGCCTGGCATGCTGAGCATGGCGGGTGTGTGAACGCCAGGCCCCCTATCTGTCGCCTCCCCACTCGGCCCCCGTGGGCACACGCCTGCCCGTGCCCAGCGGGGCGTCCCCGCCGCCCTGCGTCCCGTCCAGCCCTGCGCACAGGCCCGCAGCTCCCGCAGGATCCCTCCTGACTGGAGAAAGCACTGGGGACCCTGTACTTGTTCGTGCCGCTGCGGTCTGTGAAGGGAACATCCTGTATGTGTCACATTCACGGCCGATAGTGTCATGGGTTGTGTCCCCCAAAAGCTAGGAAGTACTGTTTCTCAGTAACTTAGAACGTGACCTGGTTTGGAATGACAGCCTTTACAGAGAGAAGTTAAAGGGAGGCATTAGGCTGGGCTCAATCCCTCATGCCGAGAGTCTGGACGCACAGAGCAGAGAGCAGGTTGGAGGAGCGTGCCGCGTTGAGGCGGGGTTTGGGGGGAGGTGTCTGCGTCCGGAGCCCCAGAGACAGCGGGTGGACCCAGGAAGAGCCCGGGAGGGCGCCTCCCCAGCAGCGGCCCTGCCAGCCCCGTAAGCTTGGACCTGAGCCTCCAGGACTCGGAGAGGATCAGTCCTCCGTTTTAACCGTCCCGGCGTGTGGCTCAGTGTCCGGGCCGCCTAGGAAGCCGCCGGGGAGGGCTCAGGTGTGCCTCTGCGGCCTCTGAGACATGAGCGCCTGGCCTCTCCGGCGGTCACTTTTGACACGCCTCACTTTCTGCCGCGTGTGTTTTGAGACTGCTGTTGGCTGCACACAGGTGTGGGATGGTTCCGTCTACTTGATGAGTCAGCTGCCTTGCTAGACATCGTAACTACCTCTTTCTAGTCAGTCGTCAAACGTGTTTGGAGAACTTGGGAGAAGGCTTCCCATTACTGCTGCTGCTGCCTCCTGCTCACGTCCTGTCCTTCCTGTCGGGAGAGCTCCTCCACCAGACCTGACGGAGCGGGTCCTTCTCACTGGAGACCCAGCTCCAGGCTGTCTCCTTTTGCCCGGCACTCAGAAGATTCACTGCTTCTGGGACCTCCCTGGTGGGCCAGTGGCTAGGATTCTGGCCCTTGACTGCCGCGGCCAGAGTTCAATCCGGTCCCACAAGCCGAGGCGTGCCCCCCAGAGTGCTGCTTCCGCGGCCCCGGGTCTGGGGGAGGAACGCGCAGCCCCACACGTGGTGCCCGGGGGTGAGCCGCGTCTCCTCTCTGCTGTCAGCGTCCTTCTGTCTTCAGTTCTCCCCCTCTGATTCCATGTGTCTGGACGTGTGTGCTTGGCCCTGAGTCCTGCTCAGCTTCTTGAATCTGTAAGTTTGTATATTCCACCGAATCTGCAGACATTTTCAGCCGCTACTTCTTCGAACCGCTTCCTTCTCCCCTCGGGCTGCCGGCGGCACAGCCTCAGACCCTCACTCGCCTTCACATGCTCTCCTTGCGGCTCTGTCCTCAGTCACGGTCACCGGCTCTCCTCTGACTGCATCCCGCTGTTGAATCCGTCTAGTGAGTTTGTTTCTTTGCTGAGACGTTTCTACCCTGACGTCTGTGGCACGGCGTGTGCGATGCTCGCTCAGGTGTCTCAGCAGCCACCACAGTCCGTCTGCTCATTCTGACACGCTCAGCACCTCCCGGCGCCTCTTTCCCATGGTCCTGTGAGAGCTGGCTATCTGTGCATTAGACTCTGGACACGGACTTCACCTGGTCTGGGGCTGGTTAGCCTCAGGCCCACGGCCCCACAGCAACCTGTGGGCTGGACCCCACCTCTGCTGCGCCCCCCATGCCCTCCTGTCTGGACGGACCCCGTATGTGCCCCACCAGCCCTGGGGGAGGGACGCAGACCCTCTCTGGACGGACCCCGTATGTGCCCCACCAGCCCTGGGGGGGGACACAGACCCTCGTCTCAGGACGGACCCCGTATGTGCCCCACCAGCCCTGGGGGGGGGGACACAGACCCTCCTGTCTGGACGGACCCCGTATGTGCCCCACCAGCCCTGGGGGGGGACACAGACCCTCCTGTCTGGACAGGCCCGCGTGCACCCCCAGCCCTGGGGTGGGACACAGACCCTCCTGTCTGGACGGACCCCGTATGTGCCCCACCAGCCCTGGGGGGGGACACAGACCCTCCTGTCTGGACGGACCCCGTATGTGCCCCACCAGCCGTGGGGGGGGGACACAGACCCTCCTGTCTGGACGGACCCCGTATGTGCCCCACCAGCCCTGGGGGGGGGACGCAGACCCTCCTCTCTGGACGGACCCCGTATGTGCCCCACCAGCCCTGGGGGGGGGACACAGACCCTCCTGTCTGGACGGACCCCGTATGTGCCCCACCAGCCCTGGGGGGGGGACACAGACCCTCCTGTCTGGACGGACCCCGTATGTGCCCCACCAGCCCTGGGGGGGGGACACAGACCCTCCTGTCTGGACGGACCCCGTATGTGCCCCACCAGCCCTGGGGGGGGACACAGACCCTCCTGTCTGGACGGACCCCGTATGTGCCCCACCAGCCCTGGGGGGGGACACAGACCCTCCTGTCTGGACGGACCCCGTATGTGCCCCACCAGCCCTGGGGGGGGACACAGACCCTCCTGTCTGGACGGACCCCGTATGTGCCCCACCAGCCCTGGGGGGGGACACAGACCCTCTCTGGACGGACACCGTATGTGCCCCACCAGCCCTGGGGGGTGGGACACAGACCCTCCTGTCTGGACGGACCCCGTATGTGCCCCACCAGCCCTGGGGGAGGGACGCAGACCCTCTCTGGACGGACCCCGTATGTGCCCCACCAGCCCTGGGGGGGGACACAGACCCTCGTCTCAGGACGGACCCCGTATGTGCCCCACCAGCCCTGGGGGGGGGACACAGACCCTCCTGTCTGGACGGACCCCGTATGTGCCCCACCAGCCCTGGGGGGGGACACAGACCCTCCTGTCTGGACAGGCCCGCGTGCACCCCCAGCCCTGGGGTGGGACACAGACCCTCCTGTCTGGACGGACCCCGTATGTGCCCCACCAGCCCTGGGGGGGGACACAGACCCTCCTGTCTGGACGGACCCCGTATGTGCCCCACCAGCCCTGGGGGGGGACACAGACCCTCCTGTCTGGACAGGCCCGCGTGCACCCCCAGCCCTGGGGTGGGACACAGACCCTCCTGTCTGGACGGACCCCGTATGTGCCCCACCAGCCCTGGGGGGGGGGGGACACAGACCCTCCTGTCTGGACAGACCCCATATGTGCCCCACCAGCCCTGGGGGGGGACACAGACCCTCCTGTCTGGACGGACCCCGTATGTGCCCCACCAGCCCTGGGGGGGGACACAGACCCTCCTGTCTGGACGGACCCCGTATGTGCCCCACCAGCCCTGGGGGGGGACACAGACCCTCCTGTCTGGACGGACCCCATATGTGCCCCACCAGCCCTGGGGGGGGACACAGACCCTCCTGTCTGGACGGACCCCGTATGTGCCCCACCAGCCCTGGGGGAGGGACACAGACCCTCTCTGGACGGACACCGTATGTGCCCCACCAGCCCTGGGGGAGGGACACAGACCCTCCTGTCTGGACGGACCCCGTATGTGCCCCACCAGCCCTGGGGGGGAGGGACACAGACCCTCCTGTCTGGACGGACCCCGTATGTGCCCCACCAGCCCTGGGGGGGAGGGACGCAGACCCTCCTGTCTGGACGGACCCCGTATGTGCCCCACCAGCCCTGGGGGAGGGACACAGACCCTCCTGTCTGGACGATCCCCCGGTGTGTGCCCCCAGCCCTGGGGGGGGATGCAGGCGCTGCTCTGAGTCACCAGGCCTTGGGGCAGCCCCACCGCCGAGGGGCTCCTGGGCTTTGCAAGCCCCTCACGGGCTGTTTCGCAATCCGCTCCCTCTGGTCTGCTTGCCGGCCCCCGTCTGGCCCCCAGCCTGGAGCTTGGCGCTTGGGCCCTGGCGGGCAGGCCTGTCCTCCGGCCACTGCACCTGGGGCCACAGAGCCCCCGGAGGCCGCCCTGCCTCAGCACTCAGTCAGCTTCGCGAGCCCCCTTCCCGCCCCTTGGTGGGCTGGCGGCTGTGCTGCAGGCCCAGCGATCGGAGGTGGGCGCTGGGGAGAGGTGCGGTCCTGGGGCCCAGCTGCCCCGCTGCCCTCTGCAGAGCCTGGGCAGTGGGCCCGCGCCTCCAGCTGCTGCCCACTGAGCTTGCTCTCAGACCTCTGCTCGCCCCTGGGGACAGTGTCCTCAAAGCCACTTCCCAGGCCCCCTGCTCCCATTCTCCTGGCAGGTTTCTGCTTCTCTGCTTTTCGTTGTTTGCTTCCACAGCAGCTGGGCTGGGGCCAGCCTCCTTTCCCTGCATGAAGCATTTAGCCCAATCGCTGCACCTCTTCCCTGTCAGCTCTCTTTTAAATGTCAGTTTCTGCCTGTTCTCGATTCCTGTTCTGTTTCTGCCTTACAGATTTTGTTTCCTTGACGGCTTTCAATTAAACATATCCCCGGTTTTTTCCAGAAACTGTCATCTTACAGCTCCTCTGGACCAGTAGCATCCATGGGGTTTGCTGGCTCCTGCCCATGGCTGAGCACAGGTTCTGGACTGCGCTCCAGTGGGCCCAGGGCAGCGCACCCCAGCTCTGCTGCTGTTGGGGCCCCTTCCCGGTTCTCACGGGTCCAGCGGTTTGCAGACAAACTGAGGGATGTGGGCGCCCCGCTGCCGACGCGGCACTGGGGCTCTATCCTTGAGGAGCCGCCGTGCTGTGGGCTGGCTGCCCCAGGCACACTGCCCTTTGGTCTGAGTCCTCCCAGGCTAGCTTACCTGACCTGTGTACGCTGGCCCTGCCTAGCCCGTCTCCCTGCGGCCGGCTTGACTGTGAGCCCGCAGGCAACTGGGCCAGCCTCTGCTCAGCACTGCCTCTGGCTGGAAGGATGTGAGGCCGCCTAGGGCCTGTCCCCGTCTTCCTCGACCATCATGTTGACGGGCGCCGTGTGTGGGGCCGACAGCAGGTCCAGTACTGACTCCCCAAGCAGGCTGCTCGGCAGGCCTGCTGCCGTGGCAGAGCCCCCGGCCCGTGTCCCGACGAACACGCGGCCCTGGTGAGCCCTGGGGCGGGCCGGGGCGACCCCTGCCCCTCTGCTGTGTCCACGCACTGCCAGGCGCCACAGGGCTCTGCCCGCTGCCCCAGCCAGGGCCCCCCGGAGGACTCCAGGCCCTGAGCCAGGGGCTCCAGCTGCACCCAGGCAGCGGAGCTCGGCTCCCCGACCGGCCGGCCCGCCGCGTGCCGTCAGGGTCCTCCTGTGCCCCCTGCTGGCGGGGAGTGGACGCGCAGTAAGGCTGCTCAGGAATCAGCGGCCGGGGGCCTTGTTTAGAGGCGGTGGGGGCCACAGCTGGGGACGTGAACTTGGGTCCCCATTGGCCGGCTCAGGGCAGCTCCAGCGTGTGGCCTGGGGCACCCCGCCCCGTCCAGCAAGCACACCGAGGGCCTGAACAGACGCCACAGCCCTCCCTGCAGAGACTGGCCAGTGCGGTGCCCGTGCCAACCGTTTATTCAGACCCTGAACAGGTGACCCGTGACATGCAGGCCCTCTGGGCTCATGGCAGCCTGGCCTGCACTGCAGCCCTGGCGCTTGGCAGTTCCGAGGACGGCACCCCGGCTCCCTGGGCAAGGCTGGGCCCAGTGAACAGTGCCCGGCCCCCAGGGCTGCCAGGGGACACGCGGTGCTGACGGGCCCAGGGGAGAGGGGTGGGGGAGGAGCGGGGGGGGGGACCCAGTGTCCTGTGCACCCCGGGCCAGTCAGAGCGGACCCTGGCTGCCCGGCGCTGAGCCGCACAGCTGTGGGGGGCGGTGTGTGTGCGCGAGCGTGGGGGGCCGGGCCGCGCTCCCTGCGGCCTGCCGGCCCCCTTCCTAAGGCATTCCTGCGGCGAGCTGCTCTGCCCCTGTGCGGTCTGGGCCGCACTGAGACCTGGGAAAGGGCCCCGGGCGTCCTCGGTGGGCCCCAGCGCCTCAGTGCTTCTGGCTGGCGAACCAGGAGAAGAAGGGGCGTGGGCGCGGGCGCGGGGCCTGGAGGACACGCACAGTGCGGGGTGAGCGCCAGGCTTTGATGGTGGCGTCGTCGCTGGCCGTCAGCAGCAGCTCTTGCTCCTGGGGGCTGAAGACCACCGAGTTGACCACATCCTGGTGCCGCAGCTTGGCCAGGCATATGTTGTAGTGGCGGTCCCAGATGTAGCCGTGGCGGTCCTCGGCCCCACTGCCGAGGGGACAGTCTGCAGTGAGCCCGGCTGCGCCCCGCCCCCTCCCCACCCAACCCCACCCCTCCCCGCCTGCCCCACCGCGCCCTGCTCTGCCGCACCACCTGGCCACGAAGTCCCTGCTGACGTCCAGGAAGATGAAGAAGCACTCGTCGTTGGGCGTGTAGGCGCGGTGCGCACGCAGAGCCCGCTTCACCTCCCGCATGGTCTTGAGATCGAAAACCAGCAGGTCGATCTCCTCGGCGATGGGCGGCGGCTGCATGGGGTCTGCCACCACCGAGCCGCTGGGCCAGGCGCGGCTGTTCACGTACAGGTACCTGCGCCAGCACGCGGCTCAGTGAGCGCCCGCGGAGCGCCCCCCGCCCCCGGGCCACCCACAGAAGCCCACCTGTTGTCGGGGGACAGGCCCATGCCGATGATGTGTCCGTGCACGTCGATGACGTGGTCCAGCGCATCAAAGAAGGCATCGGAGCCCCGGCCCTCGCCCAGAACAGGCCCGGCTGTGGTCATCTGGTGCGGCAGGATCTGCTTGATGCCTGCAAGGAGGTGGGGGAGGCGGCACCTTGGTGCCTGGCAGTTCCCAGACAGCTGGGCTGTTGCCTGCCCTGCACCCCCAGATCTGAACATGTGCCTGCCCAGGGGCGAGTTGGGGGAGGTGCTGGACTAGCGCTCAGCCCCCCGGACAAACAGAGGAAGGGGCTTTGCCCACAGACTGACCCACCCCAGGCCCCTCACCGATCTGGTGCGGCGAGTAGGTGAGGCAGCCGGTGGTGAAAATGAGCAGCTTGTTCCCGGCGGCGGCCCTGCCCTGCTCGGGGGGCTTGGTGTGGCCCTGGGCCAGCAGCTCAGCTACCTTAGTCTCCAGCGTGCTCTCTGGCAGCAGCGGCTGTGCCCGGCCCTCCAGGAGCCCATCCAGGAGGCGCCGCAGGCCCTTGGTGCGGGCCGGGCCCGGGTCGCGCTCCTCGTCCTCACTGTCGCTGCCCAGGTCGAAGACGCGGCTGGAGTCTGTGCCGGGGGTGCCGGCGTCCAGCAGTAGGTCAGGGCTGTCGAAGCGGCTGCAGTCGGCCACCATGACGGTGCGGATGGTGCTGGCGTTGAGGTTCTGGATCTTGAAGAGCCGCTTCACCACGTTCACATTCTCTGACTCCACGTCCTGCGGACAGGAGCGCGGAGGTGGGCACGGGCTGCGGGAGGCCGCCGCTGGCCGCAGTGCCCACCCACGCGCACCTGGAAGGCGTTGTTGAGCCAGAGCACCGAACACGACGTGATGTCCCCGATGCGGTGCAGGTTCCCCGAGATCAAGCTGGTGTCCGTGAGCCAGCAGCCGAACACGTCGTAGGGCTTGTTGCGAACCCGGGATAGCAGGGCGAAGGTGTCTGAGGGGAGCAGCAGGAAGGGGCAGGGCGGGCGGGGGCTGGAGGGGTGGGGCGCAGGTGTCTGGGCAGGGGGGTGGGGCGTCAGGGGCGGGGTGGTCGGGGGAAGAGAAGGAGGGCCGCCAGCCCCCAGCCCTCTCTCACCTAGGCTGATGACTGCGATCTCCCCGGAAGAGGAGTTGTGGGGCCCCAGGAACACCCCCGACGCCAGCAGCAGCGAGTCGTCCTGGTTAAACTGGGAGAACTGGGTGTAGCTCCAGTTGTAAGGCCGCATGTCCGCGCTGTGCATCAGCGAGATGCGCAGGTCGTTGCTCCAGATCTGGGGGGGGCCCAGCAGGCATGCCTGTGAGCCCATCTGCACAGCGCCCCTCGGCCCCTCTCCTGGCCAGTGCCCGCAAACCGCCCAGGTGGGGGTCCCTTGTCTCTGGCCTTCAGACCACCTGAGGCCTGTGGGCACGTGGTGCTCTGGCTGGCTCTGGCGTAGCTGTGCGCAGGGCCCTCTGCCCATCTGTAGGCAGTTAGGGCCACCCAGCCCCGACCTCCCAGCCTGGGCGGCCACCCAGGTTGTGACCCTCCCTGGGGGCCGCCGTCAGCCCTGACCTGAGCCCCGGGGCCGCCCGCACCTTCACCGTGCAGTCCTTGGAGCAGGACGCGAACTGGCCGCCCGAGTGCGAGAAGCTGAGATGCAGGACCTGGTCGCTGTGCTCCCGCAGCGTCTGCACCTCCACGCACGGCACCGCGTCGTAGAGGCGGCGGAACTCCTCGAACCAGGACGTGGCCGCTGTGGGGGCGGTCATGCTGGGGCCGCGGGCTGCAGAACCAGGGCCCTGGCAGCCGGGGGCCGCCCTGCCCACCCTTGGCCCCCCCCTCCCCCCAGGCCCAGCCCGGCCTTCCCCGGCCAGCGTGAGGACTGGTGCTGACCTGGGTGTCGGGGCACATCCCGGGCCACCCGGTAGTAGCGGTAGAACTGCTCCCTCCACAGGAACTCGTCCCTGGACACGGCCCGCCACTGGCGGCACACCAGCCCGGCGGCCAGCACGTCGGCCGGGCCCAAGCTCAGGAAGATCTGGTAAACCAGGCTGTCCGGGAGCAGGGGTGCGCCCCCCTCATCCATCGTGACATTCTGCCCAGGCGGCCCTGAAACCCACGCACAGCCCCCTTAGCTGCCGGTGGGACCAAGGAGGACACCGGCCCCCAGGCCCAGGAGAGGCACGGGGCCCGGGGCTGAGCCGAGCCGAGCCAGCCCAGAAGGTGCTCCTCCTGCCCTGCCAACTGCCCTGCTGAGCATTCCACTGGACTGAGCATGTGCGGAGGGAAGGCTGGCACCGCCTGCAGGGCCACGGAGCCAAGAGCTTCCCCAAGCCCCTCCAGACAGCCGTGCTCCTCGGACCCTGCGCTCCTGAGGTCCCGCAAGGCCCAGTGATCCCCTGAACACGCAGCTTCCGGGCCTGGCCCAGCTGGAGCTGGAGTTGCCGTGGGCTCGGGGGACCCACTGTCACCCTAAAAGTTCCCCTCCGCAGGAGGACAGGCCTTCTGGGTGGGGCCCTCTGACTTCCCCCCATAGGATCCCGGGGAGACATCTGGTTGCCAGAGCTGGTGACCGCTCCGAGGCCCAGAAGGGAAGGGTCGGTGAGCCCTGTGCACCATCTCTGACCTTGCTGCCCCAGGCTTCGGAGCGGTCAGCATGGGATAGAGGTCCTTCCCAGGAGAGACTCGGGGCCGGCGGAACGGGGGACGGCGGAACGAGGGCCGGCCCGGCCGCCCGTCCCAGACGCCGCCAGGAACACCAGCCGGCCCTGACCTCTGCCCTCCGGCCTGGGGGACCCCTGCCAGGTTGGCCGTAGGCCAGCGCGGACAGAGCCCGGCGAGCTGGGGGCGGGGCGGGGGCGGGGCCGCCCAGCGCCCCACGACCCTCCCTCCAAGGGGCTGCGGGGGGTGGGGCCTCGGTTCGGCCCCTCGGTCCCGGCGGCCTCGGCGATTCATTCATTGGCCAAAGACGCGTCCGGGGAGCTTGGGGGCCGGGCCGGAGTGACGACGCTCTCCGGGCTAGGCCGTGAGGGCCCGGGCCGGGGTCCGGACGCCGCCGTGACTACGCTCCCCGGGCCGGCGCACTCACCGCGGCCGCCTCCGCCCGGATGCGCGGCCCCCGCCCCGGCGCCCAGCCTCAGCCCACGGACCCTCTTCCGCCCTCCGTCGACGCTCCAGCCGCCGCGTCTCTATGATGGAGGCCGCCAGGCTGATGCCACGAGCCCCGAGGCATCGATGACCGTCGAGGGCCGAGCGCCACAGCACGCGTCGGCCGTTGCTGCGCCTGCGCGTTAGGGCCCGGCGGCGCGGGCCGCGCTTCTTTGTGCGCCTGTGCGCGGCCGGCCTCCGCTGGAACAGCGCCCCTGGCGGCGGAGAGGGGCGGCGGCCGTGCGCCAGGCCCGTGGGCGGGGCTGCGGGCGAGGCTCAGGGTCGAGGGTTCGAGACCGAGCTCCGGCGTTCCGCGGCCTCACAGGCGAAAGTGTGCTCCGCTGTGGGGAGATGAACGTACAAAGGGGTGAGCACCCGCCGCAGTGGAAGTCACCGGGTTTGTGGACAGGGGAAAAAAAGGGAAGGTTGCTCAGTCGTGTCCGACTCTGTGCGACCCCATGAACTGCAGCCCACTAGGCTCCTCTGTCCATTCGTCGACTGTGCAGTTCATGGGAGTCTCCAGGCAGGAATACTGGGTTGCCTTTTCCTCCTCCAGGCGATCTTCCTGACCCAGGGTTCGAACCCGGCTCTCCCACATTGCAGGTGGACTCAGCCACCCGGTGGACAAGGACCGGAGGTCAGCTTGGACTTTGGACACGGACAAGGCGACGGGCCCCTGCCGGGAAGCACAGGGCGGAGGTCAGATGTCCGGGGTGAGGCTGGGTTCACCCGCAGGCTGGGTTCACCCGCAGGCTGAGTGGGGGGTTGCCTGGCCCAGGGCAGGGGTTTCGGCGGTGGGAGCGTGGCAGGCTTCCTGGGCGGGGCTGCTGGGCAGCGGAAAGTGGACTCCGACCTGGGGCCTGACCGTCCTGGCCTGCGCCTCCTCTGGCCCTGGCCCTGTCGCCGCCGTCGCCATGCTGACCCCCAGGATCGCAGCCCTCTTAACTCTGCTCCTGGCCAGCAGCTCCCTGGGTCAGCGGGTGCGGAGACCCCCGCGGCCCCCATCTCCCATCAGCACCATCCAGCCCAAGGCCAACTTTGATGCCCAGCAGGTAGAGCTGGACGGAGGTGGGGCAGCGGCCTGCCTGGCTCTGCTGCCCCCAGCCCTGCGTGCCTTCACACGGCCTGCTCCCCAGTTCGCAGGGACCTGGCTCCTGGTGGCCGTGGCCTCCCCGTGTCGCTACCTGCAGGAGCAGGGCCATCGGGCCGAGGCCACCACTCTGCACGTGGCTCCTCGGGGCTCGGCCATGGCCGTCAGCACCTTCCGAAAGCTGTGAGTCCCAGCGAGGACCCCCTGAGCCCACCCCAGCTGCGGCCTCACCTGGGTTGGGGTACCCCAGCCTGCTGGGCGTCCTCCCACGCCGGCCGTGCCCCCAGGGATGGAATCTGCTGGGCAGTGCGGCAGCTGTACGGAGACGCGGGGCGCCCGGGGCGCTTCCTGCTCCAAGGTGAGGCCCTGGCCGCAGGGGGCGGGTGCGGCGCTGGCGGTGGGGCTGACCCGCCGGCTCCCCGCAGCCCGGGGCGCCCGCGGGCCGGTGAATGTGGTCATCGGGGACACGGACTACCGCGGCTTCGCCATCTTGTACCTGGAGCGGGCGCGGCAGCTGTCAGTGAAGCTGTACGGTACGTCCGGGGGGCCTGGGTCCCCGGAGGCTGTCAGGTGGGCTGGGCGGACCCTCTCCTCCCTTCCCCCTGCCCCTGCCCTTCTGCCCAAATGTGGGGCAGAACCGGACCGGGAAGCGGGCGAGCAGGGGTCAGATCGCAGCCCCAGGCACACAGCCCAGCCCCCAGAGCGCCCTGCAGGCCCCCGCCCCGTGGGTGTCCAGGAGCCTGTGTGTCCCGCATGCAGTCCGCTCGCTCCCCGTGAGTGATTCCTTCCTGAGTGCGTTTGAGCAGCGGGTCCAGGGGGCCAACCTGACCGAGGACCACATCCTATTCTTCCCCAAGTATGGTGAGTGTTCCCCCCACCGTTTCCGCCCAGCTCACCGCGCGCCCCCACCCCCGGCCGCCCCTGACTCCTGACCCGGCCCCCAGGCTTCTGCGAGGCAGCGGACCAGTTCCACACCCTGGACGGTGAGCGGGCAGCTCCAGCGGGCGGCGTGGGGGGCGGTGCCCAGGGCTCCCTCCTGGCTGCGACATGTCTGTGTTGCAGAACTGCGGAGGTGAGGCGGGCGGCCGCCCCGTGCAAGGAAGCAGCCGGCCCGGAGGTGGACCTGCCGCCCCTCATCCACCCGCCCGCCCCCCCCGAAGCCGCCCCTCCCCCAGGAGCTCCGTGGGCTCTCATTAAACGCTGCAGCCTCAGCCCCTGCCTCTTCCTTTCCACCCAGGACCCCACCGGGGCGTCTGCCCACCTGTTCTGCTTCCCTGATGGGCCAAAGGGTGGGGGCCCACCTCCCAGTGCCGAGCCCTCCCCAGGGAGGTGGGGGTGGGGAACGGCTCCTGGCCAAGGCCTAGGGCGCCTGGCACCCTGCCCTCGGACCCCAGTGTCCCCTGCTCTGGCCCCCGCGTGGTGTTGGCACCTGTCTCTCCTGCTCCCTGGCTCTGAGCAGCCTGGTCAGACACCCAGGCCTTCTCCAGAGCCCTCCCCACACGTCCCCCTTGCCTCCGCCTGAGACCCTCCTGGGAGGCAGGGCCCAGAGTCCCAGGGGCCCGTGGCCGAGGCAGAAAGGGCCCTGGGGAGGAGCATGCGGCTTCAGGGGGCAGGCAGGGAAGCCCCCTCCCACTTCCCAGGTCTGGGGTGCGCTGACACCCATCTGAGGGAGCTGGGAGGTTGTGTGGCCCTCACAGCCGCCCCAGGGGTGAACGGGGCCGGCAGGGGGCAGGACTGGCCAGTGAACAGGACTGCCCCTGGGCCGAGGCCGCGCGTGGAGGCGGGCGGCAGGCGCCCCTGGGCGCAACCACGTGGGTGGGCTGGAAGGGGGCCCAGAGTGCTGGAGGGGGGGCCTGGACAGACGGGGTAGCCCCCAGGAGCCCACACCCAGGGTCTGCCCAAGGTCACCAGCCACGAGGGACCACAAGATGACCTCTGGCCTATAGAGAAGACCTTTCTGGAAAGTGGGAGCCTTGAGGTCTGGGAAGAGATGGAGACGGTGTCCCCGCCCCCCAGCCTCTGCCTGGAGGGGCTTTTCCGCGTGACCGCAGGCCATTGGCAGAAGATCGAGCATGGAGACAGGGCCTCCCCCAACCGACTGTTCGCCCTCCACACACGTGGGTCCCAGCCGACCTGCCCGTCCCTCACCCGTGCGTGTCCCTGACAGCGGAGAGGACGCCAAAGAAAAAATGCGCAGTGCAGACCCCTGAGAAGCAGAGACCCAAGGGTGGGAGCTCTGATGGCGCATCCGCTCCATCCCCATCCCCACCCCCGCCCCCGCCGGGTCTGCTGGGGAGGGGTTCCCCACACAGGCACAGCTGCCAGGGGCCTCGCGGGCCCAGCTCCGGGCCCACCACTGAGAGCTCGCCCCTGACCTGTCCTATGAAGCCGTGGAGGATGTGGGCCAGTTCCAGCTGCCCCCAGGCCCGCCCGCCTGCCCGCCCGCCCGTGCTCTGATGGGTCCCAGGACCCCTGCCTTGCCCCCACGGGAAGCTGGCCTTCTCCCCCCCACCCCTGTCTCTCTCCCGCCTTCTCCCGCATAGCACCCCATGCCGGCGAGAGCCAGGCCCACGTGACGGCTGCTGGTCGTCCCCGGGGCATTGCAGACAGCTGCGCCTGGCACACACTGCCCGGCCCGCCCCTTCCCACTGTGTCCCCCCATAAGGAGGAGGGGCAGCCCCCCAGGCTGGGGCACAAGGTCAGGGAGGGGCCTCAGCTCGGCCAAAGCCGCTCTGTCCGGGGACCCTCGGTGTCTGCGCGATGGGCATCTCGGAGACGCCCCCTGTGTGCCAGGCCCCTGCCCCTGGGAGCCAAAGTCAAAGGCTTGCCACTCCCCGACACTGGTGAGGCAGACTGGGCCTGGAGAGATGGACCCCCGCACCAGCATCGGGACCTGGGCTGTGGGGAAGGCCAGGCCGCCCTGGGTTAGCCGCAGGCCATGAACAGGAAGGATCTCCGTCTGGTCCTTGGAGAGCAGGATCGGAGAGCCCTGGGCCCAGCCCCGCGTGCCCGTCCAAACGGCGGGGGGACGCTTGCTGGTAGGAGCCCACAGCCCTGCAAGGCCCACTGTCCACAGTGGGCAGGGACCGTGTCCCTTGGCGCTGGACTCCCAGCTGGGCAGGCAGGTGGGGCTGGCAGGAAGGGGAAGGGCAAGGACCCCGCCGAGCTGGGCACCTCGTCAAACTTGTGTCCGTTGAGTCGGTGATGCCATCCAACTGCTTCATCCTCTGTCGCCCCCTTCTCCTGTAAACTTTCAAAAACTAGGGACTTCCTGGTGCTCCAGTGGCTAAGACTGTCCTCCCGACCCAGGAAGCCCAGGTTCGATCCCTGGTCAGAGGACCAGGTCCCACACGCTGAAACTAAAGGTCCCTCACGCCGCAACGAAAACGGAGGATCCTGGGTATCACAAGACCCAGCACAGCCAAATAAATTTTTTTTAAATTGTTTTCAAAAACTAGGTGAGGCAATTGTAGTTCTAGATGAGTCGTCTTTACATGCGTGCTCAGTCATGTCCAACTCTGCGCGGACACGCGACCCCATGGTCTGTAGCCTGCCAGGCTCCTCTGCCCATGGGATGTCCCAGGCAAGAATGGTGGAGTGGGTTGCTATTTCCTTCTTCAGGGGACCTTCTCGACCAAGGGATCAAACCCGCATCTGCAATGGCAGGTGGATTCTTCACTGCGCCACTCCAGAAGCACTGACTCATTTTGTGTAAAGGTGTTTATTGATTATAATTGAGCCTTACCTTTTAATTGTAAGAGTTGGCTTTTCATCGGGCTTCCCAGCGGGTGGTAAAGAACCTGCCTGCCGATGCACCGCTCAGGCCTGGGGTGAGCGAGGATCCTGGGTCAGGAGGATCCCCTGGAGCAGGGCGTGGCGACACACTCCAGCACTCTTGCCCGGAGAATCTTATCAGAAAGAGAAACCTTGAAAAATTTAGGGAACTCTGACTGGCAGTCGTGGTCAGGGAGTCTGGATGGGCCACGCATGTCCGGCTACACTGACTCGGACGCCCCTGGCCCCCGGAGATGAGGCTGCCGCGTCCCCACCCGGCGCTCTGTTTTCTGGCACGCTGCTGGTGGGAGTTCCCAGACCAGGGACTGAGCCCGGGCTGGGGCTGCGAAAGCCGGGAGTTGTAACCACTGGGCCACCGGGGCACTCCCCGGGCTCGGCCCTTCCCGCTGGGCACCTGCTGTCCCTGCCCCCGCAGGAGCTCCGGTGGACGGGGGGGCCGGCCCCTGCGTGTGGGCACAGGGCCTGGGGCGATGGCGGCACTTGTCGGGGGGCGGGCTGCCCCGTTCTGACAGGCTGCTGACCGCCCGTCTCCCCGGAGGGCCCCGTGGGCGGGGCGCGGCAGAGTGCCCGCAGCCCAGGGGCCCTGGCGCCACCTCGCCGGGTTTGGACCAGGTGGGCTCCGCGGAGGAGGATGGGCGCCCTCAGGGGGGCCGCGGGCTGCCCCCCGGCTTGGGCGGAACGTGACGGGCCCTGCGGGAGGCTCCCGGAGCACCACCAGGTTGCCGGCACGTCTCTCGCCGAGGCCAGTCTGTAAGCAGAAGAGCTGTGCTGACCGGCCAGGCCCCGGGAGGTCAAGGCGGGGGCCCAGCCCCCAGAGCCCCCACCCCACCCGGTCTAGCTGGGAGGAAGGACCCAACGAGGGCCAGGCCCTTCCAGGAGGAGAGGAGGCAGCTGGGACTGAGCCAAGGCCTGAAGCCTTGGGCCCGGAGGCCAAGGGTGGGAGGAGGTGGCCCAGGGCGAGCTCGGGGGACGCCCACAGGTCCTTCTCGTGTCCGACAGAGCCCAGCACCCGGTGCCTGGCTGGAGTGGGGAAGAAGGCCCTGTCCTTCCCCCAGGGGTGTCTGGGGCCACCCCCGCCCTCCGCAGCTGCCCCCCAGCCCCCAGGGCCAGCGTGTGGGGGCGGCCGGCCAGCCTCCCCTGCCCCATCCTCCCCTGCCCCCTCCCGGGGGTGACTCAGGTCCGCCTGGCCCTGTTCTGGCCCCGCTTTGGTCTCGGGGCTGTGGAGCCGCCTGCGGGCTGGCTGCCCCACCTGCTCCAGGGTGAGAACGTCCTGGCCCTGAACCCCCAGGCTCCCGCCTGGGGCAGAGCATTCTGCCCTCTGCCTGGTGCAGCTGGGCCAGTGGGAAGAGGCCCCCGGAGGGGGCAAGGGGCGGCCGGGCCCAGGAGGCTGGCCCCAGTGGGCACCCCACCTGCCCCACTGGCTTCCGACGATGCCCCCACCTCTGGTGGGCAGGGCCTGATTGGGCCCCGCCCCTGGGGCCCACCCCCAGCCAGTCCTGAGGAGGACGGAGCAGGGTCACACCCCCAGGGAGGGGCGCCCGCCCGTCCGGCCCATAAAGAGGTGGGCGAGCCTGGGGTTGGCAGCACGGCTGCATCCCGCCCCGTCCCTGCTGGGATGGGCCCGTGGTTGGCCCTGTGGGTGCTGCTCTACCTGCCAAGACCCCTCCAGGGCCAGAACCCACACACCCCGGCGGCCCCCAGCTCCGTTCTGCAGAGTTTCGAGGACAGCAAGGTCGGGGTCGGGGAGGGACGGGAGGCGCCCACCAGGCCCGGGTGCGGGGAGTCAGCCAGGCCAGCCCTCTCGGCACCCCCGCCATGGAGACCCCTGGCCTCCCCCACAGTCCCCACCTTTCCCTGCGGGGTTGGGGGGAACGTCTCAGTGCCTCTGCACAAAGAGGCCCCCCTGGCCAGTGTCGCAGGCCCTGCAGGGCCTGGGGTGCTCTCAGCCCCCTGTCAGCATGACCAAACACCGGAAGCTGTTGCCGAATGCAGCAGGCAGCCGTCCTGGCCCCTGCCTACCCCCAGCCCCTTGCAGTTCCAGGGGGAGTGGTTTGTCCTCGGCCTGGCGGGCAACACCCACACGGTAGCAGACAGGTCTCTGCTGAGCCCTTTCACGGCGACATTCACGCTAAATAAAAACCACTTGGAAGTGGCATACGCCATGATCCGGTGAGTGAGGGGCTGGGGCCCAAACCCTCAAAAGCCAATGCCTCTGTGGCAGGTCCGCCAAGGGCTCCGGCCACACTCTCCCAGGCTTCCTTCTAACGTGATGTCCAGCACGAGCTGCTAACAACCTCACCCGGCTCTGGGGGGGCGTCCTCAAAAGAGGAGAGGCACTGACCAGATCACAGCCTAGGAGAGCCCCAGGGCTGGGGGATGTCAGTGTCTGCTGGATCCGGGAGCTCAGGCACTGTGATCAGAGACTCCTCGCCCGTCCTCCCTCTCCTTCTCTTAGCCCTGGCTGCCCTAGACTTCCATCCAGGCAGGCTCTCCCCTCACAGGGATAAGACGGTGGCTTACACTGACGTCCTCCTCAGGATCAAAATTCCAGAACAGAGGAAATACGTAGGCCGGCCTGGCCATGGTGTCTGATCGACTCTTCTTGAGCCCTGCATTCCCCCGGACCCGCTGCTGTGTCGTCCAGGGCGACAGGCACTCTGGTGGACGGGCCAGGATGACTGGTTGGGGAGGAGTGGGGGGGCTGGATGGACAGCCCTGGGGGAGCACAGCCCCCTCTGGAGATGCTGAAGCCACCAGGGCCTCCTTACCCACGCGGCTCCTCCAGCAGGTCCCGTGGCCTTCCACGCTCACCCGCCCGGAGATCTCTTTCGCTTAGGGCTCTTCAGTTCCACGATGAGACAGGAAGCTCTGGAGGCCAGCAGCAGGGCACAGAGCAGCCCCCTGCCCGGCTCCTGTGCAGGCTCAGCCACGCCAGACCCCCACCGGGGAGTCTCCAAATCCTCACCCACTCCTGATCCGTCGGGGGGCTGGTTAACTGGGGGCAGGGACCCGGTGCAAACGCCACCCTGGAAGCCACCTCTGTTCTGTCAGTCGAGTGTGCTTGCCTGGCAGGGTCAGGGTACCAGGTCCTGCCTCCCCGCTCAAGCCCAGGGTTCAGCCAGAGCTCTCCCAGCCATGTCATGGCCCAGGAACACCCTCTCTCGAGCATGTGCCTCGGGGGCACTTCGGGTCTGGTTCCAGGCTGAGGAATGGTCAGTGGGTGGACCTGACGGAGGCCACAAATTGGTGGGCCACACCGCATCAGAGCTCCCAGGGCTGAGGTCCCCCCTCCACGGGGCAAAGCCCCAGGTCTGCATGGGACTCGTGAGTGGGCCCTCCCTGCGGGTCCACCTGGGGGCAGCCCCTGGGAAAGGCCTGGCCAGGTTCTGGAGCCTTCTTCCTGCCCATCCCCCTCCCCAGGGGCCAGCGCTGTGTCACCTGGTCGTACAAGCTTATTTCGAAGTCCCAGCCTGGGATGTTCTCGGTGGATCACAGTGGAGGTGAGGGGTGGGGGGCGGGGGGAGGAGGGGGCAGCCTGGGGGCGCTGGCGGGGAGGCCTGACGAGGCTGTACCCCCAGAGCCCGGGGCGGACCCCGAGGAGATCCAGGTGACCGACACAGACTACGCATCCTTCGCCCTCCTGCTCTCCAGGAGGCAGTCGGACCTGCAGAGCATCCTCAGGGTCAGCCTGCTGTGTGAGCCCCTCGCCCCGGCGCAGTCGGTCGGGGTGGGTGGGGGGCAGAGAGGCCAGTCTACATGCCCCCCGCCCCGCCGTGGCTGAAGCCAGGCCGTGCTCCTCGGCCCCCAGGCAGAATATGGGCCATTCAGACCCAGCTGCTGGGCAAGTTCATCTGCCTGGTCCGGGCTCAGGGCCTCTCAGATGACAACATTGTCTTCCCGGACCTGACAGGTAACGGGCTCCCGCACCGGGTGGGGTCTGCCCGGAGCCTTGGAGCCCTACGGGGTCCCAGCTACCCTAGGGTTCAGCCTGAGTCCATATTGGGGGTCTCACTGCTCCTTGGTCTCCTCCCCACCTGGGTTCCCTTCCCCAGGCCACCCCCTCCCCCAGGGTCTCCCTTCCCCCAGGTCCCCCAGTCCCGGGTCACCCCCTCCCACCCAGGTCCCCCCCACCCAGGCCCCCCTCCCCCGGGTCACCCCCTCTTCACGCAGGCCCCCCACCATCAGGCCCTGAGTTTCCTGCCTCTGCCCTTACACGTGATAGCTACATGCACACACAGACAGAGCTCATGCTTGAACATACACCACTTACCCACCCACGCACACACATGTGCACAGGGAGGGTGCCCTTGGGTACACACTCGCTCACAAGCATGTGCACGCCCACCACGCCTGGCCACCTGGGTCTGCAGTGGGTCTGGCCCCATGGGCACTTCCCCCCAGGAGGTCAGGCAGGGGGCAGGGCAGCCCCTAGAGGTGCCTCGGCCCCCAGCCCAGCCCCGCCCCCTCCCTCCCACCTGCCTCCTCCCCTTTCCCTCCTGAAAGCAACTGTGTGCACCTGTGTTCATGTATGTGCGTCTGCACGTGTGCATGTATGTCAGTGTGTGCACACATGTGTGCGTGTGCACATGTGTGCATGCGTGTGTGCGTCTGTGTCTGCCTTGGCCCCCTCCCGGCTCTGCCCCCGTCCCCTCCGGCCTCCATCCCGAGGCTCTGTCTCTCCATCAGACTGGTCAGTCCTGCCCGGGAAATGCTGAAAGATGAAGTCACCTCACCCCCCACCAGACCTGGCCTCACTGCCCCTCTCTCTCCACCTCCACTTCCAGCATGAAATAAATGCGCTGTGCTGGGACCTAGGAGTGTGAGCAACCGTGACCTTGGGGCAGGTGGGAAGGCACCTGGGGTGGGGGCCGCCCTCGGAGCACCCATGCCCAGCCTCTGCCCACCAGGGGCGTGCGCATGAGGGTGTGAGTGTGTCTGCATGTCCTGTGGGTGGCACAGGGTGGTTCCCAGGACAAGGCCCCTCATCCTCCCAGCTCCTTGCTGGGGGACCTCAAAGGCTGCCCTCTGCCCCCTGAAGGCCCAGGGGACCTGACACAGAGACCCCAGTCTGGAGAAGGGGAGCTGTGCCTCCCGCCACGAGGGTGTGGGAACAGGGACACTGCAGGGGCGGAGACCTGCCAGCTGGGACACCAGCCGCAGTCTAAGCATCTGGGCACCGCCCCCTCCTGAGTCTCCTCCTGTCACAGCCCCCGGGGACCTGCCCGCTAGGGAGCGGTACGGTGCACCCAGGGTCAGGGTGGGACTGGCCCCACGAGAGGGCAACAGGCGTCCAGAGGGGCCCCTGCTGTGCATGAGCTTTGCTTCCAGGCGCATCTACCCTCAGGAGGGTTCCGGGTGGGTCTTGTTTAAAACTCCTCTGAAGGCAGCCCTTCCAGCATCCCTGGGCGGTGGAGCCGGGTCCCACAGACACGTCCACCGAGCAGGGTGTCGCAGAAACCAGGCGGGTTCTGGGAAGGAAGCCCTCAATGATGACCTGGATTGACCCCGTAATAGACCCCAGTGGCACCACATGTGACAGCCTCCTGCGGTCACGGCTTAATGTCCCTCTGTGTATCTGACTCTCCAACAGCTCAGGCTGTCCAAGTACAAGTCTGCTTTGCCCACTGCTCTGTCCCAGACCCCAGCTGGCAGCGGTCACAGAGGAGGCCGTGAACACCTGCCTGCTGGGGGCAGGGGGTGGACCCGAGTGGATGGACGGACGGAGGGAGGGATCGGTGGAGGGCTCGAGGTGGACAGGTGGATAAATGGTGAGAGGAGGTGGGCGTGAGGGTGGCTGTGTCTCTGACCGAGAGCTTGTGGTTGTGGGGTGCATCCTTCCTTCCTTCCTGAGGATGGGCCTCTCCTCTGTGGACTGGCTACTGGGTGGTGGTTCACGGGTCTCTCTCTGTCCTGCCTTGCTCCTTCCTCCGTCCTTCCCCCGCTGACCCATGGTGTTCTGCATGGACAGGGGCCATCCTGAGAGGCAGGTCTGAGCCCACGTTGGCCGGGGCCGGGCCAAGCAGGGGAAAGCAGCTGGGTGGGGCCGGCCCCGGGCGCAGGCAGAGCGGGGCCCCGCCCGCCCCGAGCCTTCCCCTTAACCCTGCGCCGCCCTGCAGGGGGCAGGGGCCGCTCCTTGGCGCCTCTGCACAGATGGGGGCGCCGAGGACGCCTCGAGGACGCTGGCTGACCCCTTGGCAGGGTCACCAGACCTCTGGCCACCCGCACGCCCCTCCTGTCTGGTCGGTGGGGTGGGCCTGAGGTTCACTGTCGGCTGGGCAGGAAGACCTGCAAGGCTGGGGGTGGCTGGGTGCTCCAGTCCTGAGGGGACGGAGCCGGGGTTGGGCAGAGAGGGACGCTGGAAGCATCGCGTCTGGCCAGCGGCTGCCCCGCGGGTCGCGGTGGGGAGACCAAAGGGCCTGTCTGTCCCATCATCTGAAGAGCAGTTTCCGACTCTGAGCTGCCAGGCCCCGCCCACCAGCGACTGGCGGCGCTGGGAGTCTGCCGGGCGTCCCTCCAGCCCCGCCCTTCCCTGGCCCCGCCCTCCGGCCTGGCCCCGCCCTTCCCCGGCCCCGCCCTTCCCTGGCCCCGCCCTCCGGCCTGGCCCCGTGCTCCAGACTGGCTCTCTGCCTGTCCCCGTGGGAGGGTGTGGGGCGGCGGCCCAGCCCAGCAAGGCCGGATGACTCGCTTTCGGCCAAGGTCACTGTAGCTTTGCAGGGTCACTGCAGGCGCCCCACCCCCACCCCCGCTGGCCCGAGTGTCGCCACAGCTGTCCTGCCGGCTGTCTGCCCAGGTCACGCCCTCGGCCCATGCCACCTGCCGCCTCTCTCTGAGGCTGGCTGGACTTCCCTCCCTGCACTCTGGGCGGCTCAGTTACCAGCCTGTCCCCAGGACGGGTCAGTGTCACCTGGAACCCCACCTCTGCCCTCTGACAAGCAGAAACCCTGTAAAGTTGAAAGCGGGGGCCTGGGGCCAGGGACAAGGGTGGGTCCATCCAGTCCCTGGACACAGACTCACTGGCACCTGAGCCTTTAGAGGCGTGAAGGTGTCGGAAGACCCCACCCCTCTGGGGGGCTCAGCCCCGCGATTCTCTCAACCAGCCCCTCTGCAGGCGGGGCAGTGTGGTGGCTGCATGCCAGCAGCGCCAGACGTGGGCGAGGGCTGCAGGCCAGGCCCCGACCCCGGCCGTGGGATGCTCACTCCGCTGGCTGGGTGGGCACATGGGCCCAGCCGAGCTGTGGCCACGACGGTGGTGAGAATGTTGAGTCCAGGAACGCCCGGGTTTCTGGGGCCCCTGAGGGCAGGGACACGACCGGGAGGACGGGGCTGCGTCTGGGTCTGGGTGGCCGCAGTGACCGCCCCGGCACAAGAGAGACCACCCTGGGCCCTGGGGGACCATTTCAGGGAGAGCAGCCCCTACCAGGGAGATAGGGCCTTTGAGGCCTCAGGACCCTTGGAGGCCCCGTGTCTGTGACTGGGCTTGCTGGGATCTGACCATGTGAGGCGGACAGGCCAGGGCAGCCAGAGGGACGGCAGCATGACCATGGGGCCAGGGAGAGGGCACAGGGCTCCTGCCACTGCAGGGCCGGCGGGTGGGGAGAGGGCGGGACCGCGAGCGGCTGACCCCCACCCCCTTCCTCGCTGTGGTGGGGGAGGGCTGGGGCGATGCTGAGACACGGCCTCCACCTCCTCGGCCTTGCCCAGGCCTCCTGCACACGCGTCACACGCACACCACCCCCGCACACAGCACATGCAGGCTCACACGGGCCCCCTGCACACGTGCCCACACAGCTCTTGTTCCTGGTAGCTTGGGGGCACCAGCTGTGAGGTCTGAGGCCCGCGGCAGCCCCACACAGGGCCAGCCCAGTGCCCGCCACGCAGGAAGGGACACACAAGAGCCCGGCCCTGGAAATGCCGGAGAGGTCTGGGGAGGAGGTGCCCGCCACTGAGCAGGCCATCGAGGCTCCTCACGCCTCCTGCCCTGGGGTGCGCGCTCTGCTCTCCGAGCCCACACGTTTCCGGGACGCAGCCTGGAGACAGCGTCGGGCAGTTGGACTGCACACCCGCCAGTGCCCAGGGAGGCCCCAGCTGAACCGATCGGATTCGGCGGTGGGTGTGGAGAGCAACTCGACTTTGCGGCCGAAGACACTTCGTGAGGACGATCCTGTGCTCGTGAGAGCTGCCAACCTGGGTGGTCCTCCCCGTCCACGTTCCGGGCCAGGTCCAGTCTCAGCAGGAGAGCTCCAGGGGCTGTGAACCTGCCCCACAACGTTCCGCCATAAGAAGGGAGAAGAGTCTGACACGTGCTGCACCAGCGTGAACCCCGAGGACACTGTAAAAAGGCCACACAGCGAGTGGTTCCGTTTACGTGACGTGTCCAGAGCAAGCAGATCCACAGACAGACGGTGGAGCTGTGCTTACTGGGGGGCTGGGGGCGGAGGGGTTAGGAAACCCTAAATAGCTTCAGAGTGGGGGCTGGAACCCAGGAAGACCAAGGCATGGCCCCACCCGGAACTCCTGGGAGCTCATCACTAACTGCCGATCATTTAATCACCTGTATGATGCAGCCTCACTGAGACCCCCGCCTGTGAGGTCCGGAGGGGTCCGGCTGGGTGAACGCCTGGAGGTGCTGGGAAGGCCGTGCACCCCGGCCGTCGGCTGATTCCATCCTGTACCTTCAGGATACACTGCAAATAGCAAGTGAACTGTGGGCCTGCATGTGTGAGCTGCACTAGCTAGTACTGAGCCTGAGGAAGGGGTCATGGGAGCCCCCGATTACAGCTGGTGAAGTGGTGGCATCTGATGTGTGGGGACAGCCCCGTGGGACGGAGCCCTTGGTCTGTGGGGTCTGCGCTGACGCCAGGGAGTTAGTGTCAAAATCAAACTGTGGGATGCCCAGCTGGTGCCGGAGAACCAGAGAACTGGTTGGGGTGGAAACCGCCACATTTGCTGTCGGAGTGCTGTCTGTGAAAACGGCTCAGAGCCGTGTGCTCAGAATGGGGCTGCTGGGTCATGGGAATCACACGTCCAGAGTTAACAGACGCTGCTGACAAACGTGTACATGTATGCATATACACGTATATACATACATGTGTACATACAGGAAAACCTACGCATGTATGCACACAACTATATTCATACACACACACACATAAATATATTGTTGCTGTTTTGTTGCCCAGTTGTGTCTGACTCTTTGTGACCCCATGGACTGTATATATATGTGTATATATATAGATATGTGTATGTATATATCTCACTTTACTAGAAACGAAATAATGAATTAATGAAAAATAACCCAAAGGAAGTGTCAACAAAAGAAGGTAAAAACAGGTGGGAAAGATATAAAGCACTAAGTAAGAAAGTATACTTAAATCCCAATATAAGTTATTACATTAAATAAAGTTAACTAAGTATGTCTTAAAAGAAAAGGCTCATCAGGTAAAATTTTTTTGTTAATTTATTTATTTCTGGCTGTGCTGCCTCTTTGCTGCTGCTCAGGCTTTTCTCTGGTTGCGGGGAGCAGGGCTCCTCCTCTCGTGGGCCCGGCTCCTCACGGCAGCGCCTCCTCTTGCCGGGGAGCACGGGCTCTGCGGTGTGTGGGCTCGGAAGCTCCGGCTCATGAGCGTAGTTGCTCCATGGACCAGGGATCAAACTCATGTCTCCTGCACTGGCAGGGGATTCTTTACCATGGAAGGCCCCAGACAGGCTTTTTTAAAAATGCATCAGAGGCTGTTTTATGAGAGAAACATTTAAGACAAAAGGGTAAATAAATGTTCGGAGGTAAAAGAAAAAGATTCCCTAGGTTAATACTAGTCCAGTGAAAGTTATAATAATTCCAGACAAAGAAGGCTTTAAGACATAAGAATTACTAGTGACTAAAGGGTTATTTCATAATGACAGTAGAATCAAGAACATACAAGAGCTTTCCATTTGTATGCAGCTAATAATATGGCCTCAAAATAACAAAAGCAAAAAATAACAGAACGACAGGAGACACAAACCCACAGTCCTTGTGGGACTACTTCACAGAGCTCCCTCCGTAGATGACAGTACTGGCTCGGGGGTCAGTAAGGACATGAGGTCTGAATAACGTGGGTGTGCAGAGGGCATACCTTCTCCCCAAGGACACAAGGAGGTCTTCCCAACAGCTTGACAGAGGTGAATCTGACATGCAACAAACTGAACACATTTCTGGGGACAAACTGATAAGTTTATAAACATGTGTATGTCCATGAAGCCACTGTGATGAAGCTAAGTAAATGAGTCTGTCACCTCCAAAGTTTCCTTGAATCCCTCCCTCCCCCCACAACCACTGCTGTCATTAAAGGTAAGTTTGCATTTTCTAGTTTCATCTAAGTGGAAACATACAGAGCAAGCACTTTTATTGCCTTCCACTCAGAAAAAAATGACCTTGTGAAGCATCTGTATTGTTGCTTGAATCAATGGTCCATCCCTTTTTGTTGCTGAGAGATGGGAATACCAGACCGCCTTACCTGCCTCCTGAGAAATCTGTATGCAGGTCAAGAAACAACAGTTAGAACTGGACATGGAACAACGGACTGGTTCCAAATTGGTAAAAGAGTACCTTAAGGCTGTATATTTAACTTATATGCAGAGTACATCTTGTGAAACGCCAGGCTGGGTGAAGCACAAGCTGGAATCTTGTGGAATATTGAATATTGCTGGAAGAAATATCAATAACCTCAGATATGCAGGTGACACCACCCTTATGTCAGAAAGCAAAGAGGAACTGAAGAGCCTCTTCATGAAAGTGAAAGAGGAGAGTGAAAAAGTTGGCTTTAAACTCAACATTCAGAAAACTAAGATCATGGCGTCTGGTCCCATCACTTCGTGGCAAATAGATGGGGAAACAATGGAAACAGTGACAGAATTTGTCTTCTTGGGCTCCCAAATCACTGCAGATGGTGACTGCAGCCATGAAATTAAAAGACGCCTGCTCCTTGGAAAAAGAGCTATGACCAACCTAAACAACATATTAAAAAGCAGAGACATTACTTTGCCAACAAAGGTCCATCTAGTCAAAGCCATGGTTTTTCCAGTAGTCATGTATGGATGTGAGAGTTGGACCATAAAGAAGGCTGAATGCAGAAGAATTGATGTTTCTGAATTGTGGTATTGGAGAAGACTCTTGAGAGTCCCTTGGACTGCAAGGAAATTAACCAGTCAATCATAAAGGAACTCAGTCATGAACATTCATTGGAAGGACTGCTGCTGAAGCTGAAGCTCCAATACTTTGGCCACCTGATGCAAAGAACTGACTTACTGGAAAAGACCCTGATGATGGCAAAGATTGAGGGCAGGAGGAGAAGGGGACGACAGAGGGTGAGATGGTTGGATGGCATCACTGACTCGATGGACATGAGTTTGAGCAAGCCCCGGGAGTTGGTGATGGACAGGGAAGCCTGGCGTGCTGCAGTCCATGGGGTTGCAAAGAGTTGGACAGGACTGAGCGACTGGACTCAACTGCGTGCTTCGCGGCACAGCTGTACCAAGACTCGGTCACACGTCTGCCCGTTGATGGGCATCTCAAGTGTTGACAGTTTTTCAATTCAGTTCAGTTACAGTTTTTACTGTGGCCAATAAATCTAGTTCATGTGGGTATTTACAAAAATTAACCAACTACTGGAGCACAAAGCAAGTCTCCATAAACAGAAGGATTAAAATGGAGGAGTAGGGGACTTCCCTGGTGGTCCTGTGGTTAGGACTCCACATTTCCACTGCAAGGGGTTCAATCTCTCACGGGAAAACTAAGATCCCACATTTGGCATGGCCAAAAAAAATTTTTTTAGTTTTTAAATGGAGTAAATGTTATCTGACCACAAAACAAACATAAATCTTCTTTAAAAAATCTCTGCATGTCTGGTAATTAAGAAATGTTCTTCTAAGAACATTATAAATTACCTGTAGTTCAGTTTTAAAAAAGGAAAAAATGAGGGAAAAAGAGTTCTTCTGAATAGTTGATGAGCAATTAAAGAGGACATCAAGATGGAAATCAGAAACTGCTTTTATAACTTTATTTCTTTAGTTTTGGCTGTGCTGGGTCTTGGCTGCCGCACAGGCTTCCTCGGTGTGGGGACCACTCTGGCTGCAGAGCCGGGCCTCGCGGCTCCTGGGCTCAGTTGCTCTGCAGCGGGTGGGATCATCCCGGACCGGGGATCAAGCTCCCGTCTCCCGCATTGGCAGGCGGATTCTTTACCACTTAGCCACGAGGGAGGCCCTGAAGATATTTTCCACTAAACACGTTAGAAAACACTTTATGTCAAAGCTAGTGCCCCATCCCTGGGGCTGGCAGGGGGCCCGCAGAGCCCCTGCACGTGTTAGGGGAGCAGCCGGGGGAAGAGCTAACCGCCTCGGTCAGGAAGTGGAGAAATCGGCAGCTCAGCCCCGAGGGTGTCTCAGGAGGAAATAAGGCAGCGGGGCCGCGACCCAGATGGAAAAACAGCAGAGCAGACAGCAAGGTCCCCGGCAGTTTCTGCAGCGGCTGGTCAGGTGGACAGACGACAGGCAAGGCTGCTTGAGGGAACGGCATGAGGAAGCAGGGAGGAAGGAGAGAGGCGGTGCCCACCGCCAGGCTGCACAACACTGCCTGAGACCATCCAGGGTCCGAGAGGGCATCACGGGCACCTTCACAGGCCCAGGGGAAAATTTAGATGAAATGAGAAAATTCCAAAACAAAATACCTACTAACTGTCACACGAGAGCACAGAAAGCGGGAAAGGCAGAGACGCTGGCCACTGTGTCCCCCAGAACCGCACACCAGACCCCCCACCCCGCAGCCGCTGCACTTGCCAGGACTCGAGGCGGGGGGCTCGCCGGGACCCCCGCTGCGGCTGGGCCAGGCTGCGAGGGCAGGACGGGGGAGGGGAGGGGCCAGCAAGGGAGAGCCCTCACCCCCAGCGCGATCCCGCCCGCAAAGTAATGTCAGGCCAGCAGCAGAGAAGACCTGCTGGAGGGGTGAAGCTCCTCCGAATAAAGGGCAGCGAGGGCAGATTCGCATGAAAGGCCTCCACTGATCTGCAGGATCTTTCCGCTGCCTCCCAGGCACACGCAAACCTCTGACGGCAGTGGGGAAGGGCAATCTCCCCCGCAGGAAACCGGGGCCCCGCACAGCTGAGGAGGTGCTGGGTCCCCGCAGAACCATCTACTCCTTGCGCTCGGCCACAGGCCCACTGAATGCTCTGTTTAAAAAAAAAAAAAAACCTGTAAAGTTAATCTCCAAGCTCACGGGTGTAAAACACTAACAGAAGGAAGGAAAAACGCGAAGGCAGCACCAGCAAGGGCAGGGCCCCAGGGCGGCTGCCTGGTGCTCGGCTGGGTCTGGGCTGGGAGGCCCTCAACCCCAGGGGCCTTCCTTTCTCTGCAGCCGCTCCACCTCCTGCCCTCGGTCGGCCATGTTTGCATCTGATGGACGAACCAGCCCCTCAGTGTCCAGGCAGCTGCATCTGTGCTGGCCCTGGTCCCACCCGCCTCTCCTGCAGGCGTGGATGTCCCGGGAGGCCCTCTGGGAGCTCCGTGCTTCCCCGCTGCCCTCCCGGCCGTTCTGTACAGAAACGCACTTTCGCCCTGACTGAGTCGAGAGCCCCATCCCTGGGAGGGCTGTCACAGTCTCCAGTCCAGTTACTCCCTGGCGGGGAGCCGGGCTGCAGCCACCCGGCCAGGAGGTGGTCACAGGAAGTGTTGATGACCGGGACCCCCGCACCCCTGCTCCTGTCCCCTGGCTCTGGGGGAGGTGGTGGAACACATCCCCGCATCCCTCAAGACAGAAGGGGTCCTCTGGGCACTGCCCCGCAGTCACTGCCATCGGTCCCCAGCCCCCCACCGCCGGAAGCCAGCCCACAGATCCAGGCACAGGGCCTGTGGACGGGGTGTCCGTGGCAGGGCTGCCCTGCATGCTTTCCTCAGGGCAGGATGCCAGGGCCCGGGTAGGCACCCCACGGGCCTGGACAGTGGACGTGGGCCCACTCGACATGGCCGGGTCACTAGACCCAAGCGGCTTTGGGACAAGGGAGGAGGCAGGTGCCCAGCCCACTCGCCCCTTGTGTGGCCCCCACCCCGTGACCAGGCTGAGGGTGAGGAAGCGTCAGGCGGGGTGGGCCTGGGCATGGGGCGGCGGCCGTGCGAAACTGGCCCCCCCTCGGGTCCCTGGGGCGGAGGGACGGGGAGGACAGGACAGGAAGGGCCTGTCCTGGAATGTTGAGCCCTGGGAGTGGCGATGGGACGTGGGAGGCTGCAGGCTGGAGCCATGCAGCTGGCCCGCTGTGGGCCCAGGCCCTGTGGGCGGCCAGATCAAGTCTCATGATCCTGGCCCCAGAGCCCCCAGCACCATCTGGGCCTGCTGGCCAGGGACCAGCCCCCTGGGGGCCTCCAGAGCTGACGCCGCCTGCTTTCTGAGACAGGAAGGGAGGTGGGCGGGCTGGGGTGTTCAGGGTCCTGGGTGACCAGATCTGTGGGTACAGAGCTGAGTGGGAGCCCCCCCCACCCAGCCCGCCCTCCTGGGACCATGCTGGTCCCAGGGAAGCACCTTTCCCAGTAGCCGCCCCCCAACAAAGTGTTACCTGGGCCTGGTTTCCTGACTCCCCAGGAGTCACCCCCCAGCCCCCCAACACACACACTGAGGACACAGGGCCCCCAAGGAGGATGGTGCCATGTGACTGGGGAATCCCACGTGTTGTGGGGGCACCCCGTCCAGGTATGGCAGGGAGACCGTGGGGAGTCCTCCAGACGCCTCTGCTGGGAAGACAGGACCTGTGCAACCCCAGAGTGGTCATGGGACAGGTCCCTAGGGACAGGGCCTGGGTGAGGCCTCTAGGCCAGTCTTGTCCTGGGAAGGGACCCCCACCATGCTGACCTTTCTGCAGACCGTCTGACCTGACCTGGGAGCCAGGCAGGGACCCTGGACTCCAGCATGGAGGGAAGTGCGGTGCTGACAAGCCAGGCTCCCCCGCCTAGCCCCATGCAAGTTGACCGGTTCCCAGGAGCCAGAGGGACGGACAGATCCTGGGAGGGAGAACAGGCCCCCACTCAGCAGGTAGAACCCTCCTGACCCCAGCTCCAGAGAACCCCAGAGCCATCACACCCCTTCTTTCCTCCCCGGGGGGCTTGCTGAAGGCTGGAGAGGCTAGGGTGCCAGGAGGCCGGAGCTCGGCCAGCAGGGTCCCCGGCTGGACATCAAGGTGTCCAATGTCACCCACCACCCGTGGCTGATTGCACAGCAGGGATCCTCCCGGGCAGCCATCCGGGGACCCCCCCCCAGCATTCTCCGGGCAGACGGGAAATGGGGGTGGGCTCGGGGAGGGTCATGGCTCTGGGCACCACGGATCCAGCCCAGGGAACTGCCTGCAGGACCCCAGGGTGTCTGATGCCCACCTCCCTTCCCTGGTGAGGAGGCCACAGTTCCCTGGGCTGCTGGGTGGGAGGCCGCAAACATTGTTTCTGAGTGCACGCACCCAGACACGCGTGCACACGTGTGCACCAGCGTGCCTGCGTCTGGAGACTCACCCTCTTGTGTCTCTTCAGGACGATCGCCCCGGGGGTTGGGCTGCTCGGGTGGCTCAGGCAGGAATGCTCTGGCGGGAAGCTGTTTTGTTTTGAAGGAAGTTATTGTATTTCTTAGGTCTGGGCGGATTAGCCGGGAGTCGGGTTTTTTCCACCCCAGCAACTACTGGAGCCCATGGACAGCAGATGTCCCCTGAGGGGACTGTGCAGCCGGTCTGCTGGCCACCTCCCGGGGACAGCCAGGCGGGTGGGCTGGGATCAGTGTGACGCCGCGGTGGGCCCAGAAGCAGACCCCACTTTGGCGTGTCCAGCTGGCCTGGTCTCGGGAGCCCCACACCCTCCTTCCCCTCTGTCCTCACGGCTACAAGGCCCTTGGGGGTCCCTGTGTGCCCCCGGATCCCACAGCACCAAGCAGCATCTGTGTCCACCCTGCTCGGGCTGAGTGGACAGGGTGACTCCAGGGCACGGAGCTGCCCCCACCCAGGGCCAGGCCTCCGGAGACAGCTGAGCCCTGAGGGCGGGGCGTGGGCGCAGCGTGGGCGGGGTGTGCGCAGGGCATGGGCGTGGGCCCGGGTGCGGCGGTGTGGGCAGGGCATGGGGCATGGGTAAGGTGTGGATGCAGCGTGGGCGGGCGTGGGCGCGGGGTGCAGGGTGTGGGTGCGGCGTGGGCGGGGCGGGGGCATGGGTGAGGTGGGGGCGTGGGCACAGCGTGGGCGGGGTGTGGGGGTGGGTGCTGCCCTCTTCTCACCCTGTGCTGGTTTCACAGACCAAGATGCTGCGAGCCCAGACCCCAGACTTGTTTGTTTCTGGGGGTGGGTAGGGCCCTTTCTGCTCCTGCTGTGGGCCAAGGGAGCCCCAGCACCCCCACGGCCCCCTTTACCTCCCCCAAGATCTGCTGTGTCCCTCTAACCGAGGGTCCCCCAAGGACCTCATCCGAGTGCCACTGAGACAGGCCCTGGCTGACCCTTCCACGATGGCCTGTCCCACCTCACCTCTGCCGTGTGGGAGCCCAGCCAGCCGCCGCACAGGGAAGCCTGCCGTGCCCCCAGCATGGCCTGGCCAGGGCCCAGGGTGCATGTGGAGGGCCTGATACCTGGGAGCCACGGAGTCACAGCCCAGAGACACTGACGCACGTGGAAGGGGCGGACGGGTGTCCTGAGCGCCAGGCTGCGTGGCGTCTGGACTCTGGGAGGCCGGGGGAGGTGGGCCACAGAACGCAGAGAACAGCTTCCAGGACTAGGGGCTGCCGGACCAGAGTGGAGGTGCTGGGCCCCGAGGCTGGGGGCCCCCGTCGACGCGGCCACGTCCTGGTGAGGCCCAAGTGAGCTGGCAACACAGCCACAGGGCGCAGACTGCGGCTCCTGGCTTTCTGGGCAGCTGGTCGTGGCCACATGGCTAACTCTGCACCAGAGAAGCGTGCTGACTTCTGCACCTCCCTGGAAGTCTTCTGAGAGAGGGGCGCTCTGGCCCCTGGCCTCAGCGCTGGTGGGGAGACGACTGAACCAGCAGCTCGGAGCAGAGGTCACCCACAGATGTGATGAGCCGGAGCGGGGGTCCCCGAGCCTCGAGGCACCACGTGGGCTCCGGCCGCCACCTCCCGGCTTTTACGTAAGAGAGAAACAAACTCGGGTCTCGTCTAAGCCACAGTCGTGCTGGGTTCTCGGCCGAATCCCAGCAGAGGAGCAGTCTACGAGACCCCTGCCCAGGCCTGCAAAGCTCGGGGGAGGCCAGGGGCGAGTGTGTGAACAGTCACAGCCCAGAGCGTCCAAGGAGCTGTGATCGTCAGCCGTCACGTGTTTCCCGGGTGGGGTCCTGGGACAGGAAAGGAAGTTTGAGGAAAACTGAGAAAGTAGGATAAGCATGTCCGTATCCACGTCTCTGCTCAGCTGTGTCCAACCCTTTGGGACCCCATGGACTGTAGCCCGCCAGGCTCCTCTGTCTGTGGGATTCTCCAGGCAAGAATACTGGTGCGGGTTGCCATTCCTGCCTCCAGCGGATCGTCCTGACCCAGGGATGGAACCCTCGTCTCCTGTATCTCTTGCACAGCAGGTGAATTCTTCACTGCTCGGCCACGTGGGAAGCCATGGGATAAAGCACGGACTCCAGTTAACAGTGTTTCAATGTTCGTTCATTACCTGTGACCAATGGTCTGCACTAACGTGACATGTTAATAATGGGGGCTGGGGGCTCGATGGCCGTGAGTCTGAGTAAGCTCCAGGAGTTGGTGATGGACAGGGGGGCCTGGCCTGCTGCAGCCCATGGGGTCGCAAGGAGCCGGACACGACCGAGTGACTGAAGTGAACTGGGGGCTTTACGGGAGCCCTCTGTACCACCTTCACGGGTCTTCTGTAAATCTAAAACTATTCTAAAGTTTTTATTTTTAAAAATCTTACCATTCGAACACTGCCAACAGGCGCAGGAGGCATGAGTCAGCGAGCCGCCCCCCACGGACCGTCCGCGGGAAGGTTTGTGGACGGAGGCTGTCTCTGCTCGCTTTTCTTCTTGAATCCCTTTTGGTGGGTCTGCTGGGGAATTCCCGTTTCTCCTTGGAAGCTTCCTCTCGTTTTCCTCTGGATGTCTGCAGACTCTCCCCCCCGCCCTGTTGATTTGTGCCTCCTCTCTGGAGCAATCACCCCGGGCTTCCACCTGCGTTCTTCATCTTCCCTGAATCTCAGCGTCTGGCTCCCACAGTCTGCCCTTTAACCCTCGGTCCTCACGGCCCCGCAGAGCGCCCCGGCTGCCCGCTGCCCCGCGCCCGCCCCTCCGGGCAGCAGCTCCCCTCTCTGCTGGTCCAGAGCCCGGGGTCAGGAGTCAGCCACCCCCCCCCACTCCCGGGTTGTCTACAAGCCCCTGTGAGTTCTGCAGAGAAACAGGACCCACAGGATGTGGTCTAGAGGCCTCGGGGAGATCTACTCTGGGGACGAGACCCCAGTCTGCTCGCTGGGCCCGGGGAGTGGGGGTGTGACTCAGCCCGAGACCGAAGGCCTGGGAACCTGGGGGTGCACGAGACCCAGGGTGCGGGTGTCTGTGGCGGGGGAGGGGAACAGGGCTCAGGCCGGCCCAGGGACCCCCAACTCCCACTCTATCCGGGCCCCCAGGGCTGCTCTTTCCCAAACGCTCCCCGGACACAGCAGGAACGGGGTTCTTCCAGCTCTCTGGGCGCCCTTAGCTCGGGCAACTGGCCGGCCTGGGGCGTGGCCGAGCCCCCAGCCCCAGCCCAGGGGCTGCAGCTCCCTCACAGGCCAGGCTGCCCGGGGCCCCCGCTCCTCAGGGGACCCCAGGTTTCTGGAGGAGGCCGGGGAGTGGGTGGCCGAGGGCATGGCCCTCGGGCGTGTGCAGAGACCAGGTGGGGCTCAGGGACACTCGGGTCAGTTCAGCCCGACTAAGCTGGTGCTGCGCCTGGGGCGGGGAGCAGGGGCAAGCTCTATGGGTGAGGGTGCCCTCCCAGAGTCCAGGCACCAAGCCCTGAACCCAGAAACTCCCAGGTTCCTCCCAGCCCCCAGCAGTGCTCTGCCAAGAGAGCGGCCTGTGGTCTCTCGGGGCCCCCAGCTGGGTCTGCCTCACCAGGGGGACCCATTTCAGGACTAGGGGAGGGGAAGGGGGCCTCCATGGCCAGCTGGCAGCCACCACGGGGCAGGGGGTGGGGTGGGGGCAGCGGCCCTTGCCACTCCGCTGGGCCTGGGGGTGGAGCTGGAGGACAGGGCGGTGGCCGCAGGCAGCTCTGGCTGAGACTCGACCTCGGTGCAGAGCGGGCCAGTGCCCGGCCAGCCCGGCACAGTCTGTCTTCACCACCCACCCGCCCCCCAGGACCAGAGCATGCCTGGGCCGTCTCCCAGTGGGGGTGACTGGGCCATGGCTGCGCCCGCCAGACCAGGACGGGCAGGCATGTGTTCCAGGGTGGCCGTCCAGCTCCGGTGCTGCTGGTGAGGCCCCCCAGGCCTGGCTGGGAGCTCCCCGCTGCTGTCCTGGCCCACGAGGTCCGGATGTCCAGATGGGGTGCTGAGTGCTCAGACTGTGGGCACGGGGGCAGGGGGCTCCAGAGTGTCAAGAGGCCAGGCCGGGGACCCTCCCACAAGCCCGGGGTCTCAGCAGGGGCCCCTCCCCACCCCCGCCCCCCCCATCTGGGACCAGGACCCAGAACGGGGCAGGCTGGGCGGAGGGACCCACGGCCCCCAACCAAGGCAGCCGCCGCCCAGGCCTCTCGGGAAAGGAGCCCGGGGCCCCAGTGGGCGGCATCATCCTGCCGGGAGCACGCAGAGCCAGGCCCCAGGCCCTGACCAGTTCCAGGGCTTCCGTCACTCCGGGGCCCCAGCGGGCCTCTCCAGGAGATCTGTCCCAGGCACAAGCTGAGGAGGATGGGGCGAGAGGGTACCCAGGCTGAGGCTCCTGGAGCAGCCGGGACGGAGGGAAGAGGGTGAGGGCAGGCGGATGGGGCCCATGGAGCCCCAGGGAGGCGGGACCATCTCTGCGCCTCAGCTCAGGGAGGCCAGCGTCGGCCTGTCCTGCCAACCCTGGGGAGCCTCTGGCCCCGGCCAGCACCTCAGGGCAGCCCCAGCAGGGCTCTGACGGCTGAGAGGGTCCCTGGCTCCAGGACTCCCGGGCGGGGTGGACGGGGCTTCCGGGACCCGGCCCAGCCCCAGCTCCCAGTTTCAGAGGCAATGGTCCCTGCTTGGCCCAGCGGGCAGCTCCTTCAGGGAGGACCGGGCCTGATTCAGGACGACCTCAACCATCCTCAAGCTCAAGGATGACCATCGCTTTCCCATCACTGCTCTCTGCTCGGAGCAGGCTGGACGCCAAGGGCCCCTGCCGAGAGGTGGGGCAGCCTGGGGTGACCCCCGTACAGACAGGTGGGAAGGCCGACTGCCTCCGGTGGGGAGGAGCCAGGCAGGTGCAGCTGGAGCTCGGCGGGATGGAGGAGGTGCCCAGGCCTGGGCTGGTGGCAGAAGGGTGGGCCCAGTGACATGGGGACTGCATCCAGGGCACGCTGACTTCATCCAGGACACCCTGACTTCATCCAGGACATCCCGACTTCAGCATCCACCAGGCTTCCCACCCTGACTTCACAAAGGACACCCCGACTTCATCCAGGACACCCTGACTTCACCTAGGGCACCCTGACTTCACCCAGGGCACCCCGACTGTAGCATCTACCAGGCTTCCCACCCTGACTTCACCAAACACACCCTGACTTCACCAAGGGCACCCCAACTTTAGCACCCACCAGGCCCCCCTGAGGGGTACAGTCCCTTGGGAAACATGTGGGCACAAGATCCTTCCTGAGGTGCCCAAGCCTCCCTGCCCCACTCACCCACCTTCACGCCGTCCCCAAAGCCCCTCCAGCCTGGAGCCTCACCCCTTCCCTCTGCCCACCTCTCTCCACTTCCCTCCCTGCAAGCACAGGGTCCACACCCTGCCCCCGGGGGCCTGGAAGGTGGGCCCCCACCCAGGAAGGACCCGGAGCTGCTCCCCAGGTCACAGAGCAGTCAGGGGAGGCCTGGGGGACACACAGAAGTGGGCGGTGGTCAGCAGCCTCACCGGCAGGAGGAAATACACAGGAGATGCTGTCAGCATCAGCCCAGCACTCGGTGTGGAGGTCGGGGCAAGTCCCCAAGGGCAGAAGGCAGGCTCTGGAGGGAGGGTCTTCCCAGGGCTCACCTCTCCTGCTCACAGGGCGGAGGGAAGAGCTGAACAAACTTGAGGGGGAAATTCATCAGGTTTGTCCAGAGCCTGGGCATCACCTGTGACCACGTTGCCTTCCTGCCCAAACCCTGCCCCAGGAGCCCGAGGGGCTGAGGCGCTCGGGTGGGGTGCGGTCCTTTGGGGAGGGACCGACAGTGGACCCCAGGCCCCCGTGTCCTGGCCCAGGCCCCCTGGTAAGGAGGTCATCAGGACCCAGGCACGAGACTGGGTGTGGTGGCTCCAGAAGAGAGTCCAGGGCAGGACTGGGGCCCCTGGAGGCCCCAGAGTCAAGGACAGAAGGTCCCGAACAGCAGCCAGGGAAGGGCACCCGGGGGCGGCCTGGGGCGGGGGGCTGGGGGAGGGGGCCGGGGCT